ATATATAAATAATATTATTTATTAGCAATTTGGCTTGATTGAAATTTTCATTTTATAAAGTGAAAATGCATTTTTATCGCCATTTGAAATTTAATGATTTCAGATTCATTATTTTATAGGCAACACCGCTAAAAGTGTATTTTTTGTGTATATTTTTCCAATCCCAATATTTCACAATCATATTGCAAAAATAAATTTTCAAAATGAGTTCTGTAAACAGTTTATTGGTTTTATAATTTTTGGTTATAAATACAAAGTTTTCCTTGTACACATAAAATAAATTTACCTAATGTATTCTTAAATAAGGATTCTGTATAAATAACACGAGTCGACAAAAATCTAACTTTTTCTCACCTTGCCAACCGAAACCAAACCTAAAATCTTGTAGACTGCAAAGTGCTTTTGTCGACCAGTGTAATTTTTACAATTATTTGCTGTGACTTTCAGATTTGTACGTAAACTCGTTTCGGATGCATTTGGTTCCCATGGAAGATCTTGATCAAACCCATGTCGATATTCCTGGCAAAAATAGTTTCCCTTTATTGTAGTTTCTATTGTTCTCTGGTTCTGATTCTGGTTCCGCCTTATATCACACACTTAATATCTTTCGTTACCAAAGCAATTTAGCGGCTTTGCGGTTTCGCAAAGCACAGCATTGCCTGGTAGTGCATTTTAACATTCTCATATTCGGTTTTCACTTTCACAAAAATATTTCGTTTATTTTAATTGTTAAGTTTTGATCTTTTTGGTCTGTAATTTGTTTGTTTGAATTATTTGGATTAAGGAGAAGTATATTTCAGTCAAGATTGATCAAGAAAGCAAGCCTGCGAAAGTGAAAATCGGAACATGTCTAAATGTTTGTGATCAGAGCAGCTGCATTTGGAATTTCTCAAAGGTACGTACGTCGTTATGGTTTCTCTTATCTCGGTGCAAGTGCTTTGGCAAACTAACAAACTAATACGAAATGCTAACAACAAGTTCGACTGACTGACTACACACATAAAGCTGACAAGACAAAACAAAACAAAATGAAGCCCTGCGACTGGATATGGATGGCGCACCGCAGTTACTTCATAATACTCGAGAGGCTGGTGTAGCCGCTGTTGGCCTGCACGGGATCTTGCGCACGTCGGCAGCGACCGCAGCAGCAAATGTCCCGCACCACATCCACGAATCTCGTCTGGTCGAAGTCATCCAGATCGTTCATGAAGACGCCCGAACTTATGTCCTCGGCCGTTCGCGTGCCGACAAATGCCTTGAGATCGGTGGTGGGAAAGCCGTCCTTGTAGTACGCCTTTATCGTATCGTAGGCATCCATGATGACGGCAATGAACAGCGACAGGACCACATAGATGTACAGGGATATAAACGAGTACAGGTAGATCTGGCAGAACCACCACAGCCAGGTGGCCTTGCTCGAAAGCGTGGCAAAGGTGGCGAACATATCATCGCCGTTGATCAGCGCAAACAGACACTCCGACGTGGTGGCCAGCGAACGGAACTTCATGTGGTAGGGCCCCAGAATCAGCCAGCCGCAGAAAACAAATCCCGCATAGATCAGCAAGGCGGCGATAAGGAAACGCAGAATCTTTGGTGCCGCCTTCTTCAGTGTCAGTATCACCACGTTGTAGGTCTTGAAGAAGCCCAGATAGCGCAGCACTCCGAACCAAACCAGCAGATTGCCAATGCCCAGAAACAGCGAGCAGGTGTCCCATTGGTCCACCACCATGTACCTTCCCTCGATTTGCTCTTTCAGAGCCGATCCAATGATCAAAAGGACGTCGTTGAAAATGATCATGATGTACCTGTGAATACAATTATGTTATAGATTGGTTTTTGGAAGCTTGATTAAAGGATTTTACCACCCAACCTTGATAATTCATTAATTTCCACTGATAAACAAAATGGAATGGTAAATATACATATCTGACTATTGAATTCCAAATTTTATATTAAAACTAAATATTAATTTCCTTATGTCTAATACAATGCATATCAAATTGCATTATTTAATATTAAAATATTATAATTATTGTGCAAAGTTATAAACTTAAAATGGTTACCATTTGATTTAAATGATTTTTATTTAAGTTAAACATGTTTTAAATTAATAATAATTTTGCAGAAATTAAAATTAACTCCAAAAATAGTGCAATAAAAAATTTTAAAAAATATGAATATTTTCATATTTTAAATTTCTAAAATATATACAAATCATAGAAATTGAGTACAAAATATTCAGATATACCACATTTTTTTTACCAGTGAAGACAATTATTTTTTTAATTCCAATATTTGTCAAGCTTAAACATTTCAAGTAATGAAAAATGTGTAGATAACGCAAGGTGATGGCATATCCCCTTCATTTTAAAGACTCACCAGAAGTTAACAAACTCCAGCCGCCCATCGAAGCTCAGCTCCTTGCCAAAGTGCGACCGGAAGAAGTTGACTGTGGTGCATCTCAGCAGGTAGGCCCTCCACAATGCCCTCGTGCAGAGGGCAAACGACAGGGCGCAGGTCAGCAGGACGAATATGTTGAGTATGCTACGCAGCATTGAGTCGAAATTCGCCTCCGAAATGAAATCCGTGGCTCCGTGGCACTTCAGACGCGTCGCCTCCGCATCCAGTGAGAGCAGCATCTGGCCGTCATGATCGCGATTGTTGAACAATATGGAAATGTCGAAGCGAAAACAGTCGGGCGCCGATAAAGGGCCACCGTTGGCCTTGAAGTTCACCGTCTTAATCTTGAACGTCAACTGGGCGGAGACGAGGGAGGCGAAATTGACCTCCACATTGCGCTGCCGCAGATAATCCTCCACCCCAATGGTGGTCACATCCGGCGGCAGCATCTGGCACACCTCATCGATATGTGGATCGAAGATGTACGACTCGTTGAAGCCGAATATGGTACCCTCGCGGTAGTTCTGCAGGCACAGCTTCAGCGGCGGCATCGTATTGTTGCGGGTGGGGTAGTCATAGGGTCCAATCGATCGACTCACATTGGCATAGCCATCGACGGCATACTGCACGGTGTCGAAAAACTCCGATTTTAAATACAGGGCAAAGGGACCCACCGCCGGCGGATAGCTCTCCACTTCGCGCGAGGAATCCCAGCCGCGCAGGAAGAGATGCGAGAAGGCAAATCGGTTATCACCCGTGTAGTTGATGTGGTTATACCGTGAGTGGGCAAAAAGGCACAGCTGCATCGTCACCAGAAAGATCTTGACAATCTGCAAGAGTTCAGCGAGGTGAAAGTTATTAACTAATTTTACTTATTTTACTTATAATAAATAGTACAAATTGTAGCACTCTTATCTGCTTTCGTTCTCAAGCGTCATAAACTCATAGAGGAGGTAGTTGGGCTGTGATCTAGAAAAGCTTATCTATAAATAAATGCCAAATTATGCTGGGGCATGCGTCAGTATATATTTATTGGCTATCTGCAGCGAAGAAATCTGATTTCGTTTTAGACCAATCATGGCTAGTTGTATTCTAATCATAATCACCCTCAGAAAATCCCCCTAGAGTCGAACATTTATTAAATAACTTGTAAAATTCGTACGAGTGCGCCTACACAAAGTGTCTGGCCATAAAATACGTTAAATTTCCACAGGTTTATTACGTATTGTTCTAACTATAGTTGGACCCTATAGATAAGGCATATCGATAAGAACGGAGGGGCTTAACAATGCAAGCAAAATAATCAAGAATGTGTTGACTTTGCCCACTTTACATGCTCAAAAACTAAGCAAACAATAAGGCCTTTGTAAATTGAGCAAGTCGCCCACATAAGTGCCTCGGATGTGTCATCCCAGATCCGCCCCTCAATCCCAATTCCCGTGCATCACGAGACTACCTTAATTAAATCGGTTGTTTTAAGCCAGATGTGAATCGAAATCTAAATCGAAATCGAAATGGACGACCGAAAGTGGTATTACCTGCACGACAAACTTGTAGGGAAACTTTCGCTTGGCCTGCCACTTCTCGATGGGATTCATGAAGAAGAACTGCAGTTTCCTGCGCATTCGCTCCTCCTGATAGGATGCTGCCGAGGATCCAGGGAACTCCGGTTGCTCCTCACGCCCCTCCACGGATGCTGGGGCACTGCCTGCACTGGACATGGTTGCGGGGGGTATGGTTATGGGCATGGGCACCACAGGCGCCACTGGAGTGGACTGGAGCTGCACCTGGCGTCGCAGGATCCTGGTGTTCACATACTCCTCGTCGCTATCCTCTGGAGGGGTGCGCTGCTGCTGCTGGGCAGCCTCGTAGCTATCCGTACGGCGTTTCACGGCCGGAGCAGCGGCTGCTCCTCCGGGGCCGTAGCTCTGCATCTCGATGTGCTCCTGCTTCGTCGCGAGGTCGAATCACCTGCGTTGTTGTCCACTGCGCTAGCTTTCCTTTGCCCGCCCACTCGACATGCAAAGGAAAGATTCGGCACAGGTGCAACAAGCAATCGGGGGACTGGGGGGGGCTGGCGAATATATGTATTTGGCAATTAAGGCGCGACTCTTGCCAGCGAAATTAAATTAAATACTGCCCCAAAAAACCAGGAAAATTGCTTTGTTTTCAACCAGCAACTTAGAGGTGAGCAAATCTGTGTTTGTGCGATACTATCAGCAATTATAGAGATATGGCAACGCTATTAAATAGCGGGTGTCCATAGTGGAGACTCAAACCACTGTTGCATACTCAAACGGTTAACCGGTTAAATATAAATTCAAAATATATTTATAATTATTTCTAAACTTCATATATTGAGTGGAAATAACTTGATATTAAATTTGATTTTCCATAAATAGAAAAAATATATAACTGGCTTGAGAAAAAAACAAAATAATCTCTAAGATAAGCGTCTTTAAATCCAATATTTAAAATATCTAAGTCGAAAAGTACTAAAACTATTATTATATTTTCAATTTCGATGAAAGCATAAATTCAACTTTAATTAGCTTTGGAGAAAGTGCCCAAGGAAAGTGTCCAATGAAAAAAGTCAATAATTTGGTTAAGTTCTGTTGTATTTCGTAGGTAGATAATACGCGTAGATTAATTTTATATATATATATTGATAACTGTTGCAATTTGAGAATAAGATCAATGAGTAGACACCACAATAAGAGTCAAAATTATGTGTGATTAATCTTCATTAGCTTTGGAAACTAATTTCTCTTTTCCTTCCGTTTTGGCATTCTCGTTTTGCTCGGTTAAGCACCATTCCTAGACAATAAGTACACTAAAATCGCTTTAACTAAAGTCGCGATTGGTGAGGATAATGGGCGCTGCAAGGCTCCAGCCATAGATGAAGACGCCCAGCCAGCTGGAGATGATCTTAACCCACATGGAAGCCTCGTTGCCATTGAAGAGCTCAATATCCGAGTTGGGTCTGCGGGGATAAAAAATAAGTTAGATTGATAAATAAGTGTTTAATGCTCATCAGATAGTATCTATAACTCATGACTCCTATGGTTAGTAAATCAGGTCATTGAAAAGTTTATTTTCATTTAGTCAAAGATCAAACCGCGAATTCTTTAGAACAAGACTTTTTCTTTTTTTTTTAATGTATCTTAAATTAGTTATACCTTTCAACTTATGATCTGCATAAGCTCATCTGATTTGTATTTAACCAATGAGATCATAGCTTTTGTATGAGTTTTAATTTATAATTTATGGAAGTCGTGAGCTATGCTTTAAAAACTCCAATCGATCAGGGCTCTAATCGATACCTATATGTTTTTAAGTACCAAATAAGATTGTGCCACTTACTTGTACCAGTTGGTCAGAGTCATCATAACGTAGAGCGATGCGCAGACGAATACCACGTGGAACATGGACCAGGAATAGGTGACGCCCTCGGTTTCGTTATCCGTGCTCGCCTTTCCTTTGGCATCCGTGCCTGCCTCTGTGTCTGATAGAGCTTCTGTTAAAACTACATTAATCAGAGTGCAAAGAGGAACGCCGATGGCCATATTTTTCACACAGTTTCAAATACCAAGTAACCGAGTGGATTAGTTGGGTTAGTCGGAAAATAAATCAAGAAAATAAAGCGACAACAGCAAACTAGTGTTAATATAAATAGTATTAGCTTGGGGTTTTTTTGTACAGCAAGAAAAATGATAAGTGAGTGGGGCGATCGAATATGCGTGATGGAAACTGTGGAATTGTGGAAATGGCTGCGAATGCGGACGGAGCACCAGGAATGGAAACGAGAAAAACCTACCACGCTTCTCGCTGCTATCCTGGGTGATCTTCGAAACCTCCACCGCTGAACTGATGCAGTTGTAGAGGATGCACAGGAGCCACACAACCAGTCCAATGATGTTGGTGGTGTCGAATGTAACCCGGGAGTTGTGGGTGGGCGGAGCCACAGTGGTGGTGGCATTGCCGAAACCCTCCATCATGCCAAACATTCCAGGATTGCATTCTTTTTCTATGGATTCATAATATAAATTAGAAATTTTCTACACATTTTACAGCAGTTTTCCTACCCGGATTGTTGGCCACTGCGGACCAGGTCAGATAAACCGTGTATAAGGTAACCAAAGAGCTCTGCAATAATCCAGAATGGGGCAAACGATCCTGCACAGCTGGCAAAATCGAAATAACGCTGATCATCAAACAAAGGATCAGATTAATGGAGATAAAGAACTTGTTGATGCCGCAGCCAGTACTCTAAAAAAAAACCAGAAGAGTTAAAAACCAAACAAATAAGCATGACAATCTCCACTCACAGTGGTAAAGTAGATATAAAGCAGTGTAATCCCAGTCAGCGATAAGATATAGCCCAAGAGAGTGACCCCTGCCAGGGCATAATAATAACCACGACTGCTTTCAGCGCTCTCTAAAAAACAAAAGTGGTTAATTAGCATGATGAATCATTACAAATCTGCCAAAAACATGACTTACCTATCCAGTTCTCCGCCAGCGAATGTGCGAAATCCACAATGATCACCAGCTGAACGAGTATGAAGGCCAGGCCACCTATAAGACCCACCCACATCATGGCAGGACCAAAGGATCCATCCGGTATGAAGATGGCACCGATGGCAGCTCCAAAGCAGATCAGGAATTTCAGGGGCCAAAAGTTGTTCTGGATATGGGATCGCGGATCCCTGGAGCTCTTCACCCCCAGCATAATGAGTGACATTAAAGCGAAAAAGCAGGCCATTCCGAAGCAAATCCTGTACACAGCCATATAGCCCAGGGCATATTCGCAGTCGACCTGCAGAGATCCACCCGAAAAAGTGTCAAGTGTCTTGGAGCTGTACGTGGATGTCGAGTTGATGCAGAACGGAAGCTTCTTCAACGTGTCCTGCAATCCCGGAGACAGGGCAATGGCCCCCAAGACAGTGCCCACCAGCAGGATGAAGGCGTACATGAAGCGCGAAGAGGAGGCGTTGGTGCAACTGGGACAGGCTGAGCAGCACATGCTGGCTGCAGTGCCTCCGCAGCACATGGCACACTGGAAATGTGATAAATAAAACATATTTAGTACATAGATCACCATATTAACAACCGATACATTGAAAACTCCACCCCCTCAATAGTCTTTCAACAACTCTTCCAATCCCTAAAATCCACATACCCGAACCACAACTTTATTTACACCGATGGATCGAAGGCAGAAGACAACATCGCGTATAGTGTTACCGATGAAAATAATGTAATCAAAACAGGCCTACTACCTGCCTATTCTACAGTCCTTTCCAGCGAAATAATAGCCATCTACAAAGCTGCACAAATCTGTATTAAAAAAAGAGGCAAGCACGCCATATGTTCAGACTCACTTTCCTCCATCACCTCCATCGCAAACCCTAACAACAATTCCTACTACCCCACCACTATCCGTAACCTACTTTCCAAACACTTTCCCAAAATAACATTAATATGGATACCAAGCCATGTTGGCATCAAAGGAAATGAAACAGCGGACTCTGAAGCAAAAAAAGCAATCAGACAACCCCTCATATACACAGACAATTACAACTCCAGAGACATCACTCAGAACCTCAAAAAATCATTAAAACACAGACACACAGAATTATTAAACAAAACCTCGACATGGTACCAATACATATCTAAATTATCACCACCTAACTTCCCACATAACTTCCCCGAACTTAATAGGAGACAACAAATCGTAATCACCCGCTTGCGACTTGGCCACACAAAGATGACAAACGCACACTATATTGACCGTTCAATACCGAACACATGCCCACTGTGCAACAACGCTCTTCTAGACGTTAACCATATCCTTTCCCTTTGCCCTTCTCTCTCGACACAACGATCCTCATCATTCCCCAATCTAAACCCAACCCAGGCCTTAGCCAATCCCACCAAAGTTAATTCCCTAATGATCCTCACTTTCTTAGAAAAATCAAATATAATCTACACAATATAAACTATTCCTAAGGTATATAAGTTCATCAGAAAATGTATATATATATATAAAACCATAAGTAGAATAATAATATAAAATAAATAATTAAATAATGCTAGTATAAAATACTAAACCACCCTCAGAGCTGAAGGCCTCTTGCAGCTATAGCTCTAACCACAATTTTTGTTAACTCCTAGTTTTAACTATTAGTTAGCATTGTATAAATAAATAAATAAACATTGAAAATATATTGAGGAACCTATTAATTGGATGATTTTTTGTAGTCCTTCAAACCTAACTAACATTCACTCCTGATTTATTTACTTATCTCCTAATCTTAATATTATGCGTTAAGATGAATCATATTTTATTGTGAAAAACACAATTATTTCTAGCGCTGAAACTCAAAATAATCAGCATCTGAAAACTGCAAAAGTACAAGAATCGCCCTTGAACATTAGATAACCATTATAGCATTTAGAAAGCTATTAAATGGTATATAGCGAATAAAAACTTAAGTTCATAAAACCATATGGCTGCCTTTATTGATTTGTAACCAAGGAAGCAAAATTACAAATCAAATTTACCCCGTTGAAGGCAATAAATTTACTTACCTGAGCGGCCGAGCAAAGGCCCAAAACAGCTCCCATTGTCGTTCAGATGTAGTTATGTTTTCACTTTAGTCAAATTGCGTTTTTATTAAATTAAACAAATCTTTGTTTGTGAAAATATAAGCTAGGGGTGGACTACCCACTCTTGATAAGTTTATCGAATATTGTAAGTGCGCGGCACTGGGAATAATATCGAATAGAACCTTACATCTTTAATGTAGAACATCAAAATGAAAAAATTCTTGCAAAATAACGACAGATTTAAAATAAGATTTAAGTCTAAAAAGAAGCATTCCTAATAAACAGTGTTGGGGTGTACCCCAAATACTTGTACCTATGTACGTACTTAGATAAGAATTTATGATACCTTGTATTTTACCTAAGTAAAAGAATTTGAGAATTCCTGTTACCTTTGCTAGGCAAAGATTTAAAAACTGGCTTTGTTGGGTATTTATTGGTACCACGCCATTTAATTTTGCATTATTTTTTGCCAATATGCTTATAAATATGATATAATTTTACTACAACTTGAAAAAAAGGTAATTCCACCGCATGCGCAAGATATGTTTCTTTTTACTTGTGCCTACAACCAGACTTATTAATATATATTATAATTTATCTACAGCATCGTAAAAATAAATAAAATTATAAAAAAAAAATTTTTATTTTACCTTTGTTGTCCCTTTTACATTACCTAGATACTTCTTAAATGGTATGGTTTAACTTTAAGTTTACAGTTTGTAAATAATACTAATAATAATTAGTAAAGTCATATCTGCAATTCTAGATACATAGTGAAGAACTAGTATTTTACAAATCTAAATATAACATTAAAATCAGGAAAACGAAGTTAAATCCATCCATAACCATCGATAATAAAAACACCGACTCTTCGAAAACATCGATGGCATCGATAACGCTAATCGATTGAATCGACTAGGTCGTGTAAAAAGATCGAGTGCAACGAAGTGCCACCACCAAGGCCAGGTCGCCTCCGCAACGCTTAGTCCGCTCTCATTTCAAATTTTCAAACTCCCGAGAGCGGTTGGAAAGGAAAGCGGCTCCTGAATCCATCCGAAAACGAATCGAATCGCATCCAGTCAAGATCCTGCATTTGCCGTGGTACTGAAAACACCGAATTCGAGTCAAAGCGCAGTGGTGGTTTTCTCTCTCTCTTTCTCTCGCGTGTGTGTATGTGTGCGAGTGGCAGGAAAAGTGCGAAGCCGAAATCTGTTTAGCTGAAAGAAAGCGCAACTTCAATTAGCAAGCAAAAGTTGTAAAAGAAAAGCCAAAGCAAAAAAAAACAAGAAAAATGGCAAGCGAAGTGGCCCAAATACCCGCCGAGGAAACGCCCGCAGTGGCGGCGTCGGAAAAGCCAGAAGAGCCGGAAAAACCCGCAGTGGAAAAAGTGGAGATTGCCGAGGATAAGAAGGACGAGGCAGGTAAACAGCAGCAGGATAGCGAGGAGCCCAAGAAGGACGAGGCCGGAAAGCAGCAGCAGGATAACGAGGAACCCAAAAAGGAGGAGGCGGCGGCAAAATCGGAAGTGGCTACCAAATCGGAAGCCCCACCCGCCCAGAAGTTCAATGTGCACAAGACCAACTTCGAAAAGGACATTATCTATCTGTACCAGTTTTCGCGCACCCCGCTGCTGCCCTCTTTATCGCCGTATTGCTTGAAGGTGGAGACCTGGCTGCGTCTTGTGGGCCTGAAATACGAGGTAAGTTGAGAAAACTTAGTAAAATCATATAAAAACCTTATAAACCCTTTTTCACAATCTTGAAAACCTTCAGAAAACCTATTTAAACATAATGATAACTCCAGTAAACCCTGGAAAACCTAAGTAGAACCCCAAGAAAACCCAGGAAAATCCAAAAAGAAACCCAGATATCCCAGATTTTCAAGACATTTTTGCGGTACAGATTTTTTCCCAGCTCCTGCAGGAGAGGGAAAGAGGAAGAGCCAGAGAGAGCGAGAGAGCCAGCGCCGCCATCATGGTGTGCTAAGCCTGTTCGTGTGTGTGTGACCTGCCCTGCCCCGTAACTGAAAAAGGGATACATTTAGCCTGCCCTCTCTTTCCCGCCGCCATGTGTGTGTGAACCTGTAGCCTGGTCCTGGGTGTGTGTGTGCACAGCGTATACATAAAATTTGTGTGTGCGCCGACGCTGCGTCGCTGCTTTATGCTCCACTCTGTCCCCCTCACCATAAACTCCCCCCTCGCAAAAGTCGTGCTTCAAATTTTGCACTTGCCGACTCTCTCCTTTTGTCTCGCTCACTCTCTCACCGTCTGCTCTTTGTCTTTTGTTGCTGCACTGTTTTTTATTTCACTTTTCTTTCGACTTCTTTTTGCACTGAAAGAAATGTTGTTATGATATGATGAAATCGGAGTCTGTGTAGAAACCATTTAACGAATTTGAATCTTTTGAATAAGGCGGACAAAACTCTTTTGTATCATATTTAATCCTTCTATTAGTTCATCTGCGGGTAACGGAATACACTAACAAAAAATGCAGAATGTAAATACTTCCATTTGAAACCAATATGTTTTTGTCTGTGTACAGTAGTAGCAGCAGCAGCAACAGCAGCAGCTTGTAATTGCTTTTAATAAAAATTGATGCAGTTTAAGATGGTCTCAGAAATAGCTGTCTCCCTCTCCTCCTCGTCCTCCTTTTCCCTTTCCTTTTCTTATCCGTTAAGTAGCTGTAATAGTGTGGGAGGGAGAGGCAGACAAACAACTGTCAACGACTTCCAATGGTGCCTTCCATTTTAGTTTGTTTTTTTTTTTATTCTTCACTTTTTAAAGCGCGCGATGCGGTTTGCATATTTTTCATATTTTTATAGGAGAGGAAAAACTTGTACATATGGCTGGGGGAGAGGGAGAAATGGGTGCGGTCACCCGCACAAAACTGGCGACGCAATTGCTGTTTAATCTTATTAATTACATTGGTTAATGAAAAACGAGCCCCTTGTGAGGAATGTTAATTGATGCCTTTCCAGATGCCGATAAGCAATCGCCCCCATATGTTGCATTCCACAAAGGCAATTATGATTGACAGTCCGTCAGTTGGCCCGCAGCTGGAAATTACTTTCCATTTCCATTTATCCCATTTCCACTGATAAGAAGGCAGCCCAAAAACACAAAATAAAAAAGAAAGAGTTCAACAAACTGGAGACCTTTGACATTTCTGGTTTGTTGTTGCAGCGCATTAATCATAAAAAAGGGAGGGTGACTGTAAATGCAACTGACTAAGCCAGTTTTGCCCCCGCTCGTTTTGCTTTTTATACCCCCCGCTGCTCGGCTGCATTTTTTCTTTTCCTCCTTTGTATACACATTCATCAGTGTAAACAAGAGCAGAAGTTGTTTCTTTATTGATGATAAACCAAATGCATTTTTTTTCACACCACATTGAAGGCGGCGCCCATTAATAAACACAACAACAACAACGCATAAGTTTCGCTTTTGAGGCGGTGGCCCGCATTGCTGGCATTCCTGAGTGTCGCGCTAGTAGATTGTGCAATTAATTTACATTTTCTCTGCCATATGCATACGAGCACAAACTGATTAAAATTCAAATGGAAATGCTGGCGCGCCATTTCATTTGTGCAATATTGCCAGCCTTCAATTTAAAGGTATTCTGGCAACGCTGCTGTCTCTCCTGCTGCAACTGTACATGTGCGAATGTGTGCGTCTGTTTGAGAGGAAATGGAGTCTTTTCTTTTTTTGTCGTTTTTGTTGTTTTACGTATTTCAAGCTGAAGCTGCCTTTGTTTTAATTAATAAACCGCATATTTGCATTAAAACAACACACAGTGACGGCCTTTGTTGTTGCTTACTCGCTCCAGTGCAATTCTCCCGCTCTCGCTCTCAATGGAACGTTTGTGCAAGGGTGTGGATACACACACACACACACAGACTGCATAATTGCATTGCTGTTGCTTCTTCTTGCCTGATTTTTTACACTGCCAGAAAATTGAGGGGGAGCCATTGCCTTAATTGGCACAATGATTTAATAAAAATATAAATGTTTGCATTGTGCGTGGGCACTAGAAGCAGAATAAGAAGATGTATCTGAAGAAGAGGAAGCAGCAGACAGGCTGCCTTTTTTTGTGGATCATTGGAATTGAAAAATACGGACTCCACCCTTTTTGAAGAGCGTTGCGATGCGATGCTGCCGCTGGAAAGCGAAATGAAAATCTCTCTGTTCTCTCTTTTCCTTGCTCTCTCGTTCTCTGACGGACAACCACACCCTGCCTCTCCCTTTTTTGGCAGAGGGCGCGAAAGCATAAAATATGCCAACGGCCCGGCTCACTTTTTGTTATGGCCGTTGTTTCTAATTAGAAATTATTATGTAGATTTTGTGCAGCCAAGCTGAAAACGAAAAGGTTCAAACCGGACACCCGCCTATAACTGTCACATAGCTAACGGTAACGCTTTGTGCGGACGTGTGTACACACTGGAAGGCATTGGAATATGTCAAAATGTTCGAATAGCGGGCAATTGGAACGCCGTTTCCCTCCCGCTGTGCGTCTGTTATAGGGGTGTTGGTTTTTGGGTGGGTTTTCTGTTTTCGAGTCCGGGTTTTGGGTTTTTGGGTTCCTGGGAGGTACAGCTAGCTTTCCGTGTAGTGGTTGGTTTTTCAGCATCTGCTTGGCATACATAGGAAATGCCCAAATACACACGCAAACAAACGATTGCCGGCTAGATGTATGTCATGAGCGCCACCTAGCGGCCGGTTTCTTGCGGGGGAGTGGACTACATTTCGCATTAGTCATGGCTGTAAAAAAAAAAAAAAAACTTCCTGGTTCCATATGGACATCTCATATTTATGAGTATCCTTAACATACGGATAGTTTCGGAAATAGTTTATTGCTTTTAATTTTCATGTAACTGATTTGGGAAACTAATTGGAAACTTCTTTCATATGCTAAGGGAAAATGTAAGATAGGCAGTGCAGTTTTATGAGATGGTGAAACTATGTACATATACTTTTTTTTGGGTATTAGGTAGTATTTATCTATTAATCAGTTCCAAAGCAATACTTAATACTGGGAATAACAATATTTTACAAGATACATTACTTGTATAATGAAACATTATTCAGATAATAAGACTCATAAACAACACCCTAACACTCGTCTGGTTTATTATTATACTTCAAATCCCAAACTGATAAAACACAATTAGAAGTCGCCTGAATATAGAAATACGGATTTAATGATCAAGTATTATTTGTTTCACTGCATGATGTGGAATGTTGCCCACAGATAAAGGGTGGGGTTAACAATCGCCCACTCCCCCACATTCCTCGCACGATTACTCATCCCACGCAATGAAAAAAACAATAAAATGTATCTTCGTGTTCTTTCCCTTTACAGAATGTCGATCATAAGATGCGTTTCCGCTCCAAGAAGGGTCAACTGCCGTTCATTGAGCTGAACGGTGAGGAAATCGCCGATTCGGCCATTATCATCAAGGAACTGTCGTCCAAGTACGAAAAGAATCTGGACTCGGGTCTCACCGCCGAGCAGAGGAATGTCTCGTACGCCACGATTGCCATGCTGGAGAACCATCTCATCTGGATCATTTTCTATTGGCGCGCCAAGTATCCGGACAATGTGCTCAAGGGCTACAAGGTCAACTTGCAGCATGCCCTCGGCCTGCGGCTGCCCAACTCGATTCTGAACTTCTTCTTTAAGATCACCTTTGGTCGCAAGGTAACTGGATAGTTTGAGATATGGCGGTCATGTTCATGGTCCACGATTTTCACTTTCCCGAATTTGTTTGATTTTGATTAGAACATTCATTGGAACATTGCATACTTTTGGTCATTATTGTAATTAGTTATACAGAGGTTATTTTACTTACAATCATGGTCAGCATTATCTATCTATAACTCTCTTTGTTTAAAAGTAACTTTGTTTTTGGTGTCTAACTAAGAATTAATATTTTGGTATACATTTTTATATTTAATTGTACATTTTATAAATACCCGTTTGCCTATTAATCTAATCCGTAATATAGGGTTTTTATTCAAAAGTGTATTGGTTGCAACTAATAACTTACAGATTGATTGATATTAAGAAAAAAGTTATAAATAGTTTTCTCATGAAAAAATAGAGTGGAAATCTTTAAAACAGTGTTCATTGAAACCTAACAAAGTAAGTGAAAGTGAAAACCGGAAAATGCCTGCTCGACAAGTAGAGAAATGTTTAACTTTAGAAGTAGCTGTTGTAGTTGGTTTCGAATATTTCAAAACGCCAGCAGCTGAGCCTCGAGTAGTTCCCGAAACCGAAGATATCCGCGATTTGTTTAGATTAAAAATGTAATCGAAAACCGAATAGGTTCCTGAGTTGGCTGGCGTTTCGGATTAGACGGGGATGGATGGGTAGTGTAAATAAACAATACTTGAAAATTGAAACTAAGGAAGCGGTGGCGTATTATATTGCACCTAACAGAACAAAAAAAAAAAAGAAAACAACTCCAAACACCACCACCATCCCCACACATAGTTTATCCCGAAAACTCCGTTGGCATAAACAATAAATCCCTGGCGTGATGGAATTGTTTATATCTCGATCGGTTCTCACATAACCAAACCAAAACCCAAACGGGAAATTGAAAGGAAAACAATCGTTATTTTACCACTAACTCTTGCATGGTTTTTCTCTTTTTTCTTTTTCGTTCTTTTTTGCATACTACTTTGGTTTTGAACATCTAACTGTGTAATGCGTATTGCCCCCCGATCCCAAATAACTCACATCACAACTCAACTACCTCCAACACCCCGATTCCGTAACGTATGCTTGTGCATCCCCCGTAACCCCCATCCGTAACTGCTGTACGGCAAAACAACTATTCAACACAACAAGTGGTTCCAGGGCACGAAGAAGCTGAAGGCGCATGGCATCGGCGTCCACAGCGCCGAGGAGATCGAGGAGTTCGGCAAGAACGACCTGAAGGTGCTCAGCGAGATGCTCGACTGCAAGCCGTTCTTCTTCGGCGACGAGCCCACCACCCTCGATGTGGTGGCCTTCGCGGTCCTCTCGCAGCTTCACTATCTGTCCAAGGACATTGCGTATCCGCTGCGCGACTACATGACCGAGAAGTGCCCCAACTTGATTGGCCACGTTTCGCGCATGAAGGACAAGTGCTTCCCCGACTGGGACGAGATCTGCACGAAGCTGGACCTCAATGCGCACATTCCCAAGCCAGAGTAAGTTGTCATGGTTCGAAATCTCTTTTGGAATCTGGAATCTATTTTTCTAATTAAATATCAACATAATTTCAGGCCCGAGACCAAGGAAGGCAAGGAGGGCGGCGAGCAGGAGAAATCAAACGAACAAGAGGGCCCTGAGGGCGACAAGATCGAGAAGGAGTTGGAGAAGGACAAGGTGAGGTCAAACTCCTAAATCTCAGTTGGTGTTTTACGTCGAATGAACTAGAGTTATTTGCAAATTAAAATTCAATTTATAAACTAATGTGTTATATGTTTAAATTTAAAACCAAATGATTTTAAACTCACAATATTCACAAAATTTGTTAAATTAAGAATTAGTACTATAACAAATTAAATTTAAAAGTTTTGTTTTGTTGTAAAAAAAAAACTTTTGATAGCCAGCATATTGTCCATTTTTGTTTATTTAAAGTTGAAGTCTCAAACTCCCGTTAAAGAAATAAAATTGGCAACTTTTGTTTCGACGAAGAAAGCCCGTCTAGTCCTTAATCTAACATTTTTTTTTGTGTATATTAACCTATGACCTTAATCTTTTTCAGTCAAACGAGAAGGAGTCGACCGAGGAGAACAAAGAGAAGGAGGAAACAAAGTAAATTCGCCGTTAGTTATATGCGTACATATATCTAGTATATGTGTATGATCGAAGGAAACAAAAACACCCACATACACACACATTATATATATATACATACGTAGTACGATACTATATAGTAAGGCCCTATATAGCTAGGCGCTGCGCTCTCATATATAAGCATTCAGACATCAGAAAACCACTCGAAAAACATAAAAAAAAAAAACATTAAGAAAACACCCATTTACAAACCTAGGACAACTGTAAAGCAAAAGCAGGCAAAAACCATCAGCAAGAGAACGATCCACTAAGTAATGAGAAAAACAAAAAAAAGCATATACAATAACGTAACGTAAAAACTTTGGACATCTTTTTTTATATATTTACACGACGACGTTTGTATTACAAGAACAAGAAACAAAAAGCAAAAAATTTAAGAAAACGCAAAAAAAACCGTAAAAACCATTTAGTATAAAATTATAAAAGTTTATACGTATAAATATTAAGAAGATGAATGAAAGCGATGAGAGCGGGGGGAGAAATTATAAAAAATTAGTTAAAGAACTCGAATAAAACAAAGAACAAGTGAGCAAAACGTGAGTAAAAAGAGTGAAGCCAGATAGGAGGAAAAGTTAGGAAGGTGTAGTACAGCATACAATACGCATTAATCATTAGTTTTCATTCAAAAGCGATCTATATAATACACTCATCCACACTCACACTCACTCTCACAGACACTCTCACACACACACACATATAGCATATGCAGCAACAATTGCAACTCGAAGGTATTGTTTACTCTTCCAAAATTGATTAAGCTTAAAGTAAAGAAAAGATCCGCAACCAGTACGATAGAAGGATATGATATGATATGACATATATAGTGATGGTTAGTAGGGATGGCATGCAATGGGAATGAGAATGAAAATGGTTTAGGAACGATATAACGGAATGACGGCAATTAAGTTTATTTTTTATATATATATGATTGCAAATAGTAATTTTGATTCTCGTGTGCAAATAATTAAACAAAGCGGATAAAATTTATTACTTATAATTATATATATAAAACCTTATATACGCCCATTATGCATAAAGATGTGTATAAAAAAAAAACAAAAGAAAACAAAACAAACAACAAAACGTAAAAACTGTATGTTGGTTCTTTTATTATATTATATTATATTTTATTTCTATAAATATTATTGTAATTGTACTGTGTATTATGATTTTGCCAACCAAAATCCCCATTCGTATGAGATGCTCAGAGCGTTGATCCATCGATGTTTTCACCCACATACACATAATAATAATAATAATCAGAACAATTCGAACCAAAAATAATACTCGGCCATCCATACGAACAAAATTTACCTTTTAATTTGTACGAATTTGTAACTACTTATGTATATTCTCTTTTGGTACGTCCACTGAAACAAAATTATGTACACCACAATTATTTTTTCTACTGTCTTGTGTTTTATACGATTTAATTTAATGATATTGATTATGCAAATATATATATAAATATAAACATAATTTCTACTGTAATTAAAAACGCTGCTGACAACAAAAACGAACGACAAACTCATATAAAACACAACAAACATCTAAGGAGAAAAAGGAGCGAAAGAGCTGGGAGAATTCTCCGCGGGGAGGTCACTGTCTTTCCCTCTCGTTCTCCTACGCTTTCTCCACTTTCTCCCTTATCCAGTCGGCCTCCCAATCATTCACGGATTCCTCGGTGTTTATTGTTTTCCTTTTTTTTTTTTTAACTTCTCATAAAAAAACAAAAACGAATCATCATCAGCCACAGATGGAGAATGAATGAAATCTTTTAATAGGGTAAAACTCACACAAACTAAGAAATAAAAAAATAAAAACGAAAACAAATACAGAACCCATTGAGGCGCGACAGAAGCAGTGAAAACAATTTAGGGGAAGGTCAAGAAAAGAAAAAAAAAAGAAGCAGGAGAAGACGAGCGGGCGATCGATCGATCCACGAAGAAAATCTCTATAACGATACGATTTGTAGACTACGCAAGTATTTTTATGTATTAAAGGTTATGTTGTAAGTTTTTATCACAATATTTGTATTGTAGCTCAGTGTTTTATATGATTATATAAAATGGATAAAGAAAAACAAAAATGAAAATGAAAACGAAAACGATAAACCGAAAAGAAACCGAAACCATAAAAGCGTAAAAAGCAGAAAAGCAAAACCCGGACAGAAAGAAAAATTATTGTATTACATACATCTTATATATAATAAATATGCTTCTTAATAAAAAAAAAACAAAACAAAACAAAACAAAGCCCTGAATGCGCCCAACTGATTTACGACGGAGGCTTACACGACGGACACGCACTGTCCCGATAAAGAAGTCGCATCGGTCGACTTTAAGCCGGGGTGGCTTTACTTGCCCGGGAAACAGAAGAAAAATTTAATTATGACACCCGAGTTATCTTTCGACGTACACCCCTGATAACTCTAATTCAAGTTTGCTTATTCATATCTAAACAGTCATAGTAGCCCTCGGTTATATTTATTTATTTCGCCCGATAGCAACGCCCATCTGAGAAGCCCCAGCCCCATCCCCCCGAAATTATTTTGTGCGGTCACTGTTTTCGTGGTCAACAATCAGGCTAGATGAATCAGTTTGGGGCACTTTTAATTGATATGATTTTTTCCAATTATAATTGATCTCAGTTAAGAAGTTAACCAAAGCTGGCAATTCAATTAGGCGAACTGAAGAAAGCACAAAAAGCAAACAGTACTGAACTTTCCTTCTCAGCTCAAGGTCACAAAGGAGACCCGAATAGTAAATATTTATACAGGCCCTATATATACATATATATTTGCACCCAGATATGCCAATCAAATTGACATTCAATTCAATCTGACCCAATATTACGGTGACGCGGGCGATAATCGATATTTGACCTAGGGCAATAAAATTTCCACCTCCCCCATTTTACTAGAGTTGGAAGTTGTCTAATCAACATTTAATTTGATGTTCGATTCGAACGCTTCGAAGCCATCAAACAGCAAACAAATGGCAGGGGGATTTTGGGGGCTCTAACTCGTCGTCGACTAATCAAGGCAAACACATCGAAGAATACCAGAAGCACACCCTCCCCATTTGCCCCTCTGTTTCTGTCAGCGACATTTCTGGCAATTTATTGAAGACGAATTCCAATCAGAGCAAATCATGCGAATATGGCAAACGGAATTTATTACGCCAAGCGTGCAGGGCACGTAAAAAATAAAAGGTAAGTGTGATATCGTTTGGATCCATCTCTCCAACCCGCAGTTACAGTTGGGGTCAAAGTGGTAGCATTTGTTATTTTATTCGTTTCGGAAATATGACGTTAAGCGATGCTTTTAATTCAGAGATTTTCATGTTCATATTACTTTCTACATCAATTTCTTTAACTTTTTATTAAGAACTCCACATGTTTTATTATATCTGGAATATAGGTAAATATCGAAACTTGAAATATGGGATTTTAAATATTATAGGCATTTAATAAGAAACACATTTTATTGTTAGAAAACTCAAAAAAATATTACTCGATCTAGATATGCCAAAGAAACAATAGTTTTCAAAATTATCCTTCGCTAATTTGGCTATAATTTAAGCTTAATTAGTATGTGGCCCCTAACTACATATATATATATTTTTTAACCAGCCACTAATATTTTGTTCTCATCTGTATACACCTATCGCTCTGACAACACAGTCATCCAGGGAAAGCGTATAACGGTAACGTTCCATTTGTCCTTTGTGGCGAAATTTTTTTTCCAGCTGCCAGATGGAAAGGGCCCCTCTGCTGGAGGGAGAGGGCGACAGTATTGGCGTGCACATTGCATGCGGCGACAGGTGGGTGGAAGGGAGAGGGCTGGAGGGGGCTGTGCAAAGAGATAGATAAGTAATTCCATGGAGCATGCAGCGCGGTTGGATGTCGATTCAGAATTTGGAGGCTCCCAGCATTGAATTGGTGTTAAGCACGAACCGAACGAAATGGAAATGGAAATGAGAGAACGAGACTGAGAATGAAAATCAGCAGTTGTCATTGTCATTGGAATTGGTTGTGCAAATGGGGGGGGGTGAGGAGTGGGCGGTCCCAAAGGCAAAAAGGGAGATGAAAGACACGCCATCGAAAGGAGAGTCCACCTGGGTTCATCCAGTTGCCGTTGTTCACTGCAACTGCTCGGTTCGGATTCGCTCCTGCTCTTTTAACAGTTATTCCGAGGGAGTATATCCGGGATTTCCCCGCTTATCCAAAAGGGCCTTCGTGTGGTTTACATGTAACTATAACAAACCGATCGTGTCGAAATCAAGTGCATTAAAATATAATGGTTGAACGCAATTAGAGCACCGTATCGGTATCTCACTAATTGTGGAAGCTATCCGATCGTGCTGAAATGTAGTGGATCGGTGTGATATAGAGGTCTAACGTTAGGTTGTACCAAATAGAAATTCGTAAATAAGTAATTGCGAAAACCATTGCGTGTTAATAAAAGTCGAATAAGCTTGTAAACTTTTTCGAATTAAATATCAGTTTCATTAAGTTCGATTTAATTAATATTTGAAATGTAATAATAAATTAACATCTACGCGGGGAACAAATTTAAATTTGGTACAAAACACAAAGACTATAATGTTAGGTTTGGCAAACTCATCGTGCTGAATAATTCTAGATCGAAGATAGGGCTTTTAATTATAGTGGATCGATTTAAATCGTTATAGTCTGAAAATTGTCGAGTAACCATAATTTTATATAAACACATCCTCATTTAAGAGAAATGGACTGTTTTGATAACCATCATCATGAAAAAATATTGTTTTTAGATAAAATTACAAAAGTATATCAGGAAAAATCTACATTGTCTAAGATAATATTATATATATATTATAAGATCGCTTAAAAATTAACATTGAACTGGCCTATGATAAAATTAAAGCTAACCTAAACAATCGTAATAAAATTATAGATGGAGATACCAAGCTATCTCACAACATTAGTTACCATCTACTGATTTGTCTAACATTCTAAGCATTCGCCATGTCCAATCAACTATTTTTCCTGAGCTTGGCGGACATCTTCTCGGTGTATCCGGCCATTTTCAAGGAGCAAAGCAAGAAGCTGAAGAAGACCAAGCAGATTTACTTGCCCAGCGATGAAGAGTGGCAGGACAAGATGTACTACATGCTATTGGAGATCCAGCGCCACGTGAACGAATCGTCCGATGAAACCCTATCCCTACACGACATCAATAAGAAGGAAAAACCTTTGTTTGATCCGCTGCGCATCACCAAGATCCTGTCGCCCGGGGTTAGTCCCAATGGACGACGTAGCAGGATCCTGAAATACTGCCATTCCACTACGGTCAAGGTCAAATTGAAGGCTGGCGCACGTTGGACATTGCCAACCATCGCAAATGCCGCCAAACTTCTGCGCAAACCACCGATTCTGGTGGATTTTCAAAATGAGCATGAGATGCGATTGGCCTTTTCCTTGATCTACGATGTTTTTAGATGTGGGTTCTTAAGATTGGCATGGTTTTTTATAGGCAACTAAACTGTTTGTTTTGTACCTTTTAGATAAGGTTGTTATGTCGAATGCTTTGAATGATGTCAGCTTCTTTGAACAACACAAAGAGGTGGGTAAAGTTAGTTTTATAAAAGTAACTTTTTTAAGGGTTGATTTAAAGTTGGTTAGTGTTTTACCTTTCTTTAGTACAAAAACGACGAACAAAGGATTTGGTTAATGCTCTTCGAACTCTACGATCGTCAGTTTAAAGGACGTAACTCCGAGGAGAAGGATCTCCAAGCGAGTCTTTACAAGGAGTCGGAAGTGACAGGTGGGTGGATATCACTTATTTAAATATGATATTATTTATAATCCACCAATTTCGTGAACAGATCACGCTGATGTTCTCTGGCAACATCGAATTCGTCTGGCAGCTTCAATTTCCCGGATGAGAATTCGGGTAGGAGCTCTTAAACTTTCCCAACTGCTGCCCATTCACCTTCAGAATGAGAAAGTGGCTATCGCAGCTGCCAATCCCGTTGTCACCGGTTGGATTAATCCCTTTTTAGTAAAGTGAGTGAATTCAAGTTTGAGTAAGTTAATAGAAAAGTATAAATACTTTTACACATTTGATTCTTTAGAAACAAAGAAGAGGCAGATAAGATCCTTACCGAAATGGGCTTTACTGTACACGGACCGGACGATGAGGAACAACTTTTGGTGCAGCACTGTAAGTGGGACAACATCTGTCCTCTGGTCATATCCTGTATTCCCAGGGACCGCAGTGAGTTCACCAAATCCGTGCTGATGACTAAGCATTACTTTATCATGCAAGTAAGTCTTTTAAAAAATTGTTATCTCTATTTTATTTTATTTTTATTTAACAAAATAATGGTAATAAAAATATCACAGATTATTTAAAAAGTTTTAAAGATATCCCTTTTAAAGTATAAAAGTACATTATTATCGAAAAATCAAACTTGGACATTGTTGGCCTTAATCAAAGAACTACTTTCATCAAAAATATTTATTTTTACAAGACCATAATGCTTTGAGATATGTGTATAAATGGAGCTTAAATAACGTAATCTACCAAGGTTTTTCATAAAAAAAATGTACGTACTATTTTAAACAAATTTACCTATTTATTAATTAGAAATAGAAACAGTCAATAAATTAAACGCTTTTTTTCCGGTTACAACTTTTAGTAATGAACTGAAAGTGTCGATCAAAATTTTAAATATAGCAGGCGTGCACGTTTGATTTTTCATCAGAAAAAAAACACGAAGTCAGATTGTAAATACATTTTCGGAAAGTCAACACTGCGAATGATCAATAAACATTGAAACCAAATATCACCGCCAGTAAACTTGTTTTCGTCTTGTAATTTAATACTTGAAATTTGGAGAATGTTTACCTTTGTTTTTTGGGCTGCAGAAGGTCCAATGCACTTTTGAAATGTTTACAAATATTGATCTACTTTCAGGACAAAAACTTTACTTTTGGTCCGGCTATTATGTCCAAGTTAATGGATTACTTCCAATTGGACGGCGATATATTGCAGACGCACATAGGTTCCCCCCGATCCACCGCGTATTTGGCAGCGCTTTTTTACTCCGTCAACCGGGTGAACAACTTCTATGTTTATGGAGCCGGGGCCAATCTGAAGGAGTACCGACGCTATATGGAACTAATAGGGGTTAATAATATCCGACTGTTTGGCGATGCATTTACCTCCTTTCCCATGGAATCGAATCGTTTCAGGACGGTTGTGGGCATTTTCGCAACGCCCCCAAACTCGTTTAGTGCCATTTCGGATCCCATCGATTTGATTTGTTCGCGTGGCGGAGATTTGAGTATGCTGGAGGTGCTCACGGAATCGGAGGTCAGCGATGAAGGTCGTCAGCGGGTGGCCATGATCCTCGAGGAGCAGCTGCTGACCCTCACCATGTCGATGTCGCGACCCCAAGTCCAATTTGTCCTCTATCAAACGCACTCCATTGTGGGCACTGAAAACGAGGATATGGTGCAGCATGTCGTGGAGTTGATTAACAAACTGGCCTTGGAGAAACATCGCAATGCCTACAAGGAGCAGAAGCGACTGGAGGCCATTGCTGAAGCGGAGGCAGCCAATATTCCGGCGGCTGCAATGAGCAAGGATTCGCCCCGGAAGAAGGATAAGCCCTCCACGCAACCGGAACCGCCTGCATCAGGAACACCGTCGTCGACGGCGCCTCCATTGCCCAGAGTGGATAGCATTGATCTGATTGTGACGCCCGATATCGATGAATTTGTGCAGGACACAGTCCCCGATATATGCATCAATCAGGATAATTGCATCAAGCAGCAGACTACGGGTAGCTACTTATCCCTGGTACGTCGAAAAACCCTGACTCATCTGAATGAGAAGTATCTGATTCGTCGAGCCGAGCAGCGGGGACTCTTTGGCAAGCCCGAAAAGGATTCCAAGGATAAGTCCAGACCCAAGACCGTGAAGCTCCAGGAGCAGCAGTCGGAACCAGCTCCGCAGGACATGGGCTATGATCCTCGGAACTCTGGCCAGCGATCCAGTGCCCAGCAAATTGTGAGTACAGAAATTTCGCCAAAAAATATACCCCTGACCGTTAAACACAGAACAAAAGGCTGTTAGACTTTACACTTTATTGTTAACAAAAACAAATTTGAAGGTGGGTGGGTGATTGTTGTTAAAATGGGGGGGAAATTGTGGGAGGCTGAGTCTGAGGTTGAGGTGTGGGGCTATGTACACTCGGGTCTTATGAGCTAATAATTAACATGTCCATACTGTCTGCGGATTGATCATCATCGATAGACACGCGATCGATGTCATCATTATTGAATTTCATTTTGATCGGCATCATTATCTTGTTTATCGACAAGATCATTTCTATTAGCTCTTCAACGTTTTAAAATACTACATATTATGTCATATACTTGTGGTTACTATATGTTTAATTATATTAAATAATATTGTTATAATTTTTGTACCTCTTTCTAACTTCATATTATTAAGTTGTTATTTTTTTTCCAGCTGTATGTATGCACACTTTCTATAACTTGAATGCCTTCACTTTCTATTATTTGTATTATCTTCATCTATATTCACATCATTTGTATTATTTGCATGTGCAATCTTATACATTATCATTCATGGAGGTATTTAATTTGTTGCATTGTTATTTATAATATTAACATTTGTGTTATTTATATATTTGAATATTCACATCATTATCATATACCGATATATTTTAATGTTTATCTGGAAGTACAGAAGATCAGCTCCATCTCGTTGCACATTACTTTAATCTATATTCACATCCTATAATTTTCGGTGACACCACACCATCATCATCATCATTATCATCATCATCATCAGCATTAGAGGGTGAGGTTTTAGGGTAATTAGCATGAGGTGGCAAGCACTTTGCCTTGGCTTAGTCACAGGCTTCAAAGGGATTAGGTCATGCTCGATCTGCTTATCTCATTGGATCGCTCATAGTTGGGAAATTGGGAGATCGTACATCCATATATCCGTATATCCGTATATCCGTATCATCATTACTTCTTCCAAGCACTGGCCGATGAGGTCTTCGCATAGTTCTGGCTCTTCTGCTGCTGGTAGTTCTGTTTTATATCCGCTTTCTTGCCACTCGAGTAGTTGGAGGCCATGCCGGAACCACTGTTGCTGCTGCCATTGTAGCTGAAGCTGGACTTGAAGGTGGGATTGCCGATGCTCTTGAACATGGGATGGCTTTTGCCGGCGCCCACCGGCGGTGCCGACTGATTGTAGTAGTAGCTCTTGCAGTTGGAGCTCTGGTGCTGCAACTGCTGCTGCTGCTGGTGCCCCTTGTCGGAGGACATTTGGCGGGCGTAGGAGGAGAGGCCCAGGCCAACGGCACCCATGCCCACGCCCAGTCCGACGGTGCCCACGCCCACTCCGCCCATGCCCACGCCGTAGGACTGCTGCTTGTGGCTGGTTGAGAAGGTGGCCCCCTGGCTATCGCTGGCCAGCGATCCGCTCTGCGTGTAGAACTGCTGCTGCACCTCCACTATATAGCGATAGGCCTCCTCCATGCTCTTCGGATTTCTGCGCAGGATCATCGAGTGCGTCGGCTCGGGCAGATGATCCCGGAAAACCTGCAGTGTAATCCTCTCTATATCCTCGAGTCCATATAAAGTATCGTTGTGCGTCAACTTTCGATTGATCAGTCTGTGCTTCAGCTTGGCCATCTTTTGGTAATACAGCTCTATATTGGAGTCCACCACAGCGCTGCGTATCTTGTGTATCAGTGAATAGCTGGACTCCCTTTCCGCATAGTTGTACAGCAGTTGATCCTTGAGTTTTAGCCAGGATTCGGCTTTCAGGAGGTGGCCATTTCCCGCTCCATTGCCATTGCCATTGCCCACCGGAGCGCTCATTTGACGCGTGAAAACCGCTTCTCTGGCTCGATCCGTGCACTTATTTTTAATGTGTCCTATTAGCTGGGCTTTGTAGTAGTCGTCGAAACTATTTATGGCCGGCATTAGGGCCTCGATTTTCTGCAGAAACTGGGGCAGCTTGCCGGGATCACTGCCATCGAAATTCTCCACCAGCTTTAGCCGGCTCAGGACCTGATTGTATTTGTTCACAAACTCGGGATCCATTGTGGTAATAAGCCCAGTTCTTCACCGCAGCGTTATGCTATAGCTTTACCGTTATTACCGATCGATGCGTTCGCAGCGACGTTTCGGGCGCGACTGCTTTCAAAATTCGAAATCGCCGCCGAACAGCAACTGCGGCAAGCGCCGTGCGCGCGTCAATAATTGTTGTGTATGGAAAAACAGATTTTAGATTCTTACAAATGTATAAATTAACATTCATTAACATGAATTTTACTTGCAAGACCCTCTCCGATCCAATCCGACAATGACAACGGAACGGTTGCGAATTCGAAATCGACACGAACCGTGGTCGAACCGACTGGACTGAACTGAACTGAGCGGATCCGAACCCGAACAGACATCAACTGCCAGAATAAAACAGAACGGAACACAGCGCCCGCCATTCATTGTGGTGGGAGTTGTGGTACCCCATATATGTGGAATCAGATGGGGTATACTACGCTATCTTATGTGGTATGACACGGACAAAGAAAAGCCACAGAGCTTGCAATTCTTAAAGCAATTTTCCCTTAAATACGAAAAGCTTCACTTCAATCATGACTTCAATCCACTATCTATCTCTTGCAATGCAGAAGTAATTATGGATGAAAACATTTTTTAAGCACATGAATTATAGATTACCCCATTGCAAAAATAACAAAATTAAGTATAGTTTTTTTAAGAATTATAGAAGTGCGTCATGTATAGACAAAATTGTATTAATCCTATTCTACTTTTGGAACATTTAAGTTATAGCTTAGAGAAAGGATCCTTAAAAGAAAAATAAATTTATCCAGTATTTTAAAATCGTTCTAATTAACGTCTAACATAGTAGATAGCAAAGTTATGAAGGTTCTTAGTTATTTACAAGATTATTTTTATCTGAATTCTTACATTTTTATTAAGTTTCCTTGTTGCTGTAAAACAGGAATACGATTTTCGTAGCATACATTGTTGATGCATTCTTTTTTTTCTGAATAAGAGATTATACAATTTTAAAGTTAACAATTAAAATTTGTATACAGTAAAATATTAATTTAACTTTTAGATACCAACAATTCTTAGGTATACTTTCGTTCTTAAAAGTCATTGCATACTTTTTGGCGAATTAGTCAGGAATGATATTAGAAAAGCTAAATCACTTATTGACCACATGAAATTTGGTATGTAGATGGATGTTTAACTTAACAATTCTAGTGTTCATGGTCATACAATGGGTATCTGAATGCCGTAACCCTTTGCTCTATTGCTGCTATTTGTTTACTGTTGTTGTGCTGTATGCCCGGCGCTGAATCATAGGCACACACAAGCACGGCGACACCCTGCGACCGATCGTGCTTAGATATAGCCGGGCAGATAGAGAAGGAGATAGTGCCAAGCCAACGGACACGGGCCCACGAAAACCCCGTAGCACGCACATACCCCTAATACAACATCAAACGCAACAACGAATTTCATGAAAAAGCGCGCACAAATCGCTTTAAACGAAGCGTTAGATTTGTTTGTTTTGTCGTTCGTTCGCCGTTTTTGTTGCCGTGTTAATTGTCAGAGGGCAAATGGCGAAAACAATAAATAAATAAATAGAGAAAGTGCATGCGAGGATAAAGAAAAAACAAGCTTTATCGACAGGCAGTCAAATTGCACATGCACCCCTTTAAATATTACACATACGCACTGATTGACAACGAAAAAATGCGACTTTTCGACTCTATTCACATGCAAATTGCTCCAAAGAGCAATTGCATTCAAGGTCCTTTCATAATTTCAGATTTTTTCGAAGAATCTAATTGTGCTGCTCACGCTGCACCCTGCACTCGATTGCTCATCGCTTGATCTGCACTCAATCGACCCCAGCAGCATCTAATTCAGCTCGATTGCCTCCAATCTTGACACGTACACTTAAAAAAAAATGTTTACAGGAATTTTTTAATCAATTGATTAATCAGGACTTGCAAATAATTGTTGAAATAACAATTTCTGTTTACCAAAGTTTGTTTGATTTTTAACATAATTTATTAATATTCAAGCACCTTTGCTTTGGTTGCTCTATGAATCATTTTACTTTTCATATTTATTAAATGACTCTTCATATTGAAGTTGCTAATTTTACAATCATGAATTCGGTAAATAACAAACAGATCTATAAACAATTAGTGTGTACTTTTTAAGAAAGTTTTAAAAAATATGCCATGAAAAGAGTTTATGTTAAAAATAAAATCTGTTAACAACAAATTGGCTTAACTTATTAACCAATTAACCAGTGAAGTGTTTTTTAGAGAAAATTCTATCACAGGAAAGGGAAGTTTGAAAATAGAAGTTTGTCTAATAAGTTCGATGATAATAATAAGATATTTTAATAACTTTGATAGTAAGGCAATACGTAATTTCTCGCGGTGGAGCGGTACTCATACCGACGCACACCTTTATTAGAGCTGGCACAGCCCGGTGGTTGCCAGCGCCTAACCCTGCACCGCCCCCTGAGCCCATTGAATGGGTCGCCGCTTTTAAGGTCTGCTGCGCCGGCGTGCGCGGTTCAACTAATTAGCAACAATTTCTGAGCGTTAGCGGCTTGTAAAACTGTTTAATAATAGCAAAAACTTGTCGGCGTGTAGTCATCGCCGAGGACAAATCACAAAGAAGCCGAGTGGGAGTGAGAGAGAGAGAGAGAGAGATACAAGGAAGGGGGGGTCGAGAGATTAAGGGGTTGGGGGGACGGGTTCCATTGGGGTGCTAATTTAAATCGCGTCTCTAAACTGATAAGCGGATTTAATTGCTATCAACTTCGAGTTGGATGACTTCGCTTTAGCCTGTCACTTTTGCTCACTGCGAAAACAATCCGCACCGCCTTGCAACTGTAATTTTTATAGTTATTATTATGTAGACAACAAAAGCGACTTGCTTGCCGCATTGATAAGCAGGTTCAGGGACACCCTTCCCCCCAGCCACTCACTCAACCACCCAATCCAGCCCAGTCCCACCCAACCGATTCCCAATCCACCACTTGGAAATATCAGAACTGTTTTGGAGTTTTCCGACCCTAAGATAACGTTTACTTGCCGGAAAGGTGATTAATCATATAGATATTGTCGATCTATATTATCATTTCATTCACAACTGTTAGTTAAATTTAAATGATAACGTTTTTAGCAAACTTTCAGATATGGCTCTATTTGTACACTCCTCAAAAACAAATATTTATTTGAATTTTATTTAAAAATAAATAAACAAACTCATAAATCATGAGTTTATTAATGCTATAAAAATATCCAATCGTGATAATTTAATAACCCTTTTTATAATGCCAAGTCTTGGTTTTTAATTACTGCTCAAAAGATAAATTTTTTATAACATTTGATAGAGTTCAAAGATATTTGGGGACTCTAAAAAATTAATTTTTCCTCTATAATCAAAGAAGAACGTTAAATAAAGATCCACTTTGAGTAACTATATGAGTATCTATATTCTGTTGTTATGCTCCAGTTAAGCAATACCATAACCCTTTTATTTAAATGCAAAAGTAACGCGCTAAAACGAATAATTCTACCAAATTTGGTAGCGAGAGCCAGGTGTCTAAATTAAAAACAATATAGTACCGAGTGTACACAAAGTTATCGGCCATAATTCAAATTAAGCCCCGCTCGATTCGAATCATTTGCAAGCCAAATTTGGCGCGAATTCTTCGCAAACATTTTGCGCATATTAATTGTGTTCACAAAATGTGTTCAATTGTTTGGAAAACTAATTACGTGCGCGCGCTATTCTATTTTATTTTATTTATATACATATTTCTATATTTTTCGCAGCTCCAGCGTCTGCAGCGATCGACGAGCGCCAGCGCGATCCGTTCGCACCTGACCAAGGTATCATCGACATACCGCCGCCCCATCGCCTTCAACTTTATTCGGCGCGAGTGCAAGCGCTTCTACGTTTTGCCCGTCTACATGGTGAGTGTGTGTATTTTCCCTTCAGTCATCGGGTGGTTTAGGGTCCCATAATATTTACAGCCCCAAACCCCAATCCCAATTCCAGTCCCAACACTCCCACACTACTAAAAACCACCCACTGGCAATCCCCATTTCAGCACAGCACCAAGCAGAGCATTCGATTATGGTGGCAATACGCGTACAAATGCGTCACGCCCTCCGCCTCAGCCGATGCGGTCTGGAATCCGAATCTGAAATTTCGACTACACTGCAGTCGCCAGCTGCGCATCCGCAAATTGAGACGTGGTCCGTGGTCCAGGAGGCAGCCACTTCAATTGCATATCAATGACATCAAGCTGTTGTGCCAGGTGCGCAGGCGAAGCAAATGAATGGCATTGTCAATATAGCCCTAAGAGGTCTAGACTCTAGACGAAATTCCACTTTAAATTCCAGCTGGCATTGTTTATTTGAATTCCACAGAAAATTCTGGTCGAAATTCAAACTTTTAAATCTTCCCGCCTCTCGAAAGGCATTGCCATACGCTCGGACTTTATCGATAAGTTAGTGTTGAGTAAGGAAAACTTTGAAATAATATAAAATGCTCTTTTCAGTACTTGATAATTCAAATAATATTACAATAAATCAAATTTACGCAGATGTGTGCTAGTCTTTATTTAATTTAAGTATTAGATTAATTTTCAATTATAAATTAAATATAAATCCAATAATTTTTGGAATACTTTTATATTGTTCGAACGTATATTACAATTTTGAATTTGAATTTTTATCTCTTAATTAATCTTACATAGTTTTAAGAACAACAAAAAGATATGTCTTAAAATAAATATACGGATATTGTTTGTTTAACAATAGCTAGGAATTGCATGTAAAGAACATAATTTGCAATGTAGCACCCGAAATTAAAGATAAATAATATTTCTAACAAATTAAGGAACTCAATTTGAACGCAGTTAAAAAAAAACTAGAAACGGAATTTTAAAATTTATTCAATTTGATATTTAATATATTCATATTGTAGTTATATAAAATTGTCTAGTTCTGCAACCGAAATTAATTTTTTGTCAATATATTAAAATTATATAAAAATAAAAGTTTCAGAAAAATGTTTGAATTTAGCTAGTTTTTAGGGACCAAATTAAAATTATAATTGTATTCCAAATGCATTCAAAAACGACAGTTCCTATCAACTATGCATCCTCGACGTAATATAATTAGTTGTAGAGTTGTCTTGAAGTATTTGATTTATTTATAGGATGAGTGGTGATTGAGTACAAGTACAAATAATTAAGTTAATGAAACGCAATTTTGAATTGTCCGTCAGTGTCCTGTATCCTTGAATGGCTAACGCGGTTGAGTAGATGGAGTAGGGCATTTGCGATGCGATACGCTATAGTATAGTTATAGTTTATAGACATAGTAATGCTGATATCCTAAGGGCAATCCACCTACATGCCACAAGTTCGATAATGTGTGTCCCAAGCGCGCAGCTAAAACGGATGTTCAAAGAAAAAACAATTTTTACTATATTTTTTTTTGCTTTGGATAGATCAAAATGTTGCTGGTAAGTTAGCTTTTGAAATAAGCTGCTGCATATAGTTGTAAAGCCTAAACAAATTGTTCAAATTGTTCTCTAGCATTTTTGAATTGTTTTAGATAAATAACTTTTAAGTTCCTTTTTTTTAAAACCCACAAAGCTCACCTGGCATTCACGACTGCAGTACCATTGAGTCTGGCAACCGGTGCACAAGTAGGTGGCTTTACGACGCTTGCATTCGTGGCAGCTTTTATCCTCCTTGCCGTTGGTGGCAACAGCGTCCTCGTGCTTGGACTTATGGAGGCTCTTCTGGTCTTGCGACTTGCTCTTGCCTAACTTGCGCTTGACATCGACCATTGCTTCCTCGTTGCGGTAGGCGGAATGTGACTCGTGATACTGCGAAGGGTAACAATGATTTGGCGGCACAAGCACATACTGTTTAGATTTATTTCTTACCTGACTGTTGGACTGTTCACGCTGAGACACCATGGGACTGCTGTTAAACAGCGGTTTGATCATCAGTGATTCATTGTCAAAGTGATTGTCCAGGGAAAGGTTATTGTAACAAGGAGGCTTTCCCGGACCCTGGCCTTTATTGTAGGAAGAGGAGGAAGCGGCGGCCAAATTGGGCGTGGAATTTACCATCTCTTGATATCTACAAATATATATATACGCCATTTGTTAATGAGCAACTGCAAGTCTAAAATGTTGGTAACTCTTCCCACCTGTCTAGCGGGTGGAATAGCTTTGGACGCTTGGATGGTGGAGCATTATCTTCGTTAAACTCTCGCTGATGCTCCTCTGCCATGTCGCGAACATGGCGCAACGGTGGCTGACGTGCAGGCAAGGAATTCCTTCTGTATAGCTGTCGCTCCTCCTCGAAATGACGCAGGGATACCGGCGGGGCTTGCTCCTTCAAGCCCATAGCTCTGAAAAATGTCAACTGGACATTAGAAGAACTCTCCCATCTTGCATTAAAGTACTATAAACTTACCCACGCAGCAAACGCAAGTTGTTCTGGTTAAGTGTGGCGTGATTCAGGCATTGTTCCACCGCCGACAGGCCGTACTTTGAGGGCATTGGAGCTTGCTGCTCGTCAACGAGCAGCGTGTGCATTTCCAGCAGTTCCTCAGTGCTGACGCTCTTGTTGAGAAGGGCCGGCAGCAAGTCCTTTATCATAGTCATGCGCTCCGAGCGCTCCATTCGGGCACTCAGTTCCTTTTTCACGTGACGAAGGTAGAGTAGCCGATTGTATTCCTCCTCTTTCTTTGCTATCAGTTTGTCCAGTGTTTCCAGATCCGCATCGATACGCTCACGCTCTTCTGCGAAAGCTTTCAGTTCTGGGCGCACGGAGTTCACCTTGTCCTTCATGATGGTGTCAATTTCCTCGAACAGCTCCTTGATGCGATAATGGAAGCTAGCATCACTGTTGTTGAGATCAATGTTGGGCTTCTGGCGGGTTGGCGACGGAGTGGGCTGCGCCGATTGCGACACCTGCGTCTGGGTGGACACCGTCTCCGAGCGACGTGGTTGCGGCTGCTGTGGCACCACAAAACTGGTGGAAATAACTTGGGGCAAGTGGGGATGCATTTGTGGCTGCTGTGCCGGTGGAGCCAACTGCTGTGGTGCAGCTTCTCTTGGTGGTGGCAACTGCTGAGGCGGAACTCCTCTTGGTGGAGCCACTTGCTGTGGCTGAGCCTCTCTTGGTGGAGCCAACTGCTGTGGCTGTTCGGCCCTGGAAGGAGTCCACTGCTGTGGTGGAGCTCCTCTTGGTTGAGCCAATTGCTGTGGCGGTACTGATCTTGGTGGGGCCATCTGCTGTGGTGGCGTTGATCTTGGTGGAGCCAGCTGCTGCGGAGGAGCTGGTCTGGGTGGAGCCATCGGCTGGGGTGGTGGTGCTGATGGAGCAGCCATTTGCTGTAGAGCAGCTTGATGCAACGGAGTCGTCTGTGCTGGAGCTTTCTGAGCTGAAACTGCCCTTAGCGGAGCAACTTGAGGTGGGCCTCTCTGTGCGGTGACCGCCACTTGGGATGTGTGCGGAGCTGAATAGTTTTGAATATTTAGCTTTGTGTTATTTGGCAGCTTCTCGTTGGGATATGATATCTCTATCTCCATGGGTGTGGCCGGCGGCGTAGGAGTATTCAAACTGTAGGAGACGTTGGCCAAATTGTCTGCCTGCTTGGTGGCAGACGAAAGAGCCAGGGTATAGGGTGTGCTGAGCTTAAAAGCCGGCTGATTCTGTAGGGGATTAGCTGGTGGTGTGACGGACGTTTGCAGATTTAATGGTGGATCCGCCACCTCTGGTTTGCCCTGCTTCACTGGCAAAAACTCAATGGTATCATCGTCTTCTTCATCCAGGTTCTCGGGATCGGGGCACTTCTCGCTGCTCGTGGGCGGAGTCACCGATCGGCGCCTCTTGAGAGTGGCATCCATCACTAAGGACTCGGCCGTCTGCTGTTCTTCCTGCTGCACCAGCGTTTCATTATTAAGGGCCTGCTCCAACTCAAGGCTGGCGGGAAGCTTGTCCAAATCGTAACTCGGCTGCTGGGGCTCCTTTTTCTTTAGGAACTCATCGAGGACAGAGTCACCGTTCTCGTGGGCATTTAGCTTGTCTGGCAGCTCGAAGTTAAGCTGAGGCGGTGGTGCCGCAACCTTAGGTTTATTTTCCTTGGTGGGCGTAACCCTGGCCTGCGTATCTATCTCTGGTTTCTCTGGGGACTCCTCGTTCTCTGTGTCGTCCAGACAAATCAGTTCCGGCGAACGGCTGCCACTGCGACTACGGGAGTAGCTGCGACTACGACTGCGACTGCGACTACGGCTGTGGCTACGACTGCGACTGCGACTGGGGCTCCTGCTGTCGTAGCTCCTACGGCGCCAGGTCTTATAGCGAGCCAGTAGCTCCAGTTTGTTCCTACGCTTGGGCAGCAAGTCCTTCAGACCCTCCAAATAGGTTTGGTAGTCCATTTTATTGGGTCGCAGCCTGAGATTGGAGGGGGGTTATTAGAGTTTGGTATATGATTTCCACAGGGGATTCCCTACCAACGCATGCTGCGACGCTTGAAATAAAGATTGGGCCAACGGCGCCGCTGCAATTGCAATTGCCGGATCCTTTGAAGGGTTTCGGCCCGTGTGGAAGGGGGATCCGGTGCGCTCTCCGCCTTCTCATCCTTGTCTGCCGAAGCCGGTGGATCTGCGGTTCCATTTCCGGGCTTACCCGATCCGGGTCCCTTTGGTTTGGTCTTCTGGGGACGCTGCTTGCTAACCGCCGCGTCCATCAGGGCGTCGTAGTCCTCCTCCTCGTGGCTATACTCGTCGCTGCTCAGCTGGGAATTGGAGGAGTCGTAGATCTCCACGTTGGACATCGCTGCTGCAAATGGACCGAGTTCAGGTATGTACATCACTAGGACTGGGATTAACACCCCAAAACTCACGCGCTCACGTCTGCAAATTTTGGTCCAACAAAAAAGCGTCTGCCGGCTGAATTTTTCAATCTGCCGTCTCGCTGCTTTTTGCCGCTGACGATAACCACTTACAACTTTGGCCCAAGACCCCAAGAAGTTAACTTGGCGTCTATTCTAGTTTTTAGGGAGATACTTACAGCGAACAACCAATTTCCAATTGTGAAAAAAAGATTTGGCGTTAATTTTGCGAACGATTTGTGACAGGCATTTAGTGTGGACACAATCCAGCAGTGTTGCCAGGTAGCAGAAAACAAGGGAAAAAATACCATCCCGAAATACCAAATACCTACCAAGCCCAGAATTTGGTTGGTAGGCGTATTAAAAAAAATATTTATGATTTTTAAAAAGAAAAAATCTCATAGCATCAAAATAATTATATATTTTTTTTTGTTTTAACGACTTTAAAAACGTTTCTTTAACAGTCTGATGGTATCCAACTTATTTTACAGGCTAGCCGTAAGACTATACTTGTTTAACAATTAAAACATTTGGACAATTTTCTCAGCTTACTTGGTCGGTTTATAATTCCCAATTCCCAATTGCGAACAAATGGTGCGTCGAATATCTGGTTTTCTAAGATTTGGTGTTAATTTACCAACCAAAATCGTTTAGAATGCGGTTAATTCACAAACCAAATTCGTTGAAAACCAAAAATTAATATCAGAAAGTTTAACTTCTTATGAAATAGCAGACGAGCAGCTGATTAAAATTGCTCTATTCTGTATAATGTAAAGAAAAAATTGTAATAAAATTAAAACAAGTTTAAAATATTTTAAAACCTACTAAATCTAATACGAAAGTTTGTAACTTGGTTACACTGTTGAAAAATACTAAATCCAGGAAATACTGTGCTTCCTCTTCTTTACCGGAGCAAACGTCATTGCACTCGAACGGTCATACCGTAGGGTTACAAAAGAAAACAAATCAATTCGCACAAAAACATTGCCAAAAAGGTAAATGGCGGGCAAGTCGGCGCCAAGTTAATAATATATTATAGTGTCCAGTGTTTTTCCAACTAGTCTCTGCCCAGTGATATTTGTAAGCGAAGGGCAAGGCTCATCGAAGGGCTGCTATATATATGTATATATGTACACAATGTGTACCAGGGAATAACCGATAAGAGATTGATAGCCCTGCGGGTGGACTTTGTTTTTGATAATAGTGGGTGGCGATGCGATCGCGGATCGTGAAGCGCTAAAACGAGTGATAACCGTAAAGCTAACCACGTCACGTCACGCCACACACACACTCGCACACGTGGGCCAGCTGAGTAATATATGTATATATATGCATGTACATGTATACATATACGCTTATATGTAACGCTATACATAGTAAACGATCGAAAAAGTAAACTAATTTTATGCAAGGGGTTCAACAATCAACCCCGTCGGGGTCACCAATTAAATGCAATAATACCACAATCAATTGTGATTTTGGGTTTATATAGACAAGAGTTTTATTGTACTTGAGATTTCTTTGGGACTTTGTAAAAGAGTCTCTTATCAAAATATTTTTCCACTGTAATATTATACCCAAATATTTTTTAAAATAGCTGCAACATCATAATCCTTTTATTTCTTGCATATATTGTAACATTTTTGCACATTTTTGGATGTTCCGTAACTCAAGTTTATACATAATATACATTTTTAATATATATTAAATTTTAATGGATACTCCGCAAAGTCCAACAGTTGAACTTTTATTTTCCACACACTATAAAAATGATTTAACAACCGTGGTTTTACCTCTATGTACTAAAAGTAGCACTAAAGCTTGCTTTCCTCCCCATACTAATTACTCACTGTTTAAAATACTCTCAAGATTATTTACTTTTGCGAGCTTCCACTGTGAAGTATCTTCGATCGGCCCTATAATGACTACCCGTCAAACATTCGGACTTTGTCCATTGCGACTTTTGCAATTTCCAGGTGAGAAGTCATCGATTGTCCGGCAAAGGCTGATTAGATTTCTGCTACGGCTGCCGGTTTAGCAAACTTTATAGCTGTCCCGATATCTGTCGAATATCTCTGCGACTCGGTGGTTGCCCCAGTCCATTGCCAGCTGGTGGCGCAGGTGGTTGCCTTCCCGCTTTTCACGCTTTCTTTCAACTTAGCCGCGTGCTCTTAGCCCAAGAAAACGAAAACTCAACTAGAGTGAGTGCGGCGAACTTTGTTTAACGGCCATAAACGGGGTGTTTCGTCCGTGGGGTCTATAAAGTTGGACTTACGAGTACCACTTTACAAGGCGAATAACGTGCAATTAAATTGTTGATTACGTAAAGGCTGCAGTTTTATTGGTTACGCATTTGGTACTTGTAGATCAAAATGGTGTCGCTGGAGAAGCTGAAACAATTGAGACTGATCCACCTGTGCATCGCGCTCACCTTCTTCACCAGTGGGCTATGCATCAACTTTATCCAGCTGCTGATGCATGTGTTCATCAAGCCCATAAACAAGCGACTCTTCCGCCAGTTGATGTACTATGCCTGCTACTCGATGTATTCCCGTGAGTATATGCCAACCAGATTGCTAAAAACCGTAATATCAAAGTTTTATATTCCCTTAGAGATTATGTTCTTTGCCGAATGGTATGCCGGCAGCACGATGACCGTCTACATGGACAAACACGACTTTGAAAACCATGCCGGCAAGGAGCATGTGCTGCTACTCATGAACCACAAGTACGAGATCGACTGGCTCAACGGCTGGATGATCTGCGACAAGCTGGGAGTCCTCGGCAACTGCAAGGCCTATGCCAAGAAGGCCATCCGTTATTTGCCCATCATCGGCTGGAGCTGGTGGCTCGCCGAGTTCGTCTTCCTCAACCGCAACTTCGACCAGGACAAGACCATCATCACTGAGCAGCTCAAGGTGGTCTTCTCCTATCCCTCGTCCACCTGGCTTTTGCTCAACGCGGAGGGCACCCGTTTCACGCCCGCCAAACACGAGGCATCCGTAAAGTTCGCCCAGGAAAGGGGCATGCCGGTGCTGAAGCATCACTTGATCCCACGCTCCAAGGGATTCACCGCCAGCTTGGCACCCATCCGGGGTCTTTGTCCCGCCATCTACGACATTAACCTAGCGTACAGGCCCACAGACAAGGTAAATAATATTCCAAGCTTTCTCAGGTAGAATTCTTCTTACCTTAAGCTATGAATTTCAGTGGATAACTTTAAGTAACTTGAGTTATATAATATAGTTAAGGTATTAATATTTTTTTAATTTTATTAATGCAGAATTTTGCATTGCATACTTATATATTTTCGATTAGGCTTATCAGCCAGTTTGATAACGCCTGCCTGATTGCCTCATGCTAATCTAATCACTTACTTTGATCTGCATAACTTGTTGCTACCACTTTAAATATTCCTCTCATGTTATTTTCAAGAACGAATAGAGTACCGATACCAATCAGTTTGAATAAGATAACATTTCAAGTTAAAGTAAATTAAATAAAATGTTAATTTGGTAGTGAAACTAACCTTTTTGGCCAACATGATTTGGCAACAAATGTGAATAGATTTTCTTCTCACTAATGATATTTGCATGTAATATAAATTTATTACGGCTTTAAATAATACTTGTGGACTCGGTTGAATTGAGATTATAAAGCTATCGTCGGAACGTGGAATCGTAAATTCAGCATATAAATACTACTGAAAGCGGTGCCCTTTATCTTACACTGTGTTATTCCAAGGTTATAAACACAATCTTATAGTATGTCTTTTACTTTTTGTAGACCCCTGCCACCATGTTGAGCCTGCTGCATGGAAAAAGCGTGCACCCTCACCTCCTGATGAGGCGTATTCCCCTGGAACAGGTGCCCGAGGACGAGAAGGAGGCCGCCGCCTGGCTGCAGAATCTGTTCGTGGAAAAGGACAAGATCATCGACAGCTTCCTGGAGACGGGCAGCTTCTTCAAGACGTCCGGCATTAAGGAGGTGCCGTCAATCGTGACCAAACCCAGGCTGTGTTCGCTGGTGAACTTTGCCTGCTGGGCGACATTCTCGCTTTTCTGCATTTTCTACTACCTAATCACTTCCTTGCTGGCGGCCAACTGGACGGCCTTTATAACTGCATGTTCCGTGCTGGGACTCTGTAAGTTCAGGATTAGGTTTTACGCGAGATATCACATTAGAAGCTATTCATTATAGAGAACTTTATTGAAAAAATAGTGTATGTTACTTAAAGGCAAATTTATTGTAGTTATAAAGTATTTATACTCCTATATATCTATATATCTTTCAGTTTTTATAATAACTTGGCATTTAGAACAACAAATTTGAGTGCAACAGATAATGGAAAAACAAACAGATAACTTGTTGATTGTGGATTTGATAACTTTTATTTGATTTTTACTTTGCTTCTTAATAATTTTTAGATTGTCCAAATTTTCTTTTGGCGAACATTGTGCTGATATCAGCAGCTATAATACACATAGCAATATATTATCTTTAAACAAATGTAGAAAACCTTTAACAACAAAACTTCCAGTGTGATAGACTAAATATTTTAATATTTTTAATATTTTTTTGAAAACCTAGCTTACTTATTTTTCTAAACTTTTCTTATTTTCAGTTTACTGGCTAATGGGTCAGGCCATCAACAAGACGAAGATCAGCAAGGGATCCAGCTATGGAGCTGGTGGTGCCTCTAAGCCGAGCACAAAGTAACTTTCGATTTCGCATTTAGTTCCGATTGTCGTCGAACTCAATTATTTACAAGTGATTTTGTAAAAGGCAGTCCTCTCGCAAAATCTCTCTGCTAAATGGATCAATTCGCGATTCCTTACCGGACGATTTAAAGTGTTTTTTGAACAGAAGTGCATGTTTTTTTGTCTAAGTTTATGGTTACGAGGTAACTCCCGCACACTGGAGCCATCAATTTGCGTATGTAGTTGGTAGTTGTACACCTAAGTGGAAATTTAATCGTTTGATCAATGTTATTTTGGCGAGCATTGCAATAATAAAAATTAAACCGAACGTGAGAAGTTTGTTTGTTTTTTCTGATAAGGCAAGCAGTGCGCTGATAAGGGGATCTAACAGCTGATGAGTGGCCGTGCAAGCAGTGCACCAAAAGAGTGACCTTAACTCAAAATACCACAGTATTTTTTTTCTTTTGTAAATCGAAGATACAAAAAAAAATAACAAAAATATAAATCTGAGTTCATTTTAAATATAAATATTACTCTTAACCAAATTGTAAACATGTCAATTTATCTTTATCTCCATAAAAACACTAAAATTTACAAAAATCCTATGTTTAAGAGATGTAATGAGTAAGTTAAGCCAAAAGCGAAGGCAAAGTAAAATTAACTGCATTTTAATTAACAAATAAATTTTCGTTCATATCGTAAAAAATATATTTGTACTTATCAGCATGCTAAACACTTTCGGTTCTTTATCAGTTGTAACGATCAGAAGCAGAGCACAAGTTCCGTTAGTTCGACTGCTTGCCCTTGGCTATATAGTACAACCTCATTTATTTGGACATAAGTGGTCCGCCTGGTTTCCCTGGTTTCACTGATAACAGGTGGTTAATAGTGTTAGTTTATAGGTTCCTGGGGTGTATTATCGACGCAGATCTATATCTCTAGGGGCCCGGGCGCTTAGAAAACAGTCAATTTCATTCAGTTGATTTCAGCTGGTTGGTAAAACAAGTTCTCTAAATTGTTAAGGTTCCGCAAAGATTGGTAAGTGTGTTTGTGTTAGTGAAGAACAGAACAGTATCATATCGAAAAACTGAAAGTGAAAAAAGCTATATATGTATATCAAGTACAAATTTAAAAGGTTCTATTACGGAAGTTTTATCAACGGTTGTTTATTAAAAACCAAATTAAAACCAAAAACTCTAAACAAGTTTTTCTATATCAGATTACATTTTGATAATATTTAAACAAAATAATTTAATATCATTGTGAAATTGTGGCTGTTATTTTATTATTTCTCGGTATTGGTTTATTAATTCGTCTTACAGATATACATATGTATATATAATCTTATCAATGGAAATCCAAAAATGTAAGATACAGAGTAATAAGTAAAGTTTATTAGTGAACACATAATAGAGTGCTTACTGTACTGATACACTGAGTTTTTCAAGTGTGCGTTTACGGTACTATAATTTAAGCAATTCCATTTTTTCATGACACATCGGGAGCAAAGTTTTAGTGCTGCCATAATTAGGTTGATATCGCGCGCTGGACATATTTATTAACTGCATTGCAGACAGGAAATTCGACGTGTTTATGTAATAGTTGACCTTAATTGATAGATTTTATTTAAATGTGCTTATTTTTAGCTTAGGATGTCGCATCTTAAGGGATTGGGGCGACTGCTGATCGCCGTGACATTCTTCACAGCCGGCTTCATCATCAACATTGGCCAGCTTTTGCTGATCATTCTTGTAAGACCCTTTGACAAACGCCTTTCCCGGAGTCTTATGTACTACCTGCACTACTCGTTCTACTGCAGTAAGTATTAGAAAAGTCAAATTTACCATTATCATAAGGTTAGGAATACAATTTCAGATAGTGTTTAGTTTTTTATGACATTTCCGGCACAAGTTTTTGTCGTGATAAGGTCACTACCGTTACGTCGTCTTTTTTCACATTTCCTATTAGAAATCAGAATTGAAAATATTAAATTGCCCATTTCAAAAGTTTTATTTTTATTAAAAGTTAATAATAGTAGTATTTTAGCTTATAGAAATAACAATTAAGCAACTTTTGTATTTCTACAGTATAAAAAAAAGTTAATGTTAAGGAACTATTAACAGTTTTAAATTTTCTTCAATGAAGCAATAAAAAAGTGTTTTAAGTCTCGTTTTGTTTATTGGTTAGTAAGCATTATAATAAATAAAAAGAAAAGTTGCCCACTACTGTTATTTTGACCAGCGCTGTATGTAATGCATCTGATTAAATAAGTTCTGAACTTGCTATTAATATTTAAAATACAGTCTTTTGAAAGCTAAACCTTTAGAAGAATATAAATACTTAAATGTTTTTAAAATGTTTCCCATTTTAGTTCTGGTCTGTGTGGCTGAGTGGTATGCAGGCAGTAAATTAAGGGTGTATATCGACCCCGAGGATGAGAAGTACTTTGGCAAGGAGCATGCATTTATGCTAATGAACCACACGTACGAGATTGACTGGTTGACCATCTGGATGATTAGCGACAAACTGGGAGTTCTGGGAGGAACCAAAGCCTTTGCCAAGAAGATGCTTCGCTATATTCCCGTGTTAGGATGGGTTTGGTGGATGGCCGAATTCATCTTTCTGGACCGCGATTTCGAGAAGGACAAGGTGGTGATCAAAACGCAGCTAAAGGAGGTCTTTTCCTACCCGGACCCAGTTTGGTTGCTCCTCAATGCCGAGGGCACTCGATTCACTAAGGCCAAGCACGAGTTGTCTGTGAAATTTGCCCAGGAACGAGGTCTTCCCATCATGAAGCACCATTTGGTTCCGCGCACCAAGGGATTCACCACCAGTCTGCCAACCATGCGAGGCGTCTGTCCTGCCATCTACGACCTCAATCTCGCTTTCAAGCGAAATGCTGAGGTGAGGCTTTTCAAAACTTTTCAAAAACTCTCAAAAAAGGGAAAAATACATTTTAAAGGAACTTAATTTCAGATCTTCCTATATATACTAAGTTTAATTAACGGAATTTAAATGGTTACATTTAAATATTTATAATGATACTACTTTTTTTCTTAATTCTAGGTTAGAGAAAGTAGAAACATTTTATCAAATTGAACCCATACGCCTTAAAGTATAAATCATTGTGTTTAAATTGAGATTTATTTTATTCTAGACAAGACCCACCACGTTGTCCCAGTTAAATGGAGAGCCCGTTGAGCCGTACATGTTAATTCGTCGAGTGCCACTAGAAAAGGTGCCGGAAGGTGAGAAGGAAGCCGCCGCCTGGATACAGGACTTTTTTGTACAGAAGGATAAGATCATCGACAGCTTCCACGAAACCGGTAGCTTCTTCAAGGCTTCTGGAGAAAAGGAGGTTCCCGAGAAGATCTTCAAGCCGCGTTTAGCCACATTGCTTAACTTTTTGGGCTGGGCTAGTTTTTGTGTCCTGTGCATTTTGCATTATTTGATCAGCGCCGTGGTTGTGGGCAACTGGATTGGTTTTATCACGGTTTTAACCGTTCTGGGAGGATGTAAGTTAAATAATGTAATCTCATTGAATTTGTATTTCATTTTGTTATAATTTGTTTTTAGTTTATGGCCTCATGGAATACGCTGTTAACGCCTCGAAGATTAGCAAGGGTTCTGCTTATGGCGTTAAGAAATAGATTCTTATCCCAGAGTTTTTGCAACTCGATGACATTTTTAAATGAGATGAATTACATGTAATTATTACCCGACTGGAAAACCCTGCAAATAATGTACATTATGTCAAATGTACAAAGATAACTGAATAAAAGAATTTTAAATGGATTGTTTTTGCCTTGTATTTCCTGGTTAAAGGTATTAGTAGTTTCTGGGCTGTAGACGTGCGATGTAAATTTAATCAGATTAATTACATCACCATCTCAAATCGCAATACTGGCGTCTACAGTGTAGTTCAAGATAATAGCATTAGGTAATAGTTCACTATATTAATGAAAAAATTGCCATTAAATTTAATTATAGGGCATTTTAAAAGTTTTCTTATTCACTAAGTGCTAATTAGAACACAATCACAAAAACTTAGAATAAATAATATATTAAGACTTTAAAGAGATTTTTTAGTCAAACTTAGACGATTAATATATGTTTAATTTATAAATGCTCTATTCAAAATTAAAAAAAAAAATCCCGCTAAAATAAACTTTTAAATATTGATAGTCAATGCATTTACGATAACGACCAATCGCAATCAGCTGAGCTAAAATTAATCGATGCTGCCCGGCCAAACATCGATAGCCGATGTTTCGAAAACATCGATGACATCGCTGTTGGCATCGATGTTTCCACCTCTAATACTGATTGCAACTTCCCAATTTTTTACAAAAAAAATCAAATGAAAATTAAAAAACATATTTTCGTACCTTTAATGCAATAATATGTGCATTTTGAAGGTGAGTCAGTGCATCGCCAGTGCTGAAATCAGCTTTCGAGTGACTTTCGATCGTAAATTGCGGCCAAAGTGAAAAGTGAAACGTAACGAAAAAAAAACTTTGGGAGAGAGTTTTGTGGAGCTCAGTGATTTTCCTGGGGGATAGCTGCCGTTCAAGGACGAGCCCGAAGGATTAAAAGCCTAATTAGGAGGTCCGAGGACCACAAATCGCGTAGATTTCTAGCCGATATTGCCCTTTGTTCGCGTCTTAAAAGAAAGCGGATGGCTGATGACGTTGAAAGCGAGTTACGTTTGTGTTTCCCCATTAAAAAGGTTCGCCTGTGTGTGTGAGTGGCTCTCTGAGGGGCTCGAAAGGATCTTAAACGATCCTTCATGTCCTTAAACCCTCAAAAAACTTCTCCAGGAAGTGCAACTTGGGCATATATATGCGCTATATACATACAGATATACTTGCATGCGTGTACAAATGCCCCCACACACCAACATCAAATAGAGAGTGTGTGTGTGTGCAGGTGTGCATGTGTGTGTGTAAGCGACAGCTGACGTTGGGGCTATTGCAAGAAGAAGAAGAAAAAGACGAAAGCGAAACTTTTTTTTACTGTGCCACTTTTTGATCGTTGTAAATGGAAAATAACTCTACCTTGACTCACGTCACTTGTATTTTTACATCACTTCTGTAACACCATTCATTTTTCGGCCATGTATTTACCAATTTAAAATTTATTTTTTGAGGTATTCTTGCTCAAAGATTTAGATAATTTGTTTATATTTAACGCAAGTTTTCCATATTAGGGCTAAATTCAATTAAATCCAATAGAGGGATAAATCTTAAAGATTGTAGCTTGTTCCAACTTTCAGACGTCAATAAAATTAAGTTACAATCTATTTTGATTACATTTTACATCATACATTTTTTAGATGTATTACATTTTAAAAATATATTTATTTTCTACCCAAAAGATCGTTACTGCTTGAATAAAACAGCAATTTTACTGCCATTAGCAAAAGAATTTTTATTTAAAGAATATAAAAAAATAAAATTTTAAGAAATACAGTTGAGGTCCAATAAAGTTCTTGTCAGCCAATCCCCGATAAAAAGTTCCTCGATTTACGGAACAGAAATAAAGTTATAAGTATTGTTTGTCATTTCTTGAAATACTAACTTTTGTTATGATAATAATATCCTCAAGATGCCTGCCAAGAGTATGCCGAACTTCGTTAGCCGCAGTTGGTCTTCCTTTCCCTTTGACTTAATCATCTTAATTGATGTTTTCATGGTTGCTATATCCACAGCATGCCGATTCAGGCTCCCTCATGGACAGATTTTCTGAACTGTCCCATCTGCTGCAATGAATTCGCGGCCAGCCAGCGATGCCCGGTCAGTCTGGGCTGCGGGCACACCATCTGCAAGCTATGCCTGACGACCCTCTACAACCGGCAGTGTCCCTTCGATCAGGTGAGTTCTGCTCCATCCCAATTCCTAATCTTTGTTCCTACATGGTGTAAAACCTATTTTACAGACCGTAATTGTCAGCGAGATCGACAATCTGCCCGTTAACCATGCCTTGCTCCAGCTGGTCAAGGATTCGGAGCTCCTGGAGCTGGGACCACCACCGCCCAGTGTGCAGAAGCTGGAGCCGGAGCACCTCAAGTGCTACCATCTCGGTCAGCAGTGCATCGAGGAGCTGGCACTGCACTTGAAGTCCTTCCTCAACCTGAACGGCAATGGCAATCTCCTAACTCGACCCATGCAACGGAAACTGGTCACCCTGGTCAACTGCCAGCTGATGGAGGAGGAGGGACGGGTGAGGGCACTCCGGGCGGCCAGATCCCTGGGCGAACGCACAGTCACCGAGCTGATCCTGCAGCACCAGAATCCCCAGCAGCTGAGCTCAAACCTGTGGGCGGCGGTGCGGACGAGAGGATGTCAGTTTCTGGGACCGGCCATGCAGGAGGAGGTGCTCAAACTAGTGCTCCTGGCGCTGGAGGAGGGATCTGCGTTGTCGCGCAAAGTGCTGGTCATGTTCGTGGTGCAGCGATTGGAACCGCAGTTTCCACAGGCCTCCAAGACGAGTATCGGACATGTGGTGCAGCTACTCTACCGAGCCAGCTGCTTCAAGGTGTCCAAACGCGAGGCAGACTCATCGCTGATGCAGCTCAAAGAGGAGTTCCGCACCTACGACGCCCTGCGACGCGAGCACGATGCCCAGATCGTCCAGATTGCCACCGAGGCGGGTCTGCGCATTGCCCCGGAACAATGGTCTTCCCTGCTGTACGGCGACGTGATGCACAAGAGCCACATGCAGAGCATCATCGACAAGCTGCAGACGCCCAGTTCCTTTGCCCAATCGGTTCAGGAGTTGGTTATCGCGTTGCAGCGCACCAGTGATCCTGCCAAGCTGGCCAGTCTGCATCACCACCTCAAGTACCTGGCCAACATCGATCCCTGTGCGGAGGTGGCACCCTGGCCGGATTTGGCCGAGGCCCTGGATGCAGTGCGTCATTCGGTCGTGGGATTGGTGAACTTTCTGCAGCACCACGGCGTGCGCAAGGCACAGGACGGCCTCAGTGGCGGTGGCAGTGGTGGCACAGCCAATAGCAATCCCAAGTACAAGATCAGCCTGTGCAGGGATTTGAATGTGCGGCGGGTGTGTCCCCGAGGTGCCAGCTGCACCTTCGCCCACTCCCAGGAGGAGGTAGAGCGCTATCGGGCCCGCAATCGTGGCAAGCATATGAAGACACCGCTGGCCCTGCAAGGACCGCCGACCATGGTCGGTGGAGCCCTTAAGAAGCCGCTGGGAGAGCAGGATGGACAAGCGCTGGGAGTGCCGCCCATGCTGCCCATGTCGCCCATGCACTACATGGGCTCACCCAGGGGCTATCTGGAGCCCAGTTTGGGTCTGTCGCCAGGAGGAGGAGGATTGCCGCCACAACAGCCGCCACCACCGCTACTCCATCCCTCGCATCACAGTCCCATTGCACGACTCATAGTGCCCGGCCGCTATGATCCTCGCTTCACCGGCTACGGCGTTGGTCAGCAGCGGAATCCCGCGCCCAGGGAATACCAAACCAATCCGGGAGCTCCACCACAACGCAATGCCAACCCACCGAACTTTAGTGTGAACAGCAACCTGCACAAGGGCTACATGCTGCCCGGTGGCGCCGGGGATGTCTTCCATCTGGGCAACCCATGGGATCATGCCTACCTCGCTCAGCAGCAGCAGCAGCAGCAGCAGCATCCGCCACAGCATCCCCCACAGCAGCAGCCACCGTCCAGCAAGCCGAATCCCAGCCGACCGTTGTCGATTTTAGCCGCAACAGCTGATACCTCATTTTATGAAAAGAAACCGCCGAATAGTGTTAACATAGATCTGGACAGAGCCCCGGAAAGCGATGTGGATGCACTGCCTCTGTTCCGGCGTACCAACAACAATCACAATAGCAACAACAACAACAACAACAACAATAGCAGCTCCCACAACAATAACAATAATCATAGCTCACCGCTGCTGTTCTGGAATAATTCGGGTAAAGAGTCGGCGAATTTTGTGCGTTCGGATTCCATATTGGATGACGATGCGTCCACATTTGATGTGCCCACCGGCTCCTCCATGCTAAGTCGCTATGGTCCCATTTGTCCCAAGAGCAGCACGGGCAGCAATTGGAACAACTGGCTGCTGGAGAACGATAGTGACCTGGGATATGGTGGCTACAAGAGCGACAGGAACGATAACTTCAATGCCAATAAGGTAGGTGTGGTTACTTAGTTTTTTATTGCCCAGTAATCAGGGGTGTGAATATTTAACTTGTGTTCTATATTTGACTGTTTGCTTTATGGTTAAAAGGCTTGGTAACAAGCACACCCTAAGCACTTATAGATAGCCGAGTTCTTTTAGAGCTGTCATTAAACACCGGAAGTACTTAATACTTACTATTACTTATTTAATCTATTATCTATCTATCTATTATTATCTTGCCAAAAACAGCAGCAGCAGCAGCAGCCGATGTGGGGCAGAAAGCCACAGCTGATGTCGGAGGATAGCTTCGAGGGCGGCATCGACAGCGGGATGATGCTGCAGCTGGAGAAGAACCTGGTGGACATCGTCGATCCCGATGACAGTGGGATCAAGGTGGACTAGCTGCCAGCAGCCAGCAGCAGTTGGCTCACTCAGCCGGAGGATATTTCTATATAGGTGTTTATATAGACCGAGTGGGAGGGAAGTGAATATGTATAATGCAATCATTTTACACATCGTTAGAGGTTTGTACCGCACAGTTCAAACTTTGGTAGAATTTCAAATGTAATTGTAGTTAAAACTGATCCAACTGATCCGACTGATCCGTTATTGGATCGGAGCCAAAACAAAGCAAAACATCAACTGGGTTGGGTACCGTCTATTAGAATCTATTAAATAATTGTCTACTTAGTTCATTGTTCAAATTTTGTGGAAATGTGTTTTGACCATGTTCGTGTTATGTTTCAAATTCGGGGATTGTGTTTAGCAATTGAAATAACAAAAAGCAAGCAAAAACAAACTCAACTTAGATCGTAAGACTTTGTGTCTAGCCTAGAGTTCAGCTCAGACTTGTAGATCTGCTATAAATACGAACTGTAGTAACCCCCCGTAGAAAAAAAATGGTGATCAAGAGGGATGAGATATGTAAACATCCAGATTTGAATAGCAGCAAAGATTTTAAAGCAATTTTCTCAGATGAAATAGAAACTGTGCACTAATTAACTGAATCATGATCACAAGACTTCGAGATCTAAGTAAAACTCAAATTTCTATCCAAAATAATGTGTTTATCATCCCCCTGATTATTTGTGATCAAATTTTGATTGATTGTGTAACGCTGTATACATAGATATAAACATATATATTTTTTTTAATTATTAACTATTTCAAAACGCTATTTTTATATATACAAAAATCAGCAGGGCTGAAAGGACCTCAATATTCTTTCGTCCTCAAAACACAATCACACACATACACTAACACGCATACACACTGAACCACAGGACACGAACGATCATTTGTATGTGTGTGAAATGAATGTTTATATTTCTTAAAGAAATTTTAATAACGCTATTGTGCGATGTTGTTAACTATTGTACTATATATTATTAAATTTATTGAAAATAAATTAAAATCACGTCCCCTTCTCCCTTTTTGTAAACTGTGAGAAAAGTAAAGTACAGAAAAAAAGTGACGAAGAGAAAGTTAAATGTCAGTCAGGGCTTTGAGAACATTTACACATACCTACTCTATGCAAATATAAATTTATATTTATATCTAGAAACTAACCAATTTGTGCGCTCTATTATTAATATTATATATTAATGTCAGTTGAGCCCGCGTTTTGCTTTCAAGACTTTGTACATCATTTTGATTTGAAGCAAATATGAAAGATTTTGTAACTTGTATTTGTTAAGCGATGAAATCAGGAACCTTATATATAACTGCGCTTGATCATAGAAGAATATAACATATATATCTTTACAAATATATTTATTGTTAACGAGTTTCGATGCCGTGTGTGTAGTAGAATCCATGTAAAAATATATTCCCCGCCCCCCGGGGAATATGTGTTCAGTTGTGAGCTAGTTAAAATTGATCGAAGCAATTTTAAAACAAACAAAAAACATACATTTAAATGTAATTTCCTATTACTCAGAAACTAAAGCATTCAATGTATAGAAGCGCAACAGGGGAGGTAATTGAGATTTCTTCAATCTATTTGTCTCCTGTGAAATGTGAAAATATAGAAGAAGGCTGGGCGGAGAGGCGTTTTTCTGCGTACTTAAGTCCCGATTCAGGTTCAGATCCAGATTTAGCGTTCTCCGCCCGACCTTTGGCTGTGGTGAAGTTTTTTTTAGCTTAAACCCAATGGGTTCAGTTCATAATAACGTATTTGTTGAGTTGAGTTTTGTAACTTTATAATTTACAATCAGTCCAGCAACCCGCCAAATCCCCAAAACTCCAAAACTTCAAAACTTCTAAACTGACCGAGGCTCTTTTTTTGTACAGATCGTGCCGAGCAATTCACACATACACACATACATTTTCTAGTTACACACACTTATTTAAATGCATATATATTTATACATATGTTAATTAAATGTATTTTTGGTATTATCACTCAATGTTTCTACCCTAAGCAAATTTCGAGTTCTGTTAATCAAAGTGGAAAAAAATATGCAAAAAAAAAAAAATTATTTATTTTATTTACAAATAAATTTTCACAAAACTTTTAGTTGTTTCGGTTTTTATTTCAACCATTACTTTAAGTTCGAGATGAAAGATAATGTGCGAAACATATCAAAGCGTTGAAAAGCGTCGAAAGCAAACGAGAAACTTAAAATATAACCACCAGCAAAGAATAAGGAACTAAGAACATCAACAGCAACCACCAGATAGGAAATTTAATGGAATACAATACGAGATCCTATAGTTAACACAACTAGATACAGACAATCCGCTTAACTTAAGAAGATAAACGTAAAATACGGTATGTTAATAGGCGCTTCTGTTCCTCAACTTAGGGTTAGTGATGTTAAACGACCAAGGTCGAATATAGATACGTACAGACGACTTTGCAGTAGCTCAGATCCGATAAGTCTATGAAAACCTGCCAGGAGACCGCTTGTCCAACCACCACCACCCAATAACATCCTTCATAGCACTGAACACTGCAATCGAATAAGTAGATAGCCCGGGAACTCTCTTTCAGCGCATCAAATGTGTTATGGCGAGGACAATACAATACAATATTCTCAATTTTAACCGTGCAACCCAGCCCAAATGTCGAAACTCAACTGAGTAAGCTCCCTGTAAGGTCAAAGGTCACGACTCTGCAAACGAATCGTTGCTGTATTTGGTGTAATTTATAAGTTGAAGATCCTTGAATTGTGATGATGTGAAATTTACAGTTAACATGCGAAACTAATCCCAGTTCAATGGGAACGAACAAATGTCTTTATATTAAATGCTAATTAAAACTAACTATAAACGAGTATAATAATGTATCTAAATACACACACCACCCACAACTGGAAGAATGAATCCGAGAGACGTATATTGTATCATAGAACTATGTAAGCAGTGATTGTATTTTACATGCATTCTACGGAAAAGCTATACCCACTCTCCCTATCAAACGGAAGACGTGCTTCTACTCCTTAACCGATCCCCAGAATACTTTTGGGTCTGTGTCCATGTTTATGATACCCCAGAAAGGAAGATATTTCATATTATATGCCACATCTATATCTATCAGAATTCATATTGCTAAAATATTCTTTGTCCATTTAATCGCTGCTGGCAGCTTGAGAATTGATAGCTAAGTTAGTTTATTAGTTTATTAGTTCCTATGTTTGCTGTTTTCCCAGATTTAATCGTTAAACTTTTATAATACTTGGAAATGTTTCCATTTAACCCACGAAAATTCGAAAATTCTTGTCTAGGGTATCAAAAGTTTCGGATTACCGAACAACAACATCTCTTCTAGTTTTGTGGAATGTTAATCGATAATGTATGTTCTTGGATGTGCTGAATATGTATATTTATCTTCAAAATTCATTGTAAATGTTAGATATGGAAAACCAAAAAAAAAAAAAACAAAACTAAAACCAAACTCAATTTTGTGTGTGTATGCCTGAAATTTAAATAAAAGAAACTTAATCGAATTCAACAACTTAATTTGATATGACTTGATATGGTTCTGATTGCTTGGCAATGCGATCTGTTTTTGCGGTTATTGTGGGCTTGATAAGTATAGAAACGGTTTTATTACCGTATTAAAACAATTTAATAGTAACCAACTATCCAGATAATGCACTGGCGTTTCTGGACTAACCGTCGAATCCACCAAGATATACAGCTCATCTAAACTTTATATGTATATAAGGAGGTCTATCTCGAGATAAGTAATGTTACTTGTGCTAATCTCTTCAGGAAAAATAATATTGTTATTGTTCGAAATGCTATTAATTAAAACATAAACGAAATTGAGTGACCCACTTAATATGACTTGCTTTCGTACTGGCTGTATGGCAATCTAATCTGTTTTGCGGTCCATCTGGCCTTATTAAGTATAAAACAAGCTTGATTAAATTTATAAATAACATTTATTTTAAAATGACCAACCAACCGTAAGAGATTACTTATATGTAAACAATAACAATGCAGAATTAATTTTCAAACTGAGGCTTCCACATGTCTGGCATATCCACCTCTTGAGTTTCACCCGTCTCCAGCATTAGAACTGCTCCATTTTTGGCCGTCTCGATGGCCCGAACCAAATTGCTGGCGCAGTCCTCTGGCTTCTGTCGTTTAACCTTGTTGAACATGGCCAGCATGGGTGTTTCGTAGGTGAAGGTCGTCTTGTTGCCAATATCCTCCAAAAGTCCAGTATCCGTGAATCCCGGACAGATGGTAATAAAGCCAACGCCAGAGTGGGCGTAATAAATGGGGTTCTAAAAAGGGTTGAAATAATATTACAAATTTATTCTTGAACTAAATTTAAATTCAATTTTTTGTATATAGTTATTTGTTTCAAAATAGTTTGCAAACTAAATTAAAAATTATTTAAAAAAAAACTGTAATGAATTTTAAACTTGTGAAATATAACTAGTTTTTAGGGAAGTTAATGGGCACAAAAAAAAATAAAAACACCGAAGAATTGAATTTTAGTACTTACAGCCATTGCCCTGGTAAAAGTGGTAACACCTGACTTGGCCGCCGAATAAATGGCCATTAGAGCCGTGGGCTGCAGTCCGGCCACTGAGGATATATTTACAATGAGTCCACCTCTTCCACCTTTGGCCTTGTCCATGTACTCCAAGGCGGTCAAAGTGCTGTTGATAACTCCCAGCTTTGGGCAAAGATAAATGAATAAAGCTCTTTTTAAGGGAAATAAGCTCAGCAACTCACTTACCAGATTGATTTGAATGGTCAGTTCGACCAGACGATCGTTCATTAGTCCACTGCCATTGACCACCACATCAAAGTGACCCAATCTCTGGGCAGTTTCCTTATAAGCCGCCTCGATATTCGACTTCTGGGTGATGTCCACTTTTTGGTAGAAAATATCCGTGTTGGGATTTTTGTTTTTCCACTCAGCCAAAGCATCGGCATTCTCAACCAAATCAAATATGGCCAGAGACTAATGAAGACATTAATTAGGGTACATTTTGTTGCTGTTTGCGGTATTAGACACACCTTTATTTGCCGCTGCAGAAGTTCTTGCACACATTTCTGGCCTATGCCGCCGAATCCGCCAAGGTAAACCACATTTTTGCCGGCCAAATCCATGTCGCACTGTTGAATTAACTAACTCTAAACGATTCCGTGCAATTCAGTCGGCGCCAAGTGGCAAACTGATCATAGTTAGAATTTTTCGACCCCTTGTCCATATGATCTGAAAATTGCTCTCCGTTCTCGCTCAAACGAAGCTTTTTGGGCCATATTGCTCTCGGAGAGTAAATATAATAATATTCTTTCAATTATAACTATTTAAGCTTTATAGTGCTGACAATATGACGTTTTTTTTAGATATTTAAAACGCTTCACGCTGCTAAATTTTAAGCACATAATATCCGTGTTTGATTTAGATTTTTCAGACATTAGTCATATTTAAAATTTTTTGACTATCACAAGAATTCGTTGTTGCTCATAATTAATAACAATAATTAATTATGAACGTTTGTTTATTGTTGATCTGCCTATTTGTTAAAACAGCAGCACTGATGCGAATTGCTAATTAATAAAACACTACTATGGAAGTGCAAAGTAATTGTTATCTCACCTCTATTTGAGGTAGTCGTTTGCTTAATCACAAACAACTATAGGGACTAGTGCTTTTTACTAAGATATGAAGACTATAAATGCCTTTTTATCGAATTAAAAAGAATTTTATGAATTTAATGTAACTACCCTTCACTCATCTTAAGAAAAAGAAACTTAATGAGTGAACAACATTCAATAAAGATCATTCCTAAACCTTCTAAAAAGTGACAAAATTCTAACCGATTAGGTATAAATGTATATATATTCAACTAAATACGGATATTTACAATACTCTCAATGGGCCACTTACCATATCTATGCACTTCACATATCTGTGTCAGCCAAGCGTTAATGAAGCCAGCAAGTAATCGAATATGACTATTTATCCCATAAATGCGAACAAATCTATTTCCCCCATTTGTTTTCCGCCCGAATCCAGGTTGCGGTTGCCACATCCGTGGGGACGCAGATCTCAGCTGGAAGTGCCGCCCAATTACGCAACCATTGGATCCGTGTCTCAATATTAAGTTCACTATTGCAACATCCGTGCGGTAGCGAACCAGAGGCCCCAAAAGCAAATCGACACCAATCAGATCGCGGCGTATCGACTTGCGGATTTCGAGGTCATTGTGCAGACTCTGTGGTGGGTGGTGGGTGGCGCCTCGTGTTACCATTACCCACAGGTGGTATAAAATACCCACCGTCGTGCCACTGCAGCATCAGTTCCATTAGAGCAATCAGAAGAAGAAGATGCACTGCTTCACTTGGACGATTCTGGCTGGGCTTTTGGCCCTTGTCTCGGCTGCTGGATTGCCTCAAAGGCCAAGTAGTGGCTACCAGGAGCAGGACACGGCCAGAGCCTTCTACTCCTACGGCTATAGCGACGACAACGCGGCCAGGGCCGAATACTCCTCCCGAGATGGCACCTCCCGGGGCTTCTACTCTTACGTGGATGCCGATGGCAAACTACAAACTGTTCGATATGAGGCAAATGGCATTCAGGGTTTCAAGGCCGAGGCGAGTAACCAACCCCAAGCTCCGGTGGACGAGGGCAGGGCTCCATTGCCAGTAACAGATACGGAGGAAGTGCAGCAGGCTCGTCTGTCCCACCTAAATGCTCTGAGGGATGCGCGGGAGAAGGCTTTAGCGACCAGTTTGCGCGAGGAGGCGGACAGACGACAGCAACAGGATCAGACAAGAAACAACGGCGAGGATCAGCAGTCGGGGGAGCAGAGCCTGACCGATGAGGATGCCGCGATCTTGGAGAGAGTTCGGGCCGAGCTCTCAGCCATGCTGGCCGATCGGCAGCGATCTGGCAATCTGCCCAGGAACAGGGAAGATCAGGATCAGGAAATCCGACAGGAACAGAGGCAGGAGCAAAGACTGGATCAAAGGCAGAAGCAACAAGAAGATCGACGACAGGATCAGCGAGAAGATCGGCGACAAGATCAGCGAGATGATCGCCGCCAAGATCAGCGAGATGATCGCCGCCAAGATCAGCGAGATGATCGGCGACAAGATCAGCGAGAAGATCGGCGACAAGATCAGCGGGAAGATCGACGACAGGACCAGCGAGATGATCGTCGCCAAGATCAGCGAGAAGATCAAGAGTCCCGGCAAAATCAACGACAAGATCAGTCCCGAAACCAGGAAAACCTACGGGAATCGAATACCAACCGTGAAAATGATCGTCAAATCGATCGCCAAAGCTCCCAGCTTCTTCAACTGCCGAGCTCCTCCGATGGCGATGCCAATGATCTGCGCCTGCGAACCATCTATTCCCTGTCCGATCTCAGTTCCAGCAGCTATCTGAAGCTCGGTGATTTGGCCAGTAGCGAGAAACTGCTGGAGGATCGTTTGGACAACAGTGATCTCCGTGTGCCGATCGGTGCCTACTACACCCTGGTTTCGCCCAACACCAAGTACAGTGTGACCACGCCCACGGAGCTGAGAACCCTGCGTCCAGTGGCCCTCAGTCGCAGTTTGTTGGTGAGCAAACGCAATTGAAGGATTTAGGCTACGTACTGTGGATCAAGGCCGACTTATGATCGTGGAACAGAATGAAGTGTAACTTTGATGTGTTTCCTAAGAATAAATGCAAGACAGAGCACCATTGTGCCAAATTAAATTCTCTTTTTATCTTCCACATGTGGGTTAAGATTAAATTAATCAATCTGAATATTTTAAGCCAGTTAAATCTACTGAAAGACAGTTTCTTTTATGATTCTTTGAAGAAACTAATTGCAGTGTTTTTATGGTCATCATTAAGTGAAGTCCAAATTCGGATAAAAATCATAGACTGTAGAAACAATAAAATAATACTTAGATTAGTAGTTAAGAAAATAGTTGGACAAAGGGTTAGTAAATATAAGATAGAATTTAAAAAACATATATTATTTTTAAAATCCAATTTGCATCATTTATTGCTCAACAATTAACAGAATTTTTCAAAGAAGTGAAATTTCAAGATTAGGCCACTGGCAGGTAGTTTCTGAAGGGAACTTGAGCCTGGGACTTAGTGTGATAGTTGTAGACGAATCCTGTGGTGGGCTGATAGATATATACCGGCTGGGAGCGAACGGCAATGGGAGATGGAGGTGCTATCACCGCGACCTTCTTCTCGGCGAGCAATTGGTTGCGCAGCTTCTCGGCTTCGAAACGCTTGAAGAATGCCACTTTGGCGGCAGCCACCTCGGGAGTATCCTGAACGGGCTGAGGACCGACGGAGGAGTCTCCGGCCAACCTCAATTTGGCCTGGTTGTGGGCTTCCAGATGCTGAGCCCGCAGGGCAGCCACCTCCGGTGTTTCCTGATTGGCCTGCTGATTTGGCAGACTGGAGGTCACATGGAAACCCTCGGCATCGGCCACATAGTCCACAGTCTGAGTTTCACCACGGGCATCCACGTAGGAGAAGGTTCCACGGATCACACCATCCAAGGTTCGCGTTTCGTGCTTGGAGTAGAGTGGAGCCATGTAGCCATACGCATACTGACCATGCTCATCCTGGGTGTGGTACTGACTGATCGTATCCGAACTTGGTGGTGCTCCATACTCCAAGGTCGGTGATCCGGTAGCCAAAACAATGGTGGTGAAAATCAGGCAAAGATTGAGGAACTGCATCTTCTCAAGCGGTGTATTTATATATGTATTTTATTTTTTAAGGCGCTGCTAGTGTGGTCGACTAGTACTCGCTCTAGAGAACTCTGTGCTGGGATCGGTTCGGGATTCTGCCTTTTATAGGCGGCGCCTACTGCCAAAAATGTACAATTTCGTGCGTTCTCAGGAAGGTCGTCCGGTTGGGTTTTTACTTTCATATTCCACCAGCCTGGATTATTGTTCCTTTTTCCTTTTTCCTCTTCCTCTGCTTCCTCACATTTTCGTACATAAATATTTTGTCGATTTCGATTTCAACAAGTTCAGCATAAATTTGAGCACAAAAGCCGCAATTTGTTTTCATCTGCGGCAGGGGCACCCAACACATATAGTATCGTGTCGTATCGTATTGTATCAGTATCGGTATCGGATGTGGACATGTTCGGAGACAACCAACAACGTTCCGCAATGCCACAATGCAAGAACTTAATCAGTCTGCTTTTCAGTGGGTCTGGATGTGCACTGAGAAAAACTGTACGCAGAAGAAAAAGTTTGGGCTCAACATAAAGTGGGTCTTTCCTATTGAATGCTTAGAAAAATACGTTGATTATAAAATAAAAAGTAAATTATTTTCTACACTTCTTGGAGACTTATTATTTATATTGCCAACAAAATACATAATGTAAAGTTTTTGTGTTTAACTATTACACACATTTAAGCATAACGTTTAATTTAAAATTTTTGTATAATGTAAGTGATTTGTTTTAGTAGCTTAGCATACATTTCTCTCAGTGTATGCCTGGAATTGTCGAAGAGGGGTCAAGGAACCAGGTTGGGCTATAGGACATGCCGGCTACCATTTCCAGTTTCAGTTATTTCGGTTGTTGCCTTTGCGGTTGTTTATGCTGCTATTAAATTTAATTGAAATCAAAATTCGCCTTACGTTTATGAAGAGTTTATGCTGTGTGCGGTATGTGATGGGTTGGACTGGGGCCAAAAGGTTGAGGTAGGACAGGGTCCGAGTGAGCGGGTTCCGGTCCTGGGGTTAAGCTGCAGGCTGGGGTTAACTTTAACCGGAATCCGGTGCTCCGGTGCATGCTCAGGAAAAAATTAACGTCATAAAAGCTATTTCGAAACCAAGGGTTTAATATTATCAACACAAATTAGCAATAGTTTAAAAAAAGGTTAAAAACTAATTGATATTACGAAGAAAGCTAACTGCTTTAACAACTTTAATATGCACTTTTAGGCTAAAACATATAAGATAATCAAACAAGTTAAGAAATGTTTTAAATAAATCGTAAATAAAATTTGCCAAAAATAGCCCATTGAAGACCAAAACACAAACCGCTTCAGACTGATTGACAATTTTTTTTATTTAAATTCGAAATTCATTTTAATAATCATCCAAATCGGGAGCAGACTGCATCGCCTCAGTAGTAGAAACCAGAGGTGTAGTACCGAGGAATAGTGTATCCGTAGACAGGAGCCGGAACCACCACATGGTGGCTGCGGGCCACTGGGATTGGAACTTTGCTCAATAGTTGGTTGCGCACTCCCTCATCATCGACGCGTTTCAGGTGCAGAGATTTGGCCGCCGCCACTTCCACGGTATCGGCAACGGGATGAGGCGATTGGACATGTCCTACAGGAGATCCGGATACGGGTACGGAGTGCTGGTGATGCTCCACTGGATGATGTACCTCGGGCTGAGCACTGCGTCCACTCTCCACTGGAGTTGGGTGATGAATTTCAACGGGATGCTGGCCAACAGGATGTGAGACTACGGGATGTGTCACCACAACGGGATGCTCCACGGGATGTTCCACCGGATGCGACGCACTCCTGGGACCAATTCCCAGCGACTCCTGGGGAACTACTGCCTTTGGCAGATTGGTGGCTGCCACATGGAAACCATCGTTATCGGCCAAATAGTTAACGGTTTGGAGTTTTCCCTCCGCATCCACGTAGCTATAGGAACCCCTGGTGGTTCCGTCCAGCGTATGGGTCTCCTGCTTGCTGGACAGCGGTTCCGAGTAGCCAAAGGCGTATTGGCCAAACCGATCCTTGGCGATGTACTGCCGCTGGGTGGGCGTGAACACGGCGGTTCCCTCGGCGCTGTACGCATACGGATAGTAGAGGGCCAGTCCGTGGGCCAAACTCAGGCTGCCCAATAACAGAAGTGGATACTTCATGGCTCGACGATTAAGGATTCCTGCAGGTGAGTCTTGCTCGTAAGATCACTCGTGACTGTTGGTTCTGAGCCTAGCTCTGCATCCTTTTATACCCAGCAGGTTCTTGTGCGAGTTCTAGGTCTGGTTTTGGTCGAGGTTCTTGGCGATCAGCTCCCGCTGTCCCTGCCGATTTTACTATTCTTCAGCACTGTAAAAAATATATTTTAGGAATTTTACAAATACCCAAATTTATCATTTAATCAAACTATTAGTGTTGAAATTTAGCTTAGGATCAGTTTTGTAGCTTTATTATTTACTGCATGCTAAACAAATTAAAAAACACTTTCTTTTTATATATTTAAACTATAAACATTTAATAATTAAACAAAATCATGTTTTAAAATTATACAAATACGGATTCATCCTTATTATCTTTATTTAATTTTAAAATTATTGAAGCCCAAGATGTTTAAATTTTGTTTTAAGCTCTATGACAAAAAGTGAAGTTTTGACAGTATAATTTAACAGTATTGTTTAAATATTATTATTAATTTTTCTCCAAATGCATCCATCAGATGCACTTCAATGCAAACGAGGCGATCGCGATGTCTTGTCCACTTGTGTCGTTAACGGGCATTGCAGCTCCGCCTTTCACTCCCCCTTTTCGGGGGTCGCCTCCTCGTGAAGGCGGTGTCAATTTGGTTTAATTGTGGCCAAGGCTGGAGTGTGCTCAATCGAGGGAGGCAGAGGCATCTCCTCCTTCGCTGGAGGAGCAATCGCTGCCTGCCATCTGCATCTACATCTGCAGCCGAATCGAGGGCCTTGGCTGGGAGTACCATCAAGGCCAAAGACCGCATCCAGCCCAGCGTGTAATTGATATGCAATTGTTGTTGCTGCCGCTGAATTGTGGCATCTCAGCCTCTTTTTTTTTGGTCCGAACATTGCAACGGGGCCACAACAAACAAAACAACAACAACAAAAACCACAACTGTGGCAACAACCGGCGACGACAACAACGGCAACAACGGCATCTCAAGGTGAGTGAAGGCCAAGGGCCACATTTGGCCCCAACTTGGACACTGGAGTCCTCAGTTCCAGTGGCTGGTGCAATGGGGATTTCGGGGGTCTCACAATCCTCCAAATTTTTAGAAAAACCATGTGTTTCTTTTTTTTATGCAAAATCTTATTGAGACCTGAAATGCATATAAACTATTTTGTATCAAATTGCCAAAGGTGTTTATAATTTATATTTTTATAAGTTAAAAAGAACTAAAAGGGAGTTTTATAGTATGAGAATTTCTGTCTTTCAAATAAATATTTTATTTATGTATGGGCTTAACACAAATTATTGGCCATTAAAATAAATAACGATTCGAAGTACCTACATTTTTTATTGTGTTGTCCAAAAGTTGTTGCTTATAACACATTAATATATAAGGTATATATCCTGACTCGCAACCAAACAGAAGTACTAATATTTTGGCAATATATCTAAAAAAACTTAAATAAATATTTAAGAATTATAAAGTTTTAATAAAAAATTGTGTCCTTAAATAAAGCTTTAGAAGTATTTCAATTAGTTTGTAATATAACAAGTTGAAATCTTAAATCAGGGTCAGTCGTTCGCGGATTAATCAATTTATGTAGTAATCTATTTAAACGATGAAAAACCCCCTTAATAAATGGCTTAAGTCCGCTCCTGATGCCACTGCAGCTGCATTGGTACCTCCTGCTCCTCCTTCGCTGGGATTTTATTTTTAGCCGCGGCTTTATCGGATGCCGCTGATCTGTGGTGCTTAAACTTCGCTCCCGATTAGGAGAAGGAGCAGCTGCAAGAACCACATTGGCCTTGACGGACCCGGCTGATAAGTGCGTTTTAATGTTAGCCCCGTTGGCACTTAGTTTCAATCAAAGCCCAATTCTCGCCATTCCTGCCAGCCTTAATGATCTCGTTAGTTCTGGGGCTGGAATTGAAGTTGGATTGGGCAATCTGGTCTGGATTACCTGGTGGCATTCCTTGGGCCCCCTGGCGTGGGCTGTTCACTGATTTGTGAACCATCATCTGGTCTTTGGACTGCCTCTCACTTCGTGGCTAATTAGAGTTGTGTTAAAGATAGGCTAGGTGGCAAGACTCTTGTTTGTATTTAATGGAGGTGTCCGTTTTTTATGCCCTTGAAAGAGGACTAATTGAGAAGAGGACACTATTTATTTGTTTACTTTATTTAAATCACAAACCACAATGTTTATTTTAAATAATAACAATTTTTAAGTAGCGAGTTTTTACATAAGTTCCACAATTTTCTATAATTCAGAAAACTTTTCATATATGTTTTTATTTTATATAGAATCAAACTTTGGTAAGTGTAATTTAATAACTAGGCAATATTAAAAATTTGTTGTTTAATATATAATTAGCTTGAGACTTCATTAAAGTCACCTCAGGGTTTTCAAGCTTTTTTAGCCTGGTTATTTAGACTTATATGTATTTGCTTTGCATTTTGCTTTGCTTTTGGGCCAGGGCTATGACTTCATCATGTGGCCCGTGGTTTACGAAACTAACCAAATAATTCTGACAGTCAGTTCCCATAAATCAATGTCAAGCGTTGAGTTTCTTTTTTTCTCTTTCGTTTAAGGTTTGTTTTGGGTTTTGGGCCGGGGTTTGTTGTTTCAGTTTGTGTTTAATAATTTTATTGTGTGCGAAGCAATTTCCTTATGATTTCCTTTTGACTTTTACTTTTACCTGACTGCCCAAAATAGAAGAGTTCAGAGAACCCATTTGCCATAGAAGCCGGCCAACTATTCTTAATCGCTTGAAAACCTCATTTGCATACTTAGGCATGAGCTCACTGGTTAGCATGGCCCCTAGTCTTAGGCACACCCCCAAAACACTTTGAAAAAACCATTCCCATCAAAGCCCCCCCTCGTAATTCCAATTGTCTGGCACTTGTTGTGCGTGTTTTTGTCAAAAATTTCACGCATCGTTTTCTGCTTTGGCGGCGGACACATACAAATTGACTGTTTTACTAGCTCAGACTATATGGAAAACCCCTTCGCCCCCTTTTGCTATTCAAATTCAGGGAAAGCTTTAAGCTTTTTTGTGTCCAGAATCACACTCACAACAAACCAAATGTTTGAGTGAAACTTGTTGGCCTGATAAGACTTTGTGGCCCAACGTCACTTTTGTTATTCTGAGTTGTTTTTAGGTCTCGTTTGTTTCTTTTTTTTTTTACTTGATAAATGGCTTCGTCGTGTGGCTTTCGCTGTTAGTTTCGGTGTATAAAATTTTGTGAAATGAAGTCATCGCTAGGAAAAAAATTAGGGGTCAGTATAAAAGTGTATATAAAATTCAATCTTTTTCTTTATCTCAATCAGAAAGTTAAGAATTTATGTTTGCTCATAATTTGTTTTGCTCTCTTCCGTTTGATAAAATATTGTATAGGATGTTTAATGCCTTTAAGTTTTTGTTTCACTCAACGAAAGCTCACTCAAAACAAAAATATCACTCATACGCCGCTTGGGCCTTTGCTAGCCAGTGGCTGCGCATTTGTCCAAACAGTTGAGTTTCGACATCGCCAGCATTCGCGCGTTTGCCTTAAAGTAGTTGGAAAATATCTAAGGAGTAAAAACATACAGTTTTTTTTAGAAATTTATTCAACAGTTTTGGTACATTTTCTAAGCAAATGTAAGTTGGTGAAGTGCAAAGGAAAACTTTTTAAATTTAGTTGGGTTTATTCTTAAAAATGTCCTGAACCTTTAAGCAGCCTTCAGTCTTAGGCTTATATATCATTTAAAGAAAAGGCTTTATAACATTTCAAGAGCAGATTTTGACCCAGTTACCGCCAATCGCGTTCCCCTTTTCTATTGTTCCTGGGGCATCGTTGTTTTCAATTTCCGTTTGGAGGCCTTGTTTTAGGCGCAGTTTCCCTATTTCCGTGTGTGTATATATGCGTGTGTTTAAATCATCATCAGTCTGAAATTCCAGTACCCCGACCCCTGAAACCCCTTCTCCAAACTGGCGCTTGCGCGTTTCCCAGCTCCCAGTGATGTCATCTGGGCTAGTGGTGATGTAGGTATAAATTACATACATATATTATGCCCCGAGCATAAGTCCCCTAAGTCAATGATTTCTCTATTGCGTTGCGAGTTATATCTGAAATCGCCTTTGCTTCCTGTTTTGCTCCCCCTCCCCGCCAAAAAAAACACTTTAATTTATGCATTCAGTCCGAGGCGCTAATATTTCAGAATGTTTATATACAAACATGTATACTCATATCTGGTGCACTATTTCATGTTTCTTCTCCCCCAGTCATTCCATTTATAAATATACAACAAGATGACCCAAATATTCCTTTATTCATTTGCTCTGGGACAATACACTTGAGGTAGGTTGGGCTTATAATTACTCGGCCTCCTCTCCAGGAAGTCCATTCTTTTCTATACATGGCTATCTATAACCCATTCATGTTCCCATTCAAATTTTTGCCATAAATATTACCAATTAACTTTTACCATTTTGGTTGAAAAACTAATTAAAATGTTGGCAACGAATTCGCAATGCCTGACTGGAGCTGGATGAGAACTTGTTCGCCAGATCAGAAATACAGAGAAAGAAACCAAAACAGAGATGGCAAATCGAGAAGAAACGAATTATTTATGGTCTGGCAGTCAAAGCGGATTATTTCTGATTTAGACTATCCACGCTCCCCATCAGACTGCCTGATATTCTGCGGTCATGTTCGCGAGGGGCATGTTGACTTTGAGTTGTCAAAGACAATTTAAAATGGGTATATTAAATGTGTAGTATCCAAAATAGTTCAACACATCCTGTGTCGTAATAAGATTTGCCAAAGCTTTGGATTGGTTTGTCCGGTTTGAAGTGAGGTAATTTATTACATAATTTTTATTTATAGATGGAATATGGCTTCTTTATATATCAACTCAAATTAATTTTTTTTTTTGGTTAAGAACTTTGATGTATAATTTTACTGTCTAACAATCATAACGGATTTAGGTATTTTATTACTAATATAGTAATTTTTAGTACAACGATTGCTTTCCTTAAAGAAAATACTACTTTAAAAACTACTATATTCAGAGCATTCTTTAGTCGTTAAACTTTGATTTATTGCCATTGTAAAGCCCTTCTTGCATATTCCAACATCTTTTGTGGTGTAGTTTGTCAACTTTTCTTGTTCCCCGGTATTTATGGCTTCCAATTACAAGTAGGGGCGGAGTAAAGGGTTCCATTAGTCTTTCGCGGGGACGCGCTTGGTAATTTGTTTCGTCTTGAGCGGAGTTCAAGTTCAATGACCCAGGTCCAATAAGATGATTAATGACAGGGGCAACTTGTGTTGCATGCAATGCTCTCAATTATTCAGTCGGATTAAATAGATGAATTCGGTGGATTATCTAGGGAATATATGGGCTATGAAATTGCCTCACCCCAGAGCTAGTTTGAAGCTGATCCCAGAGCAGCGTAATCAAGAGCCGGCGTAATGAGGCGATGACATAAGCAGTGACGACTCGATTCACTCAGTATTCGATTGGGGGGTGGTATAGTATTTGACATGCTCGACGGGCTGCATCAAGGTCACGGCGATTGGGTGCATATATACCCCTTCCTTTTCGATTTGTTAACATCTGTCCAGGCACAAGCCACAGCCTCATATCTCACGGACAGAGGCCTCCAAACTGGTTGCAGTCCCATCTTATCGCCGCCTTAAATGGCTCCCCCAAACAGCTTCCAATTCTCCTGGGGCTCAGTCTTCCAACCTTAAGTGGTGCGTAATTAATGGCCCCGCCAATAAATGCTCACGTTTTATTTACTGTTTATGGAAGGATGAGGATTTGGTGCCTTTTTCAACTTCGTGTTGGGTAGCCTGTAAACAAGACGACAATTTATGCTACTAGCAATTTCAAAACTAAATTATCGTACAAATTTATGCCACGTTCGATGGCCAACAAATTAAGTGAGGTATTTTTTGGGAATGGGTAAGGGAAAATGAACAGTTTATCTTTAAATAAATAAATAAAGTAGATTTTTTGAAAAGTTATAAATATTTATTTTTAAATAATACCCTAGGGGCAACATTTGGGTTTCAGAACTGTTTAATTTCTGAAACTCATCTAAATGAGTGGTTTATGTTGCCTGCGGCTTTACCCTTAAGCAATGTTTTATAAACCAATCTTAACCTTTGGTAACTGTATGTTAAAGACTTATTATAATAGATCTCGCAAGCTACCGCTAAGTTCTGACCCCTTTTAGAGAAGCCTAGGTGAGTCAAACCTGTTGACTATTTATTTTTGTTTATTTGGGCTTTGCAAAAAGACGATAATTGACTTCGTTGGGTGATGGGGAAACCAAACAGATGACGCCATTTCAGTATTGGATCACTTCCACTTTTCCACCTCTCAAAAAACATCTGAGAGAGCTTTGGTCTAGCTTTGGGTGGGTATGGCTTTGTTATTGTCCAGTATAAACTGTATTATCATGTTGATAGGAAAGTGAGTAAAATACAGATAAGTTTCTCGTAAAGATACGAATGGGAATTGAAGCTCGTTAGTTGACGAAGACAGACAAGACCCACCGCAATGCTGATTAGTGTTGTAGCTCACAGGTGAGAAAATGCGTAGGTGGTTTCCTAACCAGATTACGCAGTTAGGAAAAAGTTGCGTGATAGCAGAAACCACAACAAAGTGGGGAAATGAAAAACTGGCTAGGGATAAATATAAACTTTTTATGACCCTAATTCCATCGAAGAAGGAGGTATTTCGGCATGAGATTAAACTTATTTAAGCCATAATGGTTTATAATCTCTGTCTGTGTGTACATTAAAGAATTTAATAAACTTATTAAATTAAATTGCAGATCCAGCATGTCCGAGGCAGCAGCAGCAAATGGCAGCCCTTCCCCAGCTCCAACTCCCGAGGCTCCGGCGGCCGAGTTGGCCCAATTGGCTCTGGAGGATGAGCCCAAGGCTAGCTTCTCGGATCAGTTCAAGGCCTTCTCCAAGTTCGGGGACTCCAAGTCCGACGGCAAGCTGATCACGCTCTCGCAGAGCGACAAGTGGATGAAGCAGGCCAAGGTCATCGACAAGAAGATCACCACCACCGACACGGGCATCCACTTCAAGAAGTTCAAGGCCATGAAGATCTCACTCGGCGACTACAACAAATTCCTGGAGGATTTGGCCAAGACGAAAAAGGTGGAGCTGTCGGAGATCAAGCAGAAGTTGGCCGGATGTGGAGCTCCAGGAGTGGTTTCCGTTTCGGTGAGTTTTGTTTAATGCCTTAAGTGCAAAAAGATTGGCAATGATCAATTTAATATGAATGATACCTTGCAAAAGTTATCTCCTAAATATTTATAGATTTAACCAGCTGAATATCTGTTTGATTTCTTAATTAAAAATTATTCAAAGTTCTTGATGTTTGTAAAGCCATTATAACATCAAAATTTAACATAGTTTTATATGCTTATAAAATAAATCAAGACGAACCGAAAAATAACAATTTCGAATTAAAATTTGTTGTTTAAATATAAATTTTAGTACATCACACAAATTGTAATCAAGCTCTTACTGATTTTAGTAAAAACTTTTGCTAAGTCGTCATATCATAAATATTATTCTGTGTATATGAATGATTTAATGTAATTTGGGTTAACTTTTTTTTTAGGCTGGAAAGGCGGCAGCTGCCGTGGATCGATTGACGGACACAAGCAAGTACACCGGTTCCCACAAGGAACGCTTCGATGCCTCCGGAAAGGGCAAGGGAATCGCCGGCAGGCGCAATTTGGTCGATGGATCTGGTTATGTGAGTGGCTATCAGCACAAGGACACCTACGACAATGCCAACAAATAAGGGAATCACCAATTTTAAACCGCCCATTCTCTCTAAAAAATGTCTTTCTAACTTTTGTGTTTCCTTAGTTAATGTCTCTCATTTCGTTTGGTAGCTGCAGTAATTTATCTTTGTGTACATAATCTAAGTTTGTGATAATTTAAGTGCTTACAAATAAATTGATATATTTTGATTATGTTTTTGAGTTCTTTAATTATGGTTTCCTTACGTTTTCCCTCGATACGTACAACTCTGAAGTGGCCCAAAAAAGTTCAAAAAGCAAATCCCAATCAAATTTATATATCTTTCATGGTATTTGAATCCATGTTTGCTAGTCTTAAGATACGAGATAAACTTTTAATATTGAAATTTGTGAAAGAAATTTAATTATCATATATGGAAACCAAAGATATACGACATACATATACATACGTGGATATGTTTTGTTCTCATAAGAGTTTTGCTTAATAAATACACTTAAAAATGTCCATATTGATTTTTTATTTGTATTGTGGTTTTAACGGTTAATGGTTTATATTTTTTAAGAATTTATAGAAATAGAAAACCACTCTTGATTAGGAAATTTCTGAGTAGAAAATAAAAACTATAAGAAAAGATTTGACCCAAAAAAAAAAGTTTTAGTTATTTTAAAGTGCCTAGGTTCTATGCCATTGATTATTAAGAATATCTTATTGGAAGATGGTTATTAAGAGATCATTGTATTATCTCTGTAATGACATTATCAATGTTACAAAGCTGACATCGCAAAAACCAGAGCAGTGTGAAGCAGACTGAACGCTAGAGCGACCAGATAGTGATGGAAATCGATATGGCGGCTTGAGTTTGCATAATCCTAACCCAGAGCAGGTGGAAAACTAGCTATTGATTGCAGTCGAGCCAAAGTCACTCAAATATATATCATATATCCCTTGGAAAATAGCTATAAAAGCGGTGATCAGTGCTAAGCCAAGTCAGCAGTTCAGTTGAAGAGCTCTGAGCTTGATGAAATCGCAAGGAATACACCCGACTACTACAAGTATCAGCCAGCCCAAGATGTCCTTTCGCGGCAAGAATGCAGTGGTGACCGGCGGAGCTGGAGGCATTGGTCTGCAGGTGTCCAAACAGCTCCTGGCCGCCGGAGCAGCGGTGGGTTAATCACTCTGCTCTATGTATAGTCTTTCCTTAAAACTTTGTCTCCCAGAAGGTGGCCATCATCGATCTGCAGGACAACTTGGAGGAATTTGTAAAACTACGGGCGGCTCATCCCACGCAGAGCGTCATGATCGTCAAGATGGATGTGGCCAATAAGAAGGGTGTGGAGGCCACCTACGAGGAGATAGCCAAGACCTTCGGCAACATCGATATTGTGGTCAATGTGGCTGGCATTTTTAATGACAAGGATGTGCAGAGGACTCTGCTGGTGAATCTGGGTGGCATCATCAATTCCACGCTGAGTGCTTTGCCCTACATGGGCAAGGATAACGGCGGCAAGGGTGGCATTGTGGTCAACATGAGCTCGGTGGTGGGTCTGGATCCGATGTTCATCATTCCCGTTTATGGAGCCACTAAGGCGGGCATCATCAACTTCACCCGTTGCTTGGCGGTAACTGCTTAGATCTCTCTCATATTCCTCTTTACAATTTTGTTTTCTTTTCCATCCAGAACGAAAAGTACTATCAGCGATCAGGCATTAAATTTGTGACTGTCTGTCCTGGAGCAACGATGACGGATATGTTCACCAACTTCACGGAGAAGATCATCTTCCCGGAGACCAGTGACGAGACCTACAGGATCCTGGACAGATTGAACAAGCAGAGTGCCGCTGATGTCTCTCGCTGCATTCTGAATGTGCTGGAGAAGGATAAGAACGGAGCTGTCTATGTCATCGAAGGCAAGCGAGTCTTTCCTTTGGAGATGAAGGCCCAGTGGACGGGCAAGGAGCAGGCACTCTAAGCGGGGCTAAACTCTTTATATGCTAAAGCAGCACACTATAAACATCTGAACAAATTATGGAAATTAGTTATTTAATAAACAAACAAAGCACACTGAATAGTTCTTTTGTGATTAGTCCTCGCGCCAGCTGACTAGCACTTCGTCCGTGCGGAAACGCTGGGTCACAAAGGCTTCCTCCAGGGGCATCCTGGTGCCCGAGCGAAACATCTCCGCCCCGGCATGGGCTATCATCAAGCCGTTGTCTATGCAGTAACGTTCATCCGTGGCGAAGAGTTTTCCATTGCGCTCCTCGCACATAATACGCATCATCTCCTGGAGTCGCTCATTGCAGCCCACGCCTCCTACTATGAGGACCTGGAAATTTAGTGGGTTAGCTAAGGGTATTAATACAGAAAGGGGTTATAGTCCACCTCATTGGAGCCACAGTGGGCCATGGCGCGCTCTGTGATCTCCACTAGCATGGCAAAGATGGTCTCCTGCAGCGAATAGCAAAGATCCGCTTGGCTGTAGTCAGTGACCTCCGCCTCTTGCGGCTTCTTCCTCTTGTTCTGCCTTTTGCCAGGTTCAGCCAGATCCTCAATATAGGACAGAATCCCCGAGAAGCTCACATCCATGCCTTTGACCACATAGGGCAGTTTAATATACCGATTGCTAAGCTTGGCCAGCTGCTCGATGTTGTAGCCCGGACTGGGATCGTTGGACAGTTTGATGATGCGGGCGAATCGATCCAGGCAATTGCCCACCGCGATGTCGATGGTTTCGCCAAAGATGCGATATCGCTTATTGGAGTAGGCAATCACCTGGGTATTTCCACCGCTCACATAGAGCACTATGGGATTCTGGGCCCCGGTGATCAGGCGACCCATCTCGATGTGTCCGATGCAGTGGTTCACGCCCAGCAGAGGAATGTCCCACAAAAGGGACAACGTGCGGGCCACGATTGCGCCCACCAGCAGCGGAGGAGCCATTCCTGGTCCTTTTGTGTAGCAAATGACATCCAAGTTGGAGGGTTCTAGCTGTGCCTCCTTTAAGCTGGCCTTGACCAAGCCCAGAATGGCTTCTCTGTGATGTTTGGCCGTCTCCTTGGGCAGGAAACCTGTTGCATATAATATCATGATGAAATCTCTGTAAAATGCCGGTTGGTTAGAATCCCCATATACCTTCTCCCGGTGGCGTTATATAAGTTCTCCGCACATTGGCCAGCACTTCACCATCTTTGATTATACCAATGCCTATTTTATTGGCACTGCCTTCAATGCCCAAAGCGCAAACCATGTTTGAAATCTAATAAAAATATAACAATTGCAATGTAAACAAACACCAGTGTGGCCCTTTTTTGTGTTTGTGGATTTTGGCAGCGGTATAGTACGTTCACACTGCAGTGGCAGGGTAGTCAACTCTTAAAATTAAACAGCTGCTTTGCAAATAGCAAACTTTGTTGTATAGCTAAAAATACGCGAATTTCATTGTCAAATTTGAATAAATGATAAAATAATTAAAACAAATAATGGAATCAGCGCAGGCACCAACGCCGGCTGAGGTGCAGAGTCCGGATATAATGGAAAATGGGGATTCTGGCCGTGATTTAAACCACATCGAAGAGAAATCAAGTGAAGACGTGGAACTGAAAGCTGATTTTATTGACCAGCAGCTGGAAGAAAGCAATGTGAAAAGTGACCAGGATGGGACCACAATGGAGGAGGAGCTCAAGGCAGCCGTCCTGGAACAAGTGCCATTGGATGAAGGAGAGCTGACTTTGCGATTCAAGGATCTTCAGGCACAGGAAAAGGAGGAGGACGAACTGCAGACGAATCCTTCGAAGCTCCCGCAGAACGATATTCTGTGCCATGTCCACTGTTTGGCCCAGTTGGAGGAGCAGCGTCGCAACTACGAGCAGCAGCTGGACCAGCTGCGCACCTCCAACAACCAGAAGGATAACATGATCACCCTCATCCAGCGAGAGAACGCCATCCTCGGCAAGGAAAAGCAGGCCTGCCGCAAGGAAATGAACATGGCCAACAAGGAAAAGGAGGCCACCGTCATCAAGTTTGCCATGAAGGAGAAGCTGCTCATCGATGCCAAGAAGGAAAAGGAGGCGGTGGAGAAGCAACTGGCCGAGGCCAAAAAGGAGGTCAAGAATGTGACCGCCAGATTCCAGGCTGTAAACGAGGAGAAGTCCCGCATGACGTACATCATCGATGAAAAGGTGGGTGGTAAAGTTGAACTATAGATGAATAACCTCTTATCACAACCATTTTATCTTGGTGTTATCAGAGCAACGAAGTCAGGAAGTATCAGCGGGAATTCGAAAAGTACAAAATTGAAATGGGTCACTTAGAGTCCAAGCTAAAGTATCACATAAACAAACTGAACATCGAAACAGAGGCCAAGGCGGTATGGATTGATTATCCAAGTACTATAGTTTATCCTCATTTATTAAACTTTATTCCCATTTAAGGTTGTTGAACGCAAACTGGAAGAGGAAAAGAATGCACCCAATAAGCTGGAGGAGAAGGCAAATGGTAAGTTATTTTTCATTAAAAACTGTTTACAAATGACTCACCTATTCTTATTCTTACCTACAGAGAAGCTTAAAATGGAATTCGAAGCCAACACAATACTCTTGAAACACGAGATCACCAGCAAGACTGAGGCTCTGGATAAAATCACCAAAGAGCAGCAAAGACTAAGCGATGCCAACAAGGAACTGCAGCAACAGCTTCAAGAGATTAACTCAGCGGTAAAGTCAAGTTATGGTATCTATAGATTGTTTCTAATTACTTTGTATTCTTTGCATTACAGCATAACCAACTCACCCAGGAATTCGATCGCTTAAGGGAGCTGCACAACTCCGTGGAGGCTTCCTACAGCGATGAGCTGCTTAACTCTGCTAAACTCAGGGGACAACTAGACGAACTTCAGCTTTTACGTACTCAGAACACCTTGTAAGTTTTGTTTTTAGAATAATTAATCCTAACCAAAACTGCCAAATTTCCTAAATGCAAATTTCCGTTTCCAAAACTTAAGTTCCCTTAGGTATTTCTTTATCGATTTGCAAATAAAAATGTATAATTTTGACTATTTTAGAAACGAAGAAAAGTTGGCGGATCAACAAAAGCGAATCCAACAACTGGAGGCTTTGGTCCAAGAAAACGATTTGGATATGGAGCAACTCAAAGTGAAGAAACAGGAGCTACTTACCATTAACAAGGAAATGAGTGAGCTAATTGTGCGACTGCAGAATGACATTTGTTTGGCTGAAGCCAAGGTAAGTAAAAATAAAAAGGGAATAAAAAAAAAGAAAAAAAGTATACATGCCCCGGGTGAGGCTCGAACTCACGACCTTAAGATTATGAGACTTACGCGCTGCCAACTGCGCCACCGAGGCTATGAATATCCAAAGATTCTAACCAGCTCCTATTAACGTAGATACCGAAAGCAACCTAATTCAGACGAAGGATCTAATAACTTAATATGTTTCTTTGCAGGCCCAAGGTTTAGATGCCGAGAACAAGTTACTCAAACAAGAGAAACTGGGCTACGACTCCAAATATAATCAACTGGAGCATCAACTTAATTTGGAGGCGACGGAGAAGAGCGAGGAGCGTCTTCTGTTGGCCAAGCATTTATCCGAAAAGACCAAGCTGTACGAGCTGACCAAGCAAAAGCTGGAAGATGTCCAGGGGGACTATGAAGCCATCCAGCACAAGCATGCCACAGTGGTTAAGGAACTTCACAGGGAGCTGAACAAGTATAAGAGGGGAATTACAGATTCCAAGGTGCCCATCAGTTACTGTAGCAATTGCCAGCAGGCGATCAATGGTTACCCAACGGAGAATCCCCAGCAACGCAGTCATAGTCGCTCCAGTAGCCACGGTAGCCTGCACAGCGGCAGCCGGCGGGCCAGCGAGTCCTCCGAATCGGAAACGGTGGCCAGCAGTGCCACCACAGTTCAACAGCCGCCGCCGCAGCAGGATCTCCAAGCAGTTCCGTCCAAAAAAGTCCTCGTCGAGCGGATATTGCGTCTGCAGCAGGCCACTGCCCGCCAAACGGAACGCATCGAGTTCCTGGAGAACCACACGGCCGCTCTGGTGGCCGAGGTGCAGAAGAAGTCCAAGGTGGTACAGCACTACATGCTCAGGGATCAGACTGCCGGCGCATTGACCACGTCGCGCAGCGATCAGAACAAAAGCGAGCTGGTCAAGTATGGGAATGGGATTATGGCGGCCATCTATGGAGGATCCTCGAAGGCGAGCGGCGAGAGCAAGGCCATGTCTTTGGAGCTCTCCCTGGAGATCAACAAGAAGCTGCAAGCTGTGCTGGAGGACACGCTGCTGAAGAATATCACGCTGAAAGAGAACCTCGATGTGCTGGGCCTCGAAGTGGACAATCTCACCCGGAAGTTGCGATCCCTGGAGGTCAACGGGAAGTAATGCCAGTCTTCTTAAACACTGTATTCCATTCCAGAGTCTAACCCGTGTAAAGATAGTGTACAAATTGTATGAGCTTTAGTTTAAGTGTATAATATATGTGTATTTAATATTTTAACAATGTCCCAGACTTATAATAATCCTTCGTAAAGCTTGGCGCTCACGGGTTTGGGCTGTCCCACACCCAGTTCGAAGTTTATGGTTGGTTTCTCACCATCCTTGGCTAATCTGGCCAGTTTATTGTGTGTTAGTTTGTAGTGCACCTTCATCTGTGGATTGGGATTGCCCGTCTCCTCTGAGACCAGCTCGCGGAGCAGAGGTGGCAGGTCAATCTTGGTGGGCAGCACCACTGGCTGCACCTTGTTGTTGTTGTTCAGGTACTTGGCCTCCTCACTTTGGGGCACCAGTTCGTAGTCCGCCTTGTAGCTGGTGCTGTAGATCTCCACGGGCTTGGGCTGGGTTACTCCGCGCCAGGTCTTCTCCACGGTGACTCGAACTTTGCGGATTTCGCCGGGCTGTTCATCCACGGACTGCACCTTCAGAATCCGCATGTAGCAGGGCTCCGGATATCGCTGGAACATGTTACGTATGAGGAGGCGACCCACTCCCCAGTTGGGCAGATCCGAGACCAGCTCCCACAACGTGTTGCCGCGGAAGTCCGTGGTCCGGCCAAAGTACTTGATCACCTTTTGGGCCATTTTATCGTGATATTTAACTAGTTTTAATTGAAATTTTGGTAAAAGTTAAAAAACCGTCAGTTTGCCATTCACTGGAATGGTCGAACAGCTGTGCCGGCGCATTTAGCAGCGCTGTTGATAGCTAACAGAGTGCTGTTAACTTAACAGTGTTAACAGGGAAAAGTTTTTAGGCTGGAAATGCTGCGCGCCAAAGAAATTAAAGTTTGAGGAAATGTGCATAAAAATATATTATTTTTGTGTAGAACGCTAATCAATAGTAAGAGTAATAGTAGAAATATTTAATAATTCATAATTATAGAAATATGTGATCCATTTCAATTTGCTGACAACTCACAGCCACGTAAGTCTGACTTGAATGCATTTATTTTATGTACATAAATAAAATTTGTAATTAATCTTAATAGTAAATCCAGTTTCGACTACTTTTAATACAATATGCTGTGGGATTGGGAATCCCTCACTGATAAGGTGTTCTGACATGTTCGCTTAGCTCCTCGCCGCCAGCCGTGTGGCCAACTCCGCTGGGGGTCAGGTGCTCGTCATAGGAGGATTCATCCTCCCCGCCAAAATCCTGACCTTCGTGTCCGTGGGCCGAGGGATTGGTGCTTTCGTGCAATTCAATTGTGGCATGCTGAGCAGCCTTGGAAGCATTCACCTGGGCTGCAGCCGCTGAATTGGCCGCCTTCAGAGCGGACTCCTTGGTGGCGGCATAGTCCACTCGTGCCTGGTGCAACTGCTCCTCCACCTGCTCCAATCGATTCTTGGACTGCCCGACCATCTGGGACTGGGAGGCCAGTTGATTGTTCACCTCCGTGGAGGTCTGCTCCGCCTGTTCAGCCACGGATTTGGCATTATTCACGGCCGCTGTGAGCACGGAGATGTGATGGTGGGCCGCTTGAGCCGTCTGCTGGGCCAGTCTGGAGGAGATCTTGGCCGCCTTCAGTTGCTCCAGTTCGCGGGAGAGCGATCGCTGGGCCTCGGCCGCCTGCTGCTCCAATTCCTGGAGCACCACTTGCTTTCCCACCAGCGCCGCTTGAGCTGTGGCCGCCGCCTGGGAAGCGGCTTGAGCCAGGGTATTCTGGGCTATATAAGCCGCCTGCTTGGCAGCCGCATGTTGGTTGGTCACCGCACTGTGTGCCTGATCCGCCGATCCCTGGGCAATAGATCGCAGGCCACTGCCAATGCTATAGCCACCGGTTCCCTTGCTCGACGAAGTCGAGCCTCCACCTCCTCCTCCGGATGGATTGTAGTAGGTTTTAGTGGTATGTTGTGGCTTTTCCGGCTCGGGAGGATCCACTGCTGGATGATGGGGCTCAAAGTATCCAACTTGGTGAATTGGTGGCGGCTGCTGTGGCCTATAGTGATAGCCATTCCTCTTGTGCAGGCGGCCCATCACCTGGGCCAAAAGGACCACTAAAATGATATTTTATAGTAAGTTGTGGATTGAAGAAACCATTTTTAATATTAAGATTTAATATATATATATTTCACCTTCACAAGGATTATTATGATCGTAAAATTTAAAGATCAAAATTATTCACTAATCAAAATTTTTTTTGTTCTTCACAGCTTTCAATTTTCAAGTTTTTGAAAATATAGTTTTTAGAAGACTTATTCACTGTACCCACATTTTTGCATTATATTTATATATCTTTGAGTTTGATATCATAAAGAAATGTAATACAAAAGGATAATTTCAATGAAAAGTCCTGTAAATTGCTTTTCAATTCCTTTGGCAAAATATTTTTTAATTTTGGAAATAATATGTACACGTATTTTGTATTATATATCTTATTTTTTTTGCACAATTTCGATGCACTCCTTTTCGAAAAGGGTATTTCCCGGCTTACCCAAAACTAGCTGGCCGAGCAGAAACCGTAATCCTTTGCCGTACATCTCGCTATCGCTGCTGGAACTGCATTGAACTTCAATTTCTATGGAAGTACCCCATTTATAAGTCTCAGAGACGCCAGCCGAGCATAAAGTTTTTCAAGTTGCGGAAAGTCGGTTGCGGTTTTTAAATTTAACTGATGATGGGCATGTTATGATTTTCATACTCCAAAACTATTTGAATATCTCTGCCCACTATATGGAGCCAAGTCCACACACATTGCACCTTCACACCCATTTCTTTGCATCCCATTGAGGAAGCTAGGCGACCACTTTTGGGTCCAAGATTCGGTGTCGGTGGCGTCTTTTAATGCTTCGCTGGCACGCTTGCTTTTAACCAAACGGACAGTGTAAAGCGGTCGGCCCCTCCGGTTTGTTAATGTCTAAAATTTAATTTGCATTTTATGTGCAGCACTACTTTGTAATTGAACTTTAATTGGCGCTTTTGGCGGACTTCATAGTGCAACGATGCAGAGAAAGCCACTTTTGGGGATTACGTTATCAGGCAGATTAACTAGCTAACGAAATTCGGCAATTTACGAACAGGGGAAGTCTGGGTAAATCAAAATTCAAATATAATTTAAATTGAAAAATTATATAAAATAATAAAAAATGTGAAGTACACTGCTGCAGTCACCATTATTACATAGTTTCATAAGCACATAATAAAAAAGCATAATAAAGAGAAAACTTTAAATATAATAAAAGACATTCCAAAGAATTTTAATCTTTGTAAAAACGTCTTAAGTTCAATAAAATATTAAGATTTCTAATTTCTAAGGTGGGTTGCAAACCAAGTTCCTATAAAGATTGTGTGGTTGCACCAACTACAGCTCCTTTAATCTACATTAAACTACCAAATATTCCAATTAATTCTTTAATTAAATATCTTAAATTCTTACCAATTCCGACATTTTATTAAAACTTAAACTTAAACCTAAATCCCGCAAAGAATCAAAGAACATCGAACCACAATGGTCATTTCAACTTTTCTCCCCTTTCTCTGCCCAAAGATAAAACTCTTTCTGTTTTTTTTTATATAAATTATTTTTTATTTAAATACATAATTATAAATTTATTACAAATATATAAATAAATTAATTATGACAAACACTATTTTACAGGACAAAATCGGAACTCAGATGTACAGGATACAAGATACAAGTTACAATTAATATCAACAAGTGGTGCGCGACGGCTGTGCGTCTTCAATTAAGTAACAATTGTGGGCCGCTAATGAGTGGGTCAACAAGTGAAGCGAAGCGAAGTGAATGCGCCCGTGGGCGCATAATATAGTATATAACAAAACATGACAGGTAATCGAAGAGACATTCGTAATAAATAGGAGTGACGGCGCTGATAAATACGATGACGAATGCGACAATTGAGACGATTCGAGAGTTTGCAAAAGTTTGTAGAGTGATGGCTTCGGTCAGTAGTGGAAAACGAATTCGTCGGAGGAGGTGGTGTCATCATCTGGTAGTGATGACGATGCATTCGCATGGTAGGCGGTCACCTGCTCCTTCTCCTTTTCATCATGCTGCTCCGTTAATCATTGATAGCTCTGGGTGATCTGTTGGATCCAGGGCAGATAGGCAGAGACCTTCACGTAGACTCCGGGAACATTCACCTGGCCGCATCCAATGCCCCAGGAGACGACACCCACGACGTGCATGGCGCCATTACGGTCGCAAACCAAAGGACCACCGCCATCGCCCTTGCAGGCATCCTTGCCCTCCTCTCCGCCGGCGCACACAAATCCGGGATTCAGCTTGTAGTTGTAGCCCAGACGGGTGTTCCTCAGCTGCGACTCGCACTGCTGGTGCGACAGAATGGGCACATCCACCTCCTTCAGGATGTTCTGGTACTTTCCGTGCTCGCCAAAGGCATCCTTGCCCCATCCGGTGGTCCAGCAGCGGGCTCCGGTGAAGTCGGAATACTTGTCGGGCAGACAGGCGGGACTGATGTGGGGATTCTTGGTGAAGTCAACGGGCTGATCCAGTTTCAGGACGGCCAGATCGTTGTCCAGGGTGCCGGCATAGTACTCGGGATGGATGTGCACGGAGACCACATCGCGTTCAATGTAGGGGAAGAACTCCACATCGTGGTTCACATCCCATTCGCCCAGACGCACACGAAGATCGAAGCCATTTTGACTGGTTGGGAAAAGGTCAAAGGTTAATCCACTGACTCTATATGGTTTTTGCGACTCTGGCACTTACGATTTAATGCAATGGGCAGCGGAGATGATGTGCTGGGCATCGATGAGGGTGCCACCGCAGGCGTAGATCGACTCCTTGGGGTCCTTCTTCAGGATGGCCACATGCCAGGGATACTCGCCGAACTCACTGTCGCCGTCCACGTACACGGGGTTCTTGATGCGACCGGTGATTCCGGCGGCGTTCCTCACTCCACAACGGCCGAACTGCTGGGGAGGAGCCTGGGGGCGAAGGGGACGACGGCAGCAGACCTCGTTGATGCGGCAGGTCTTCTCCACGGGTCGGTTGCCATAGTAAGCGCGCTGAAAAATATCAAGAAAAGGTCACAAATTAGCTAAATGTCTGGGAAATGATAGTAACTAATCTAATGTCTATATTCACATTACAAGTCTTGCCTTTGTTGCCTAGCTTCAACACACTAACTGTTTAATATTTTTTTAATATATTTAAACCAAATGAAATCAATGCAACTGTTATAGAAGTAAGATTTTTACGATCCCCAGTGTGGAATCAATGTATATTAAATATATTTTGTGGGGACCTTTTTAACTTAGTACTTTTATATAATTTTAGCTTTTATACGTTATGCTTTTAAAGAGATTTGTTGCTTGTCTATTTAAAATAAATAAATATAAATATATTTTTTAAAAATATATTTCAATTAAGTACTTTTATATTGCATTAGCATTTAAAAAAGTTTATAATTTTATAAGGATGTGTTGTTTATGCATTTGTTGGAAAACTAAAATCAGGAATTATAAGTTTTTATATTGTCTTGGCATGATTCAATTACTCATGGAATTTTAAAAACTCTAAGCCTTGATCAACACATGGTTACCTGCTCCTCAGGAGCTGCTCCCGCCCACACACCATCCTCAACGCTGCGACGCCTGCGATCCCTGGGAAAAGTGATCTGATCACTGCCGGCTGATCCACCTGGAGCCGGAGTGGGAATGTTGTAGAGAGGTCCGAGGGTCAACTGCTTGCCACGACGCCCGGAATTTGATGAAAACGAGGACGTTTCACCACTGCTCACGTTGGCACTTCGTTCCACATGCTGCGAGTATTCGCCAAAGCCACCAAAATCGTGACTGGAGCCAGGATAGATGGAGCTGAAGGAGCTCTCATAGGGAGTCGATTCGTGGTGGTGATGATACTGGGCAGGTGCAGACGGGCCACTGTGGTACTCAAAGATCGGAGTACTTGGCACCATTTCCACACTGAAGTGGGGACCAGGTCCAGATCCTCCAAAGTAGTGGGGATGCGAGTGGTGGTCGTGGTGACCATGGTGATCATAATCGTGATGATCGTAATGCTCATAGCCACTGTAGTGATCGTGATGGTGATAGTGAGTGCTATACGCTTCAGTGGGTTTCCGCTTGAAGAAATCCCCCACTTTCTGGATGAGATTGGCATTTGGGGTGACATGCAGATTGACCAGTGGCTTCACCACCTTCTCGCCATATTCCGTTTTGGCCACCTGCACCGAGACCAGAGGATTCACATTCACCAGGCCGAGATTCAGGCCATTCGGACCCACTGAACCGAAGTAGGGATTCTGAGCGGGCACATGATCGCCCAGGATGTTCGAGGGATAGCCACCATATCCCCCAGTGGGATAGGGCAGACCAAAGCTCACCCCATAGGTGGGCAGCACCTTCCGCTGGATCAGCTCGATGGCCTGGAGGGCGGGCAATGCCAGTGGAGATCCTCCGAGCGGCGACTGTCTCTATTTTTGTTGGAGGGTGGAAAACATAAGAACGCTAAAGGTGGACTTCCATTTCCGGTTGCCGGATGCAGGTGGCATGTTTCAGGTTGCAGGCGTGCGATCACAAAGGTCGTGCTTTTGGTTAGCTTAGTTCTGGTTTAGTTCTGGGATTAGTGACTGGTCTAATCGGAACCGATTTGCACTCTGCCATTTTAGTTGAGCTTGGAGCGTTGAACGATGGGTGCAGTTGTCAGGTTGATTGGTTGGCTGATTGATTTATTGGTTGATTGGATGTGTGTGTGTGGGTGTGTGGGGGGAGGAGGAGGAGCTTGGCTAGAACTCACGATTAGTGGTCCATGCGAACCATGTGTGATTTGGCATTAGTCGGGCACTACCTAAACTATTAGATTTATGGTCTTCCATCAACTTACCCCTTGAGCATCGAGCGAGAGATCGCTGGCTTCCTCATCCTTCTGGTCACCATCAGCCTGGCGACGCGTGCGCTTCTTGTCATCCTTGTCCGACTTCTCCTCAGCCTTCTTTCCCTCGGCAGGAGTGGTGGCATTGGTGGCCAGAGGATCGTCACTCAGAGCCTCAATGTCCTTGCCCAGGTTGCGGGGATCGATGGGCAGAATGAGGTCCTCCTTGCGACCAATGCGATCGGCTGCCGGGCACTGGGAGATGGGCACACACTGGCAGTCCACAATCTGCTGGCGGGAGGTGTCATATCCGCTCTGGTACTGTCCTTGTCCTAGTCCCTGTCCCTGTCCCTGGTAGCCACCCGAGATGCCATTGTACTGGTTGGAAGCTCCACCGTGCAGCTCCTTCTTGTAGTAATCGGGATTCTGGCTGTGATAGCTGGAGCTGGGCGAACCACTGAATCCTCCAGAGGCGCTTTGGCCAAAACTTCCCAAGCCGGAGTTGGGCTTGTACAGATCTCCAGTGGGTTTCTGGTTCAGGCCAAAGCCGCTCTGCGAAAGGAGTCCACCCTGAGAGGCGCCATTGAAGCCAGCATTGAAGGCATTCGACTGGGAGTAGCTGGATCCGGAGGAAGACTGAACCGAGGGTGTGTAGGTGGCCGACGACTGGGCCAGGGCACTGAAGTCCGTGTTGATGGTCTGGCCGGCTCCAATGGGAATGGGCACACTGGGCACCTTGGCTCCCTCGCCACCCTCCACGTGGTGGTAGTGATGGTGCACATGCTGCTGCAGGGCATCGATGGGTGCTCCCACCACCACTTTCGTGCTGGAGGAAGTGGCCGACGAGGAGGAAGCCGAAGACTGCTGCGAGTAGAAGCCATTGGGAGCAGAGCTGGCTCCCTGGATACCTCCCTCGGGATTCTCAAAGTTGTACGGGGGAACTCCGTTCGAGGCACCAGTGAACACGGGTCCGGCACCCAGAGAAGGGCCTCCGGTGTAGATGGGTCCTGGTGGCTTGCTGTCGTAGATCAGAGCACCGGGTGGTGGCTTCGTATAGGTGATGCCATCGGAAGAGCCATCAATAGCGGATGGTGGCGGGTGTTCCAGGTAGCCACCAGGACCAGTTGGCCTATAGGGTCCAGACATTGGCTTGTAGGGTCCCTCGTAGCCAACCTTGCGGGGAGGTCCAAACGAGTTCACCGAGCTGGGCGGAGGTCCAAAGGAGTTCAGGGAGCTGGGCGGAGGTCCGTAAGATCCCATTGGCGGACGGCCGTTGAAGTAACTTGGTGGTGGCATGGGCTTGGCGGGACCATAGGGACCACCACTGAAACCAGACGGTGGCGGAGGACCTTGGGCGTAGATCGTCGAGTAGAAGGGACGCTTCTCCTCCACATCACAGCTCATCAGTCCCAGACCGCACAGCTTGTCACGGATAAGATTGCGGGCCTGCATATCGTTTCCCTGCTGCAGAGCCTGGTCGATATTTCCATCGGCATAGACGGCATCGTACTCCCCGAGATTGCGACCCTCCCGGCGGGAGTTGATCAGCTGATCAATAACCTCATCGATCTGGGTGGTGGTGCTGTTGCTCTGGATGGGTTCGTGCACCAGGTAGCGTCCCTGAATGTCAGCTTGGTCGGCGGGCTTGGTATCCACAGATCGGCGACTGGGCATGGCACTCTCCATGGGCGCCCACTCATTGCCCCAGCTGGACTCCTCGGCCAGGGAGGCGGTGGCCAGCAGCACGACTGCCAACAGGCTAGCTCTTATTCTCATTCTGGAGATCTGTAAAGGTAAGAAACCATTTATAAATTTAAGGAACATATTCTGAAAGGATTGCCTATAATTTATTACATTTTAAATTAAGGACCTAAGATTGTCATAACTTTTTCAACTAACTAATAATTAAAATGATTTTTATTTTGACATTATTTCTTTTATAATAAGGACCTAAGCTTGTCATAATTCTGCCTACTCACATATCTAAAATTAATTGTTTCTATATAATAATCACCATTAATATTTTGTATAATCGATTGACAAACTATTATACTTGATGATTGGCTTGCTTTTTTGTTTTGAGAGGAAGAGGTTTAGTCATGATTGGTTATGACATAACTGCTAAGCTTGACACCATTACCCCAAAGTCATTGTGCCAGTTTACATTTCTCCACCTATCCACCTATCTCTCCAGCCATCTTTGGCTTAACCAATCCGTAACGAAACCGAATCCAAAACCAAATCCGAAGCCGAAACCGGTTCACATCACGAAATCTTCACCGTGACTCAGACACTCGTATAAGACTTTTACTTTCGTTGGAGGTCGCAGACCGTCGCACTTAATTGCTTGATTTTGGACGTTACTTTTGCCCGAAATGCGAGGCAGAGACGAGGGAACAGCAGCCGCTACCTGTAATTTATGAGGTAATTTTCCTCCAGATTTAGCAAGCAAGCCTACGTATGCAATCCGTTTAAATGCGACCATCGCTCAAGTTGATCTCTTTGCCCTGACAGTCGCTTTCCGCTTCGTGTATCTTTTTTTTTTTTAAATTCACTTTTCTTTTCAGCCTTTTTTTATGGTCTTTTGCATTGCAGTTATGTCACCGGCTCAGAGCGAGGGCGGATTTTGTAAAAGATCGGCTACACTTCGAAAAAAATTGGGGGTAAGCAAATTGAAACTGGAGTGCTCAGAGCTGAATTTAATTGGGGTTTGTTAAAATGCTTATAATAAATAGTTGTTCAGAAATCATATAAGATTAATAAAACGTTTAATTGATTTAAGATTTAATTTTAAGACAGCAATTTGGATTACCTGTTATTTATTTAAGTTACCAAGCTTAAATAGGTAAATAAATATTTTCCTAAATAGTAAGACTTCTAAAAATTTAAATTCTGCAAAAATTAAATCGATAAATTCATTTAGTCTAACAACTGATACCTTTTCTGCTTAATGATAATTTAATACCTAGCTCCAATAATAAGTTTCTATTAATTTCAACACTTTTCACCATTTTTTTAAAGTGCGTCAATAATATATTTCCCAGTTATGTAAATGGATTTTTGAATGGCGCGCTGGGGTAGCTCTTAAAGCCCAGCCTTTTGGGCGGAAGTTGTGTGCAGCGTTGCATTGCAAATTACCGGCAAACTCTTTTGCTTGGATTTTCTTTGGCGAGATGCGATGCTAAATGTGCGATCGGTGGGGTTGGGAAACTTTTAGGTTTTTCCTTTGTGTTCGCAGTGAAAGTTTCACTTTTTCTATTGGCTTAATAACGGTTGGTAGGTAGGCTTTTGACCAATAGTTGTTATTATACATATATTACAAGCATTATTTTATCTGCTGGAGACTCACAATTAAACGCAACTAATTTTAATTAGCTTGCGTTTGGTTCACTTGAGTTCACTTTGGTAATTCGCATCACTTCACTCACCTTTTTTATGTCAAGTTTAATAATCCAACTGGGTAATAATCGCTGTTGTTTTCTTTTTTGATAATCCTTATGCAATTTATGGAGTCTGTTATCCTTTCACTTCACTCACTTTCTGCACCGATTGCGCTTTTCGTTGGTCTGCAGATCGTACACTGATTTCGCTTTCGTTGGTCGCGCACATTTTATACAAAAGCTGCGCATGCGCAACGTCGACGCCAAGCTCCAACGTTGCGCTGTCTCTTTCTGGGGGTCTCGCATCTCTGTCCCACCTTCGGGCCGCCTAAGTTTGCGAATCGGGAGCCCAAAACAAAAGGCACAAAAGCGGCAACGGCGTCAATGTTTGGCAACCTCTCTTTCTTACTGTTAGCGTTGACTTTTTTGTGGGTAATCATTTTTCGTCTGGGTTTTTTCTCAAATCCCCAGTTCTGTTAAACTACTGGAGGTCACTAAACGAGGGTCTAGGCGGAAATATCACTTGGATAGCTTCATTATCAGCGCCAAAACCCCAAAACTATCACTTTGAATCATTAAAACCTTTATTTCTCCTTAAAAAAATTTAGAGACTATGTTAAACATCCAAATTAGTCTTTGTTGTTTACGATTTTCTTAAGCGGGCTCTGACCAAATTTTGAATAACCAAGTTTAGCTTCCCGGAAAGGCGTTGCGTTGAGAAACCGGGATTATGCAATTCTGCAATTATGAATTGGGTCAGAGAGGAGCGACCGAATAATAAAAACAATATCGTGAAAAGGGTTAAAATTGGGCATTGCCTCAAACCGGATCTTTTGGCATACATTCATCTTTCCCCATCTCATTTTTTCCGTACATTTCTGCCCGTGTTTTCGGGTGCATTTCAGTTGATATTGCCTCGTTTTAAACCCATGGTCAATGCAGACGTCATCAGTCGGTCATTTGCTTAATTTTCACAGCCCAACTCACTGTGAATCAAAAGTGCTTTGCGGAATTACCCGAAGTTCATAAAAATTAGAGACATTCCCCCCAACTTATTCACGATGATCACGTTCGCGTGCCACTACCTCAAATCCCGATCATTAAGTTTGTCTGTTGTGTGTGTTGTGTGTGGTCAGTGCTGTTCGCAGTGGCTCTCATTGTGATTCAGTGGATCCAGTGGCTCCGACTTGTGTTACTGACCTTGGTTCGATGAGCTGGAGTCGTTTATCTAGCCCCACTTAAGTGGCGTTTTATGTTAACCATTCCAAGAAAGTTGATAATGAACAGATCTTCGAAAATTATGCTAATCACATTGATTTGCCGGAGTTGTTATTGTCGCCACTCTGGCTTGTTTGGCAAACACCTCTCGGCTATTTGTTTGTGATTAGTTCGCGGAGTTTTTATCAATCAGCGTGTGGCGTAGTTTTTGACCATCGGGTTTTTCATGACTCATTTTGTGAGCACTATGGGCTTTGCGAGCGTAGTTTGAAGGAGGTGCGTCGAACCTGATTCACATCGTTTTTTAATTCCGTTAACGATAGTGTTTGCCTTACCCTTTATTTGGGAATATGGATAAAATAGATTTTATTTGATGTCATAGAGGTTGGCAGGAAAGTTATTTGAAATTTCAGAAATTGCTAAAAAATATATTGAGTATAAAATTTCTATCTATAACTTCAAGGTGCTCAATTTCATTCACAAGTAAATTTAAAATGCTTTTTAATAGCTAATAGACAAAATAGCAAATGTACAGAATGTTAGGAATATGCTATTTTAAACTAATTATTTTTAATTAATTAATTAAAGATGATAATAACATAAATATACATATGTCTTATACTTTTTAATATTAATCCAATTTATAAATACTTCAAATTAAGTATTTTTCAATTTCGAAAACTTATAAATATCAAAAAGCAACTAATGAATTTATATTTAGTTTTTTTTTAGTTTTTTTTTTTTTTAGTTTTTGACTAATAACTCATTAACATGATGTTTTATTATAAAAGGAATTTATTATATATTTAATGAAACGTATAGTGTATCATTAAAAGCGGCTTGTTGTGATTGAAAATGTATTTCCTGATAAAAATAATTTAGGAAGTTAGCTGAAACTAAGCTATTGGTAAATCCCAGTATCTGATGAACTGAACTTGAACTTGGACCTCGTCGGTGACAACTGATGCCAGCTGGGAAGTATGTAATCCGATGGGGTTACAGGTTCAGGGGCTCGCTATTGGAACTCCATTCGAGATTTGACATACACTCATTTCTATTTATGGCTCGCTCCAACTTTTTGCACATTTCTTGGGCGGCAGTATTACAACATAGCCTATGTTAATTATGGCTAACTTGTTAATTGTTTGCCCAAATGGATTTGTGTGGGAATCGTGTTTGCTCCACTTTGTTAGCTTCCTCTGACTGAAGCACTATCTCCTTCTCTCTCTTTTAGTATACCTTTCCCTCTTTCTCCTTCTCAAATAACTTGTCAAACAGTTCAAGTCCAAGAGGCACAAAAAAATACAAATTGTCGCTGGCTCAAGGCTGGTTTATCGGCTCCCGGCTTAGATTTGTGTCAATTGCTCAACAAGTTGAGGTCTTCCACCCACACGCACCATTTGGCCAAAAACAATTTGGCAATCTCTTTAAGTCAACCATTATTGGTTGGGTATGGATTTAGGGCCTAATCTTCATTGGGATTGAAATTAAGCCAAGCCCACAAAATTAATCTAATTATGGCTCTATTTGTTTTTAATTAATTAAAATTCTGTCCGTCGGGTACTTTTGAAAAGGGTTTTTTCATTCTTAATGGGATTTAAAATCTCTTGGATTGGATATAAATTAAGCCCAACTTAAAATTTACATATTGTTTTATTTAATTTTCAATTTATACTTATTTTCTATTATGCTTTATGCATCAAACGCCTGAAATCACCAAATAGTTTATTAAAAAAGTACGACACTATTATTTTGCAAAATATATTATGGCAGAAATTCGTATTTATTATTTTAGTTTATTATCTCTAACGAGAATACATTTAAAAAACTTTCAAATTGTATTTGTGAATTATTTTATTATTTTTCTTAAAGTTCTTGTTCATTTTATGTTCTCTTTTGCTAAGTCACATATTTTAAAACATTAACATTCTTGTTATTTTGTCAAATTTTTTTTGTTAATTTCGCTCTGCTAATATTATAAGATTTTTTCTCAGTGCCCGCAATTGCATTCCGCATTTATACTGCCACTGCAATTGTGCCATGGATTTGCCCAAAACCAAAAATCGCCAACGCTGGAAAAGCCCAAGAAAACCGAATTGAAGTTTTGGTCTCTCAATGCTGGCTGGCCTATTCAATTCTTGATTGCTTTGGCTTTAACAGCTTTTGGGCCTTGGGGAAACCCCAGTCAAGTTTGTGGCTAGCATCGCTTGGCTGGATTTGCTGTGTGCTCTGTGCTTGCATAACAATGCAGTCGTGTGCGATGCAGTGAGCCCGGCTTATGATTCATATGCGGAGTCGATTTGTGGTAGCTTCGATTCGGTTTTCTTTGACTGACTGGCATTTGAATGAGTTTTTCGCTTTTGTTTTCGTCTCCGTTTCGCGTTTTGTTTTTGCGAAATTGTCTGTAATAAAATCGATGCGTATGTCTTAGCTTATGGTTGTATTATTGTCATTATCATAGTTGGCCAAAACCGTCAAGGTCGTTCACCCACATTGTGTGTCCATATGGATGAGTGAGTGATAAATGGTTTTAAAGGGCGGAGTGAGTCATGTCTCTAGCAGACAGCTGTTCCCCCCTGATTATTACATAATATCCCGAATTATTTCACCCGCATCAAACGCCCCTTTCACTGCTCTTTTATTGCCTGGCTCATTTAACACGGCTTATTGTCTTCATCTCGGCTCAAATAAATTTACCTACGAGCTCTGAGCATTTGTAAATTAATTTGAAAACCGTTGCTTGCCACAGCGGAAAGTTTGAGCGGTGGGGCGGGTCTTTATGCCACAAAACTTCCGTTCCCCCCTGCCCCCAAAAAATGTCGGCTTTAAGTGAAAGCCTCTGCCACAGAAGTTGGGCAATAATTGTGTTTTAAATCGAAAATTCTAGATTACATTAAATATTTAATAAGTTTCGGTCTGAGTTCTGGGAAAACTTGGCTTTTGCGGCGGCCCCACTTATGCTAAGTGGCTCGCCTTTTGATTTGATCAGACGGAATTTCATTCTCCGCATTCGGGACTTAAGTTATTAAATTTCCTAAAGGACCTCCCAGGATGGCTGGTCCTTTTAGTGCGCCGAGTCGCCAAGATGACAGCATAACGATGCATTCAAATGGCGGTTGTGATAGACAAACAAACCGATTACACAGCAGTCGAGCACACAAATCACCCACTGAGCCAATTGAGCGGTGCTCATATAACCCCAATCAAAGCCCAGACCCAGGGAGATGCAATGAACCTCGATCTGGAAGGGATGGGCAAGTTGTCCCATTTGCGGGCCATTCATTGTCCGATTCTGCGAGGCAGTCTTTTGGGATGCCGCTCAACTTAAAGTGGTGTGAGCCCAAAAGGCGGCTATGCCGCACTGGAAAACAAAACCCCTGATGACGATTGTAACGATGATTGTGATAATGATGATGATGATGGGTAACCCAGCCCAGGCAGGTGGAATCTACGCCTTTTATCGAATTGCATCATTGGGGCAAATGCATATGACAGGTATTGAGTGCCCGGAAAAGACAATGCACTTGTGCATCAATCGATAAGCTGCTCCGGCCACCTTGATGCTTTAACCTTTATGCAGGAGCCATCTTGTGCAATCCAATATGCCCAACTATAGTATGTGGCAGGGTATCAGGGTACTTACCCCCCTCTAAGCTTTATGCGTCATTTTGCCCGGCGAATTCGCTTCACACGGTTAATTGGCATCAATAAATCCTTCGGCGATTGCATAACCTGCTCTAAGACTCTGACAGGAGCTCACCTTTGGCCTTCTTTGGAGTTCAGGGTTTACAATTTCATTGTTTGCATTGTGTCATTTGAAACTCTATTATCTCAGTCTTCACAAGAGAGTGTAACAAACATCCCAGGGCTTCCATTTGTTGTCTTTCGATATGCGACGAAGCCAGGACACTTTCACACTTTGGGTGAAAGTCCTCACTCAATTCACCTCTAATACCACCTCTGCTCTTCAGGGAACATGCATAGCTGGGTTTTCGGCTACTGACCCGAGGTCATTCCCATGGAAAATTCTGGCAAATTGAAGAAGATAGAACAACCGCCTCCAAGGCCCTGAAATAATACAGAAACATTTGCGTACGGCACGTCAATCATCCCTGCACCAATGCACTCCAAAATGAAATGGAATTTAAATATGTGTGCTATGAGATACCCATTCATGAGATTTGGTTGTTATTGAAAGTGTTTAAATATTTAAGATTTAAGCTGTCAAAATATGTTAACAAATAGCAAGTATCTGTTATTAAATTTGGTTACTCTTATATTTTTAAGTTAATGCATTTCAATTAAAGTGTAGTTATGTTCGAAGTATAATTTGGTTTAAGCTTGCATACCAAATTATAATTATGAGTAGAAAATATAAAAGAATTAGTTTAAGTTAGTTTGTCAAATTAAAAGTAAATGTTTAATAAACTAAACTTTTCCTTTAAATATAAATATAAAAATAAGGCCTTGCTTAATATCCTGCTCCATGAATTCAATAACCCAACAAAACATCCTTGAGAACAGGATACCAAAGCAATGCTTGTTTCGTGCGTGTGTTTGCTCATCTGGTGACGTCAGTTGAATAATATTCAGCCACCCAACACTCAATCAGAAGTGCAGCGTAGCGCGAAATCTAATTGGCAGTCGTCTCCCCTCAATCCAATCGGGATTAGCCTACACAATTCCGAAACAATGCAGTCCTTTTAGGGGTTTTCGAATTTGTTTTATTTTATTGTTTAAGTCGAAAGTTGGGTAGTCAAATTACTTGGATTTAATCCATTTTAAAGGGTTCTTGTTGTGCAGCGGTTTACTTTCTGTAAAGTGAGTTGTCACCATTAAAGAGCGGATAATTCCAGGTGGGATAGTGCAAATAGGAGGTCCTGAAAGCAGGTGCCAGCAATGGAGTTATCCTGGGCACACTACGGTGGACGATGGTGGAGCTCTGGTGGGAAACCGCAGTGGGCACATGATCCACCAGCTGACCCACATGGGTCAAAGTGGGTTGGTGATGCAGGGTCATCAGAGGATGGTAGATATGCAGCTCGGCTTTGCCAAGTGCCAAGAGGCAAAACAGGACAATTAAAGAAAAGTTCTGCAGGGATAAAGGAATTAAGTTGCTTTAAAATCCATATAGTCTTTTTAACTTACCAATCTTTGTGACATCTTCCTGCCTCAGTGCACTTCACTTGACTGTTGTTCATTGGCCACATAATCCTCCGCTTTTATAGTCCAGCAAAGAACGCCAGATTGGAGAATGGACTAGCCATTCTAAATGAGTGGTCACAGCCCTTGAACATGAGAAGAGACTTGGGCGTTGTTAACCCAGACCCTGTGACTGCCTAATCCTCCAGAGATCTTGATTGCACACAATCGGAGAGTTCGGCGGAATCAGGGGGGCGGATGTGGCATATTTATTGTGGACGTGGGCCGGTCGCTGTGTTTATTTTATTGATTTCCTGTCGCACCGACAACGCCCAAAGAGTCCAGGAATCCAGACAAGTGAAAATGCAATCAGTTCACAATGTGCAAAATGCAGAACAAGAATTTTACATAAGATGGGTTGAGAATGAGATTAGCCAGTACAGAAAATATATTGCAAGTTCTAAGGAAGGTAGTGTTAAATGGATAACCAAGTAAAATTATCTTGAGCATTGAATGTAAAAATTTTTATATAGGATATGTTTCCGTTCAAATTAATTAACGGAAAATAAAATTAAAATAATTTTATTTAATGCAATATAAAATGTATTGCAGTAAGTTCTAGTTTAAATGTTTATAGTTTCTCAATAACTTAAGCCCTTTAAATGCAAATGCGAAATCTTTATTAAAAGCGTACTACAGAAGAATTCTACAGAAAATGGCAGAAGAAAGAAGACAGAGAAGAGACAGAGTTTTTTGGGAAATAAAGTCCAGAAAGGGAATTACGAGTAGAAGTATCTTAGATTTGGCGAGTTCATCTTGTTGATCTTTGGCTTGGTTCCTCAGTTGCGGATGAGGACCACTCGAGGATCGGCGGCGACGGTCCACAGAAGTGGTGGCTGCTGGCGCACCACTTGGGTGGTGCGAACAGCCGGAGCCACAATGGGTGTGACCAGCCGGCGGTGATCGTGCACCACTGTCTGGCTCTGATGCGAAATGGCAGTGGGCACATGCTGCACCACCTCCCCCACCTTGGCCACAGTGGGCTCCTGGATGGTCAGCACGGTTCGCAGTCCATTGCGGGTGGCCAGGATCAGGGGCAGAGGCACGGAGACGGGAATTCCCGACGAAACGACACGGGCATCGAGGGCATCCGAGCTGCCACTGGATGACTGGGAGAGCTGCTGTTCCTCCTCCTCCTCCTCCTCGGATTGCTCCTCCGGCTGGCTAACAGATGATACGACGGATCCCAAACTGCCCTCGGCCAACTCCACAGAATCCTCACTGGCAAGGGGCAGCAGCTGCGAGGACTTGGCCGAACTGAGGGCCACCAGATTCGAGGGCCACTCCAAGCTGGCTGCCTGCGAAGCTCCAGCCAGGACGAGCACAATGGCCAAGACGGGTAGGTACTAAAAAAAGTATTAAATTTAATTAAATTAATATATATATTGTTAAGATATGAGATTCTGTTCCCATTTCCCTAAACAGAGTACTCACCAATCTACACATGATTATAGTTGTATTCCCACAAATGAATGATGCAGTTTGAGCAGCTTACCTCTTTTTATAGCTTCAAAACCCAGAACCTATCACCACGCCTCACTGCCCAAAGAAATGCATCGTTGACTAGGCTAAGCACTAAACCAGAAACATTTAATCATATGATAATTTTAAATTTGATTGGGTTACACCAGAAATCGATCAGAGTATATTCTGCGGCAGCTTTATGTCGCACTTGTGCTCATTGCTAAGCCAGAACTTCTCCAGATAACCGATGGGATCGCGGGGCAATTCGCGAGCCAATCCCAGCATGCCCTCCATCAGAATGGGCACCACCTCCTGTTCGAGATATATTCGTTGGTCGGCTGAGGACCTAAAGCTTCCCGTTCGGGGACAGTCCTTGCCCTCGGCTCCCTCTGGCTTGGATTCATCTTTACCTTCCTTATTCGATTCCTTCCTGGACTTATTGGCATCAGGGCAAAGAATCGATATAATAGCAGAAGGATTCTTTTTAGATTTATCCACGCTTGTCTTGCTGATTTTGCGAGGACTAATTTTTCGTTTGTATGGCATTTTGATGGGATGTTCGGTCAAACAATAAAATATTAGTTTTATTTGGAAGAGAAAGATATATCAAAGGTAACTCTCTGAAGGGAAATCTTCTCTATGAGGTCCCTACTAAATTTTTTTAGAGCACGCATGATATAAATATTAATGATCGCATTTTTGGCCTTTTTTTATAATATTCTTATTTAGCAAAAATCCTATATATATTATATAAATCATAAACATAAATTTGATCTTGAAAATCCAGATAAATGGAATTTAATTTCTTAAAAACAATTCTTTTTTTTTTTTAGAAAATATTGAAACTATTTTAAACTTGAGTACATTTTATTTATATAAATTATTAAGGGTATAAAACACGATTGAAAAGCCATTTAAGTTTTCGTTTAAATGTGTGTATTTATTCCCAAATAGAAATTTCACAGTACAGCTGGACGAGCACTCTCGAGCTTCCATTGTCCCCGTGGTCGTAACCCAGCACCTCATCAGCTGCTCCATCGCTCTGTCCACTATCCACAGACCACTCTCCACTGTCCACAGTACACAGTCTACTGTCCGCGGAAGCTTCTAAGCTGATTAGCATACGTAACCCTATCAAGCGAGACATCTGCTGCAGTTCTCCAATCGCTTGGCTGGACGGGGCGGTAACTTAAGCCGCTTAAATGCCCACCCACCACACACACACACCCCCCTGAATCTAGAGGGGAATGCAATGGGGGGTAAGATTACGCAATCCCCACGAGGGCTTCAATCGAATTCCGAGAACGCCCACGTTCGCCGTAGTTCTGGCTCCGACAGGAGTTGAAAGAACTTGGTCAAATCCCTCGAAAGGCCGCCAAATAAGATGTATCGTAACTGGTGCTCCAACAGCCAGATAAAATGATCCGTTCGATAGGTCAGCGACAGGAATTTAAAGGCAGTGGTCATCACCAGGCTGTAGACTATAAGACTATGACGGTTGAGGCCCAGAATCAGTGGACTCTGGTAGATCTCCAGCATGAAAAGGCAGGATAGGAACAGCGCCAGCTTTGAGTTGCTATAAAAATAACATATATTAATTTAAATTTTACTTTTTTTATACAACTCACTTGCTTAGCTTGAGATAGGCCAACTGGTTGTGCTGACATCTATTGATTAACAGACTGGCCACTGGCTTCAGAACCTCTGCTCCACTGCCCATGACAGTACCAACTATCAACATCGGAACGGGAGCATTTTCGTACACTTGTCCCGCCAAATGTACTCCGCGATCGATTAGCTGAATCTGGCTGATCGTCGACAAGGCGGTGGCCAAAATGCGAAAGGCCATTGTGCTGGCCAAGTCGTATGCCAGGTCAAAGGGGCAGTAAAAGATGCAGTACCTACTTAAGTGAACACTTAGCTTAGTTTACAAATTTGTCAGTAAAAAAAAACAAGAAACTGTAAAATTTGTTTAAAAATAAGTGATCGTTGGAATAGGGTGTCTTCTGCCCAACTTGCCAACAAAACAAAAAATTAAATTTTTACAAAACTCGACACCATATTTTCTTTAAAACTAAATTGTAAAAATGACAGAAGTAAATGTTGTTTCTCCCTTGACATTGAATTTTAATTCATTTTTGTAAGTTCCCATTAGATCACACTCACCAGATGACTGAGCTGAGCAGGATATCTGCGGTATGGCAGAGTGGCTCCAGAGGCAGACTGCCGAGCAGCAGGTTTCCCAGGACATCGCCTGCGTAGTTCAGCAACAAGTTGGCCAGCCACAGGGCGAAGGGCTGCCACTCCAAGAGCTTGCTACCGCCCCCTTTTAACCTCGAGGATCCTGCACCAACTCCAAGTTCGTCCCGCAGTTGCTGGGAAACCAAGGAATAGTGCAGGATGCGGAAGATCAGATGGTGCGGAAGCTGCTTCAGGATCAGCCGGGCATTCATCCCTCGCTCAGCTGTCCCACCCTCTATTATTTTTATTTTATGAGTCCTCTGGTTGACTCTGAATTTTGGCTTCAGGGATATATTTTATGATTTTTTTATTAAGGCCAATTACACTTAAAAAACTGTTAATAGCGAATGGAATTTGCGTAAACGAAAATATTGACAAGCGAAACTTAGGTGTCTACATTTGTGTGGATATGTGAATGCAAAAAAACTACAATATAGCAATTAATGTATATGATATAATAAACTGGACCTCTACTGTTTAATATATACCAAATAAATTTAATACTTGTTTTTTTTTAATAGCAAAATGGAGGAAATTATAATATTTCTTCTTGCAGATTATGATGGGGTATTTAATTGTATTTAATACAAACTTATGTGGTATTAGTTTCGAAGTGAAATACCATATTTCGCATTCTAAACTGGTGACAAGTTTAGGTTGGTGGCCAGGCTGCGAGGTCCTGGAACGAGGGAGTCGAAGCTAATGTTCCGCACGGGCTTAATCCTGGGCAGCATCTGGTGCACCACCGGATGGGCGGCGTAGGTGAGGTGGGCGGGTGTCTGACTGGAGATGGGGGGCAGCTGCTCCTCCTTTTCCTGCTCCTGCGTCGCCTGGAAGAACCTCTCGACCTGTTGCCGCTCCACTTCTCTGTGGTGGTGGTTGACAATCCGCGCTGAGGGAACGACCTGTTGCTTTGGGGACTGGAGGATTAGGGGCTCCGCTGACGACAATCTGGTGAAGCTCTGGTGGGAAACGGCACTGGCCACTTGGCCGTTGCCATGCAGGATTGTGGTGGCTGCGTGACTGTGGCCCAGGCCCCAGGTGAATACGAGGCAAACTAGCTGTGCGGATTGGGATTGCAATTGGAATTGGGGGTCAGGACACCACTTTGCGCAGATTACTCACTGTGATGTGCATGATGGTCACTTGAGTGGTCAACTAATTACCGTTACACAAGTGCCGCTGCCATTTATAGCCGGACAAGCCTGGCCAAGAGGACGGACTCCTTGACCAAGAGGTCGCCCTGTCTTTGCGCCGCAAGATTTATGGGCCATTTTGAATGCAGCTAATTAATTAATCAAAAAGTACTCCGATCCGACAGCCTCTCATGAGCTGCGTGCACTTAGAGCTTCCATTACGCGCCTCCGGCTAATAGCCAAATCATATGGCCAACTGACTGACTCAACATGTGCCGCATTGCCGAATTGCCGGAGATTGTGCGAAGCCAACTTTAGCTATTGAAACGTCAAGCGAAAAAAAATATATATATGAATCACATTTTTAAATACTCTTTTTAAAGCAATTACAAACTATTCAGTTTTAGCCCGCAGCAGATTTTGCTTCGGAATGGCTAAAGGATAAGCAGCTAAAGTTTTATAATACCAATTTTTTTAAAGAGTATGGGCATTTTATATCTGTTGCCCTAAATTTGATTATTTTCGTTTAATTTGAAAATGTCTTATTTTAGGAAACAAAGTCTTTTATTTAAATGGATTTTTTTTCAAACAAGAAAAATGTACGTTATGTTAATATTAATAATTTAATTCCATTTAAAGCTCATTATTGGGCCAATTCATTATCCATATTTATAGTAAAATATAATATAATATAAAATGTAATATTTTTGTCTAAATAGTGCAGTTGCTCATGTTAAACATAGGCTTTTATTGATTCGACTAGACAAAAGTAAAGAAGATTAAAATTGTATATGAATTGTAACTTCTAAGCTTGCTAATTCTTTTTTTTATAACTTCTTAATAGTTTGAACTAATTTAACAATAAATTAAAGATCACATCACTAAGGGTATTGTAGCAGCCCGAGCAAACAAACCAAACCAAAACCAACCACAATAGTTGGTGGTGCGGTGGTGGGCGAGCGGCGGAGGTGCGAAGTGGAGTGGATCAACCTTCAGCGAGTTGCGCAGACGGCGTCGCATGTTGTAGGCTTTGTTGTTGCGGTGCTATTACTACAATATTTGCGGCGTTCGGTATTTATTTATATTTGATTTTTTTCCGTTTTTTTATTTTCGGTTTATTTCTTTACGTAAAGCTGCGTCCAAGTTGAGACACTCCCACAATTGCAAGATAACCGCGACTGCGCGCGTGTTTCCAACGCTTCGATCGCAGATCGAGCATTTTTCCAGGGGCTGTGTGAGTGGGGGTGTATCGAGGGGCCCACCCCCTTTGGCATGCTCCACCCACGCCCCTGTTTTGGGCCAGCAACTGCTCCACCGCGATTTCATGGCACAGCAATTCACACAGCACTTCAGTTTGACTTTGCCACTCGCTCCGCTTTGTGTTTGCTTCTCGAAAGGGGAACCTCCAGTCCTCGACTTGATTCGATTCAATTCGATTCGATCCGCCCACCTCAGTTCCACGGCGGTGTTCTCAGTGGCTTGCTGTCTCCATAATCGACCCATTAGGCTTGGATCGTTACCATGCGGCATCTGGTGAGTGGGATGGATGAGCATCCTCTACGAGATCAGGGTGTTTCGATTTGATGGTATACGAAAACGCGAATATATCATGCAAGTAATGAGTCATATACATGTGCTTGCGGCTTTAAATAACCAATATTTTACCCAAACCAAAAATGTTGTAAATTAGTTTAGTAGAATCCATCGATACGTTTATAACCCCGGCTTATAGATGTACCTGTTTCTCAGTGGCTGTGATCAGTGAAAGCTTTTATGATTAAGTTCTGGAAAATAATGTGTTTTTATGTCGACTATAAATACATTTTTAATTGCGAATAAGTCGGGCGTATAAACGTAGTTTAACTTAACGTTGACTATTGACTATTATTAATTATTCTTATTTTAATACATAAAATTCCGCAAATATCAGCACATTTTGTACCTTTAGATATATTACCGCTTTGTAGCTTTCCATTTATAATGAATTGTTTAATAAGGCCTTTAAATATTATGTTTTCATCCGGCAATTAAATACTCAACTAAACTTTATTATCATCCATTTTAGGTGCTTTTGGCCGTAATTTTCGTGGCTCTGGTCTTGGCCAAGCCAGCTACGGAGGCGCCTCGTCTGCTGATCGATTCGGCGCCATCGGTGGTCTCCTATCAGGGATCCTCGCAGGCACAGACCCGATTTGTCATCGCACCCATGGGTCGGTCGTTGGGCTATGTGGAACCCACCAATCTCAATCGAACCTTCCACACGAAGGCCACGCAGGAGAACGGAACCACGGGCTACGAGCAGCTCAACCTGAGTCCCGTCTATGTGCCCAACAGTTAGGCAACGAAGTGGTGTAGATTAAGCTAGTTAAATGTGTGAATAAAGGCTGCGTTACAACAGTATGACATTCCATATGTTAGTTCTTTTTTTTTATTTGCCCTTCCATATTTAACATATTACTTGTTAATTTTTTAGCTTTTATTCTGGTTGATCCTTACCAAGAATATATACCATGATATATAGAATCGGAAGCGCTTCCTTCTTCTTGTTAATATGGATAATAAAACTAATGCATTTCATGGATGGATAAGAATTAATAAGAATAAATCTTAAATGGATTTTAATGGAAAAAGGGTTTTTTTTATATGGATTGGTCAGCATTGGAATTTGGAAAATATTTATTGTTTTAATTGGTCAAAACTAGTTTTAGTTATTTAAATATTATCTGGGCGATTTGTATTTATCACCCAGTGGGCTATGATAATTAGCTCATACATTCAGTTTGATTAACACAACAAGAGTACATACTAAGAATAAGGAAAAGGTTAAGAGCAACAACAAACATGTGGAACAGTAGTAGTAGCATTTTGCGGTTGGCCAGTGCTAAGATGATGGTAGCCCAGGTGAAAGCTCTGGAGGAGGATTCAGAGGAGTCCTCAGTGGACTTCCATGAGGACTGTAACCAGTCGTGGCGCGCCCAGTTCCGACACCCTCGGATGTCCGAACTGGCCATCGGCCTGGAATTCATGAATATTTCTAATCGCCCGATGACCTCCTCGCTGGGTACCCAGGATGGCGCTATTGGTAATTCATCATCCAGCAGCAGTGGACTGGTGCCCCTCAGTCTGCGAATCTCGCAGCTCAACTTGCTCGGTTCGGATGATGAGAGCCAAATGCGGCATCTGTATTAGTCCAAAAATGAAGTTGCTCCACAAAATTGCCCGTAAATCTGATCCGATTTTCCACCACCAGGACATTCCAGCCTCATGAAGCGCATACGCATCTGAGCTCTGATGGACACGAAGTGGAACGGCAAGGCCCAAATGGTGGGCCATTTATAGCAACTCGTTTGAAATAAAATTGCATTTCATCTTGTTTTCGCTGACACGAATCGCAAGACCTTCGGCTGGACTCTGAACCTGAGCAAACAATTCGCTTTCTGGCGTATTAATCTTTGAGCTGTTGTTGTTGTTGCTGCTGGAACTTTGAAACCTTTTCGCGCCTAACGACAATTGATTGTCGGCTGATTTACAAATGAGGGTTCGCAGATGTTTAGTTAAGCGGCGGGTTCAAGTTCAATGTAAATCAAACGAGTTTGCCAATTGCTCGCTGGTTTGTTCGGTTTGAAGGACAATCTGGCTGGCAATGTTTTTTGGCCATATAAAGCCGTAGACTTGGTTTCAAATCAGCATCAGTCACTCGTCGACTTTACAGCACCAAACCAACCAACTCAACATGTTCCGCTTCGTGAGTATAGTACATGAGAAAGGGATGAAAGGATCCATTGCAGGATCTAATTTGTGCTCTAACTTCAGATTGCCATCTGTGCCCTGGCCACCATTGCCGCCGCTGCCCCGGGATTCGTTGAGGAACACCACGTGGCCGTGGCTCCAGTTGTGACCAAAGTGGGCGCCGTGGTGCACAGTGCTCCGGTGGCCACTTCCCACCAGAGCTTCACCCAGTTCCACAACCAGGCGGTGCTCACTCCCGTGGTGAAGCATGTGGTGCCCGCTGTGCCCGTGATCAAGACTGTGCCGGTGGTCAAGCATGTGGCTCCCGTCTATCCCGTGGTCCCGGTGGTCAAGCATGTGGCTCCCGTTGTTCCCGTTGTAAAGCATGTGGCTCCAGTGGTCCCGCTCGTCAAGACCGTGCCCGTGGTGCACCAGCAGACTTACGTGGCTGCCCCCGCCCCAGTTGTCCACAATGTGGCCGCCGTGCCCGTGGTGAAGGCCCTGCCCCATGCCGTCTCCCACCAGAGCCACACCCAGGTGCACCACCAGAAGACCTTCGTCACCCCGGTGGTTGCCTCCGTGCCCGTGGTCAAGACCGTCGCCGTGGCCGCTGCCCCACTTGCCCATGTCTACCACCACTAGGAAACTGTTTGATCGGACGCACGGATTGTTATAATTGCTTCTTTGAATAAATTGATATTGTTGATATTATAAATTGTGAAATCTACTATATATACCTATTTTAGAGGGTTGAAAAGATCCAGTTTTTGGCAAAGAGACAAATTTGAATAGCTGATCGATTTGATCCAATTCAATTAGCATCTTAACAATCAATTTGAATGACTTATTGGAGTGATATTCATTAGTATTCATAGTCATGCATCGGTAGCTCGCTGCAAATATTCAAAATAAAAGAATAGATAACCAAACCGCAAAGATGCCCAACGGCAAAGCCAAAACTAAATTATGCAAAGCAATTATACATTTTTTTTTGCTTTTCTTTCGCAGTTGAAATTTTGAAATGTGAAGTCACATTTGTATAACTTTCAAACTTTATATGACTTATGGACTAGGATTTTTGCAATAGCTTGCGTCGGAATGTTCTGTTCAGAGATTTTAAAAATAGCATATAAAATGGATTTATTGTCCTGATTATAGAGTCTTTAGCTATATGTGTAGATACTATACTATATGTATAGATTTATGTGGGCTTCAAAACTAACACATACAATTTGTCAAGGCATATCTACATTGAAAAAAAAGTATAAAATTCCAAATGATTTTATATTAAATTAAAATAAGAAATAAAACAATTTTAATAATTGACAAAAGCCAGATAATTATTTTTACTAATCCATTTTTTTGTCAGTGTAGGTTTGCACACTTATGCACATTTTTCGAAGCTGCCGACTCATAGTTGTCCAGAATTCTTTGAATATGGGTTCATAATTGTTAATTGACATGCTGAAATATTTTAAAATAAGCCAAACGACAATGGGTTTTATAAAAAAGATTTTAAGTAATTTTTCATTGTTAGCTGACCTTCTGAAGTCGAAGTAATTTTTGTTTTAAAGAGTACAATGACAACTATACGTATGTGGATTTTTCAGCAAGAAACACTAGTTAATTATCCCATTTCAGTTCAAAGCTTAATCGGATTAATACATATTTTAAAAACATTTTTTAGAGAACAATAAACAAAGAAGTTTTTCTAAATTGTTTTTTTATTGTTTGTCATTTCTTGTTAACAGTTATATCGTAACCATATCAACGCGCTTTCAATCGATTCACTTGTGGTAGGCGGAGTACACAACAGGGGCACTGTGCACTGAGTGGACCACAGGCTGGACATGGACGGACTGAACCAGTGGGGCAGCTGGGATCACGGTCTTGACCAGAGGAGCGGCTGGGACCACAGTGTGGACCAGAGGGGCAGCTGGAACCACAGTCTTGATGAGGGGAGCGGCGGGGATGACAGTCTTGACCAGAGGAGCAGCATGGACAACTGGAGCAGCATGGACAACTGGAGCGGCATGGACAACCGGGGCAGCATGGACAACGGGAGCGGAGTAGACCACTGGCACCTTGCGCACCAGGTTCACATTGCTCTGGTGGGTGATGGCCGAGGAGGCACTGGTGTCCACATAGGCGGTCTTGGCCAGAATCGCTGGCTGGACGATCGAGTGGGTCTCGGCAATCAGACCGGGAGCAGCGGCAGCCACAGCCAGGCAAGCGAAGAAGGCAACCTGTAATGGGATAATCGATATATTAAAGGACTCTTTCTATTTTTCCACTCTCTAACAACTTACGAATTTGAACATTTTTGGAGGTTTGGTTTTTTTGGGGGTTTGCTTGGATTGCTGAATCGATTGCAACTGCTGATGATGACAGACCAAACGCTCGGCTTTTATAGTTGCCTAGTTTGGTCCAAACCTCAATTGTTTGTCGCTAAGTACTCGGCTGAACTTGAGCCCCTAACCGGTTTGGGTTTCAAATAAGACACTTATTCGGGTTTTCAGCTGACTTTCTGGCTTCGCTTCTAAGCGCTTATCAAAGACGCAGTTGGTTAACTGACCTAGGTTCCAGTGGCTTTTGTGTGGGTGAGGAAGTCGACGAGTCGGGACAACAAGACAGGCCAATCAATCGACAATGGGCCACGTAATTGGCCTTAGCTGCGGTCGCTTACGCAAATGAGGCTGCCTGCAGATGGATGTATGCTCCATACTACAGAGTGCGTGGGTTATCCTTGCACTTCTATTACCCGAAGATACTAATATACATCATCCTTCTTCTTGGCCGTAATTGAGTTGCATTCACATCACTCCCCACCAAAGGAGTGTATCCTGTGGATGTGTGTCCTCTAGGATGCATCTCACAGTGTTGGTTATGTGACCTTTTACCACATAACGCTAATGAATGAAGGAGCCAATGTGAAAAAGCGATACTAAAGCCAATGAGAATTCCCCTTATCGAATTGTGCACATAAGATGAGTAACCTTGACAGGAGTTGAACAGATAATTAAAGGTTATGACAATTCGTCTTGGTAATGAACAAAGCACATGAGCTAAGAATAAATGTGACCTTTTCAAATCAATTGTACATGTTTCTCTGGAAGAAAGGTAATATTTCTAAGCGGCTTGGTCAAAAGGACCCAAAAGGTAGCCAACGTCCTTGAACTGAATATGGGCTAAGAATAAGTGCCTGTTGAAACCAATTGTTTATAAAATTCTGGGAAACAAGGCCTAACTCTTAACGAAAATTATGCAACATTTTGGGTATGCAAATCGGACATGAGATAAGAGCAAATTTGGTAACTTGGAGTGGAATTCCCAGAGGCAGAAAATTAAATCAAAACAAAAGAGATGCCATAATATACATATTAAATTGCATGATTTAATATTAAAACGTGAAAAATATAAGAGAGTTTTAAATATGGCTTAAATATGAGTTAAATTTTCAGGTATTAAAATTTAATCCGAAAATAGACAAATCAATGAATATCATAGCGAAAAATATTTAAAAAAATAAAATGTCTAATCAGTTTATTTGAGAAGGAGGGATGTATCAAAAATAATGGTTAAAAGCCAGTAAAAAATTGAAAAAAAACTGAATTCCTTTGATTTTATCGACACAACCATTATAATGTTCAATTACATATAAGGCAGCAAAGAACGGTGTATCCCCGAACTTGACCCACATCAGAGTCCTCAAGTTTGCCCTTCATTAAACGGGCCACAAACAAAAGCGCAATAAATTATATGCGTATGCCTGCATTCAAATTGAAGCTGGACTAGTCGGACTACGATTGCAACATCGAGGGGTCCAGTTGAGGTCTGCGGCTCCTCAAGTGATTCATGGCCAGGCCATAAAGACCTAAAGACCTGGCTACCAACTGCATTCAGCAGCTGTTAAGTGCCGCTCGAGTGACAGATAAAGCCCCCCGATTCGGTCCCAGCTCAGATTCAGATTCAGTCAGTCCCAGTCCCTATGTCAAGGTTATCCGCTGGACAAGCCCCACGCGCACTTAACCCACAATTTTGAGCTGGACGTTGTTGTTTCGACGGCGACTGTGTCATTGTTTTTATTCGCCTTTTCGGGGCTCGACTTTTGGACCGAGCGACAGTTACACGTACTTAAGATAAACATCTGGCGGTGGTAATGTGAAAAATGAATACCCAGAAAATTATACACAGATTTTGATTGGGGTTCAGTCTGTAATTTTATGGATATGGAATGATGCTTGCCGATCATTCGTACAATTTAATCAGTCATCGGAGGATAAGATAAACAAGTTGTTAATTTTATTTATTTGTAAATATATTTAGAGTTTGCAACAAGCTTTTTTTCATGGGGTTGGGTCACAAGCTACTCCGGTTCAACATTTATGTTAATTAAATTAATTAATTACTCTTTCACAAAACTTTAAGCTTTCTAAACAAATAAATGTTTCTCTTCGATTAATAACAATTTGACAATGTTTTCTTTTATGTTCAATAAAAAATAAAATTTTTTTCAACAATTACATAATTTTATCTATTTCTAAAAGTACGTTCTTAGAGTTGTGACTATAAATTTGAAACCCTTAAAAAATATGTTCTTTCAGCATTCTTGCAAATGATCTTTATTTTTGCAAATGAATTTTGATTGTTATTTGTCTAGCTGACAGCTAGCTTTTTTATTATATTGTTATAATTAAGGGATCAGTGATCTGGCCAGGTCAACAACGGTTTTCTGGTCTATTCAATCGTTTTGCTAAGTAGGCCCGTTGTAAGACCTTCGTTAAATTGAGCGTGTCATTTGTCATTTTGGCAAATCAATTGACAATTTTGCTATATAAACGTTGGGTAGGCCTCAGTGGTTCATGAGTTCTTACTGGAGTTTCGCAGAGCCAAATTCAAACTAAGACTAGATCCAATAATCAGCTGCCTCAACATGCATAGAATGGTGAGTAAAAATCGATGCTATTATTTATTTTATTTCAATGTTTATTTACTTTGTAGTTGCTCTACACCTTGGTAATCGTTGCCCTTGCTTTGGTTCAGGCCTGCCAAATCCATCATAATCTGACATTTCCTGCTGCGCGCAAAGTTTCCGACTGTTCTGGCCCCCACCTCAGATTTCTCAATCGCAGTTTGACAAGGGATCTGCCCACAATAACCTCAGACAATTCGATGTCTTCTCGACCTGAACTTTGCTATTATGGCAAACCTTTCACGTTGGGCCACTAGCCATGCATTGTTGTTGCTTTTGTTATTGCTTAAATAAATTGTTATAAATTATTTATCACATCAAAAAAGTTTCAAAATATTTCTGATTGGCAAGGGACTTCTAAGTTTAGATTTTTGATTTGAAATTAATTTAAAGCTTTTATTTATCTTATTTTTGTAATTTGCGTTAGACTTTTCACCTGTCTTAAATGTTGTAGGAATGGATTGTACAAATCAGATAGCCATGAATTTGTTATTACATTTAATTTTCAGCAGGAGCTATAAGTATTGTCAATTTAATTATAAAATAAAAGCTTTTCGCATTTAAAAAAAACAAAATCTTTGATCTTTTTTTGAAAAAAGTAATGCCCATAAAATAAAAGTTTTTTGTATTTTAATAAAACTATATCTTTAAACTTAAATGCTATTTCTTTTGATTTTTATGCAGATGCTGAATTTTCTTCAACTGGCTAATTTTATTTTGTGTCATAAATATTTCTGAGGCTTTTAGTCTTTATCACTATTTTTAAATATAATACAAAATGCCATTATTTAAGGATCAATAATACTTTTGAGAATTTTATTTAGTTTTCATATAATTGGTTAACAAACAATCAAATTAAATGTTTTAATGGTGCAGGGTGTAGGCCAGGGGAGCGGAGTGCACCACCGACTTGACGAGGGGAGCAGAGTGGACCAGAGGAACAGAGTGGACCACAGGAGCGGCGTGCACGGAGTGGACCACTGGAGCGGCATGGACAACGGGCACAGAGTGGACCACTGGGGCAGCATGGACAGCCACTGCGGGATGGGAGTAAGTGGTGGTCTTCACGATGGGGGCAACCACCGGCTGAACCACTGCCTTGCTGTGCACCTGAGTGATGCTCTGGTGGGAAACCGCCGAGGGAGCAGAGTGCACCACCGATCCAACCTTGGCCAGGACGGGCTCATGCACCACATGGTGGGTCTCAATCAGTCCAGCGCTGGCGGTGGCGACCAGGAGAGCGATGACGGCAACCTGTAAAATAAAACCTTCGATTACTCCAAATCCAGAGGACAATATTCCTTATGTTACTCACGAATTTGAACATATTGGTAGTTGAGTTTTTTGAAGCGATTGCTGCTTGTTTGCTTGAAAAGATTTGTTGAATAACTGATGATGTTTGGGAACAGCGAACCCCACTTATATAGAACCCCAAAAGCGCAGCTCGAATCAGCCGATGCTTCAAGCCCAACCACCACCACTGACTGACCTTCAGTACGCCCCTGCATGACCCGACTTTGATCGGATCGAGAGCCGAAATCGAGGCGAAGTCAGCTCATTATGATTACTCGTTGCTGCAGCAGCCGATTGCCAAAAGCTCAGATCGCTGGAGCCCGAAGTCTGAAGACTGAAGTCTGAAGTATCTCGTGCCTTATCAAAAGCCCCTCAAGGTGGACAACTTCGGAAGCCGAAGTCTCCGAGTGTTTGAGCCCTTAGCCTGGCTGTGGCTAGTCGCTATAAAAGCCTCTTCTGCGGGTTCCACCAGCATCAGTCATCTCTCTGAGCTTACCACAAAAACAACCAACCAACAAACCAACCCAATCAAGATGTTCAAATTCGTAAGTCTAGAGGACTTTGGAAGGAAAAGAAGGGTTTTTAACTAATGTATTACCAATACAGGTTGCTGTCATCGCTCTCCTGGTTGCCACCGCCAGCGCTGGACTGATTGAGACCCACCATGTGGTGCACGAGCCCGTCCTGGCCAAGGTTGGATCCGTGGTGCACTCTGCTCCCTCGGCGGTTTCCCACCAGAGCATCACCCAAGTCCACAGCAAGGCAGTGGTGCAGCCGGTGGTTGCCCCCATCGTGAAGACCACCACTTACTCCCATCCCGCAGTGGCTGTCCATGCTGCCCCAGTGGTCCACTCTGTGCCCGTTGTCCATGCCGCTCCAGTGGTCCACTCTGTGCCCGTTGTCCATGCCGCTCCTGTGGTCCACTCTGTGCCTGTGGTCCACTCTGCTCCCCTCGTCAAGTCGGTGGTGCACTCCGCTCCCCTGGCCTACACCCTGCACCATTAAGGACTCAAATGTGATACAATATTTACGATTTTTTGTTTAAATAAATGTTTTTCGTTTCTCAATAACAAGATAATTGATTGTGTTTTAATACATCTTAAAGGGCTGCCAAATTAAGAACATCTTTGTATGTTATTGAAGTAACTTTTCTTTGTTTTTAGCTACTTGTTAATTTTTCTATGACTACAATTAAAAATTAAAATATTAAATAAAAAAATTAAGTTCTTAATATAACAGTTAATTTTAAAAACACTCTTTGAGTACAACAAATAATTGCGAACAATAAGTTTAATTTTTTTAAATTTAAATGAAAAGTTCCTTTCGAATAGGTTTTATAGTTAAACAGTCATACAAAATATAGTGTTTTGGCGAATATGACTGTTCTGTAAACAAGTTTTATACTATTCGAAATTAATATATTTTTAGAAAATATGGTTCATTTTTAAAAAGTCAAAAATTGACAAAAATGATTGTTTTGTCTATAACCCCTTCTTATACAAGTCTTATACTTAAATTTCGTTCGTGAGTTTTCAAAGCCTACTCTTAGGCTGCATAAAACATCAAGAGTACTGAATAAAACAAAATACATTTACGCTCGCTATAACAAGTATGGTAGGTAATTTATTGCTTGGAATGTATTTTAGTGTCTAAACATTTTTTTGTGTTTTTTTTCTTCTCATTGCTGGATTGCTTGCTTTATAAACAGGGCACGGGATGCGTGATTAAAGTAATCCGCGGGGAAATGCTGAAGTTGAACAGGAGCTGAATGGCTGGCGTGTGGGTGAGATATGTGGGTGGTTGGACATCCGGTTGTGCTTAACCGATCACAACGGGTCCCAGGCCGTGGATGCTCTTGACCAGCAGCGGCGAAGGATGCACCTGGGTGATGGCGGCATGGGAGATGGCTCCGGGCACCACGCTCACAACATGGGGAGCGACCAGATGGGGTCCGGCGACAACGGTGGGTCCCCAGATTCCAGGTGCCACCAGTCCAGGGGCAATCAGTCCAGGAGCAGGAGCGGGCACAGGAGCAGGAGCTGGGGCAGCAGCAGCCAGGCTGAGGAGAGCAACGAAGACGCACTGGAAAAGGAAGTATTATTATTTTATTTTTTAAGGTCAATGTCCTTTCACAAGAAAATCCTTTTCTTCTACTATAAATCACTTACCAGCTTGAACATTTTGTTTTGTCGATGGTTTGCAACGATTTGACATAGAACTGCACTCCCGACTGGCCTATTTATACAGATTAATCAATACTGCAGTTGGTGCTCTCCAAATGGGTCGCCAACACGCCTCTGCACTCTGCACTCATTTGGCCCGGCAACAAACACATTTTCAACGGCATTAAAGTCAAGTTAAGCCACATAGAACCAAACTGAATCGAGCCGAATGCAAACCCTTCCGGGGGCAGGTTATCGCCTTACACTGTTACACAGAAAAAAATGCATTCATATAATAAAACAAAAAACAATAATATGAAACTAAATTACATTGATTGGAAAAACATTTTGATAAAGTATTAATTTACTAGGTCTGGTAAACTAAGGAAAATGAAAACTTGGTCCCTCCAAAAACTGTTTTGTCTTTTGCAAAATGTTAAATTTTAATATAATTTTTTTCAAGTCTAAGATATCTTGCCTTTAACTATAAGTTACCTTTTTTTGCAGTGCACTTGTGCAGGTTCTCCCTCAGTTGACTGACCACTTCAAAGCGATCTGATTCGATTCGATTTCGCCGCCTTATGATTTATGCAATGCGAGACATGTTCTAAGTGGACTGCACTTCGCCCCTCCTTCAGTCAAACTTGGGGCTATGCGGCGTATACTTCACGTTGTTGCATGCGTCGCACAATTAAGCAAACAAATAAATAGGATCATGTCAGTGGGGAAAATATGTAATGTGAGCCCAAGAAAAGAACCAACTCAAGCGGCTTAGTTGAGGGGAAGAGGGGCTTGCTCTTTGCACTTTTGGCTTGCATAAATTAAGTCCCCAACTTGGCGAAACGTTGATTAATGTGACTTGCCAATAACGCCGGCGGGCATGGCTGTTGGTAGTTGGTCAGCCAACTTGCCTCCGGGCTCGACCAATCGAATGAGATTGTCTCCAAAGCGATTTTGTCTTGTGCAATACTGCGACACTAGCACATCAGACACATTTTATGATCGCTGTCGGGGGCAGTGAGTTATTACAATGCCGTCATGCAGTAGAGATCGGGAAATATGTTTGCATTTTAAAAGGAATATATTTTAAAGGACGCGTTTTTGGGTAGGGAATGGATTTATAGGCCTATAGACTAATTTGTATAAGAAATTTAACTTTACTTTAACTTTAACTTACCTTTTTTAATTCATTTAAAATAATACACAATACATTTATTTGTTTCTTAATACCAAAAACCAAAACCCCACCTTTTTATCTCCACATCTTTCCTCTTTTTGCTTTTTGTTTACATTTAATGAGCTTCCGAATCACGTGTCTCTAAAATAATATTGTACAAAAACCGCAGTTACCTTGCCGAATCTATTTGCTTATTGTTTTATTTTATTTGCCTCGTTTGCCGGTCAGCGAACCACTTGAAAAAGTTGGCTTAAACCATAACCGATTTGCGGCTAATTTCGGCGTTGAAAAGGCAGGCCAAAACAAAAAGCAAAAAGTTTTCAGGGTTAGCGTTTTTGGTAGTTGCTGAATGATATTGATTTTGATTTGATTTTAATGCACCAAACAAGGAAGTAAACAGAGGCGTACAAAAGGGATACATTTCGATGGAAACCCCCAATGAGGAACACCTCTGCTTTTACCCAAGCCCACAATCTAAATATTAATTGCTAATTGGCAATATCGAACTGATGTTTATGTCACATTAAATGTTTGAGTAACCCATTTGACTGGCTTTATGGCAATGTTTGCCGATTAAGCTAGTTCTGAATGTGAATATATTTCGCTGGGTGTGTTCGGTGTGGGTAAAATACTGGTGCTATTTGCATTGGCTTATGCAAAACGCTTGGGCAATTGCAAAAGCGAAATAGACTTGAACTTGAAGTATATCTGGATGGATCCCTTCTGGCTATATTTTCACAATGGAAAATTGCGGCAGTTGCAGCAGCAGTTGCGACTATTTATCACCTCTCTTGGCCAATATCAGAGATACTCCCCTTTGCCCCGCTTGCATAGACATTCATCATCTGCTTATGCACTGATTTGCATAACACAGAAAAAGCATTTGGTTGCCACATGAAATGGCAACGTGTGTTGTCACCATGGGAAATGTGCCATCCCCCCCGGAATGTATCGAATGGTTTTTTTTTTGGTTAATTACATTACGATGCCAGAGGCAGGCTTATTATGTCACCTCAATATGGGGAAGTGATTTTTGTGCGGTCTCGCGACATAGATATTCGATATCATGTTTCCGGTATTCGTTTCCTAATTAAAAGGAAATAATATTAATAAGTGGGTGCTAAAGTGGTTATATACAAAATTATTTGTTCCAAAAAATTAATTATGTTATTTGATAGGACAGAAAAAGTATAGTTTTATTAGCATTCTTATTTTTTCCTTTTTTAGAAACATTGCGAACGGAAAATTTGACTGCAGCAACGAAAATATCAAAGCCCTGAAATTTTGTTACTAAGTAAGTATAAAAAGACTCTGTGGATATTTCTCTAGTTAAAACGTATTTTGTCTTTAATAAAAAACATTTTAATTTCTGAATATTAATCCAATATCCCAAACGAAACTACCATTTTAGATATTGTATCTTTTATGTACAGTATTTAAGATAGATGGAATAGCATATTTTTCAGCAGCTTACAGCGAAACTTCCTTCTGGATATTACACATTAACAATCGACACACGCAAACATACACAGCATACAAGGGTTGCACCTTCCCGTCGTCGTTATCGGTAATCAGTAATCAGTGTTATCATTATCGATCGTCAGTCATCGTCAATTGGCAATCGTCGATTAGTGCAGGTGGTAATCGTGGAAGTCGTGGTGGTGGTGGTGCAGATGGAAGGGATCGAACGGGTGGTAGGCCTTGATGATGGGCGCAGGATGGTAGGCCTTGATGATGGGCGGATGGACCACGGTCTTCACCACTGTGGGCAGCAGTACGGGCTTGATGATGTGGTGCGGCACACTGTGCACCACCGTCGAGCTTTGGTGGGAAACGGCGGCGGGCAGGTGGTAGTGCAGTGGCTCCACATGGTGGTGGTGTGGATAGTAGGGAATCTCCGGATAGTGATGGTGGTGGCCATGCAGGAAGCCAGGACGAGCGGCCGCCAAGGCGCAGATGGAAATTAGTGACACTATCTATTGTTTGAATATCCTTTGAATCAGGCTCTTCTCAAGTGTTAATCCGCGATATCCTTACCAGTTTCATCATGTTGTGGGTGGGTGGCTTAATCCTCAATGGCTTGCGGCCTGCAACTGATGCCATTCGATGGAGTGGAGGTGGCTTTTATTCACTTGCCACCTAGCCATCTAGCCACCTATCCACCTAGCCACCAACAACAGCTGCAGATGCTGATGCAGATGGAGAAGCAGATGCAGATGCTCTCGTTGCCATATCCGCCGCTGCTGAGAGGCTTCAATGTTGTGGAACTTTGCGTTTGCATCCGCAGTTTGCACTCCACAGACTGCAGTTGTTGCCGTTGTAATTGCAGCTCGTTTCGTTTTCATTTCAATTGTTGTTTTTGCGTTGTCTCCACTTTTTTCGCACAGAGTTTTGTCGAGCGCCGCATTGTTTACGTTTACCCGCAGCCAGCGCTTCGTGTCTCAGACGCTCCACTCCATCCATCGACCCCTTCCAATCCCAAGCGCTGAACTCTGCCACGGTTGGGTTCAATGAGGTGGCAGACACTTCAACCAATGTTGCCATAGCGATGCTCTAACGTACATGGGTCAATTGGAGGAAACATACAAAAAATACATGCTTTAGTCAAGTTTTCAGAAGCTATGCTCAGTTAGCTTTGCATACTTTCTGCAGACTGTCTATTTTAAACTTAAATCTGTATAGAGCTTATCCAACCTAAAAAATAAAGTTTCATTAAAACTATTTTAATAAGAAGCAACTTAATTTTCTAAGGCAATTGGCAAGTGTTTTAATAAATATAAAAGTATATTAATAATATTAAAGATTATATTTTAAAATCACAAATACCTAAGTTGGTTCTTTTATAGGTTGAAATATTACATTTAATTTTAATAACTTTTTAGCATTTATTTTCTTACAAACAAAAAAACGATATGCTTATGTACCTACAAATTTATTATACCATCCGCTATCTAGTAGGTCCTTACATATAAATACATAAATGTAGATCATTGAGAATTGAATTTTTCTCGAAAAGCTTAAATGCCTTTTCAGAATTGGTGTACCTTAATAAATTGAAGGGTAGCTGCTTATTAATTCAGTTTTTCTTTAACATGTGTTAACCTCTTTCTCAACTTTTTCCCATTATTGATGTACCTCAATTAATTATAGAGTAGCTGCATATGTGTTCATTCAGAAAGCTTATCTTAAGGTTGTCGCAGTCTTGTTTTTTTTTTGGCAAGTCTTATAGTAAATATCCCAGCGATTGTCGCCGTTCTCGGCGTTTGTCTGCAGCACTTGGCACTGGTAATTGTAATTGTTGCTGCTTCTGCTGGCGATGTTGCTGCTGCAACTTCATTGCAATTTGAGCTTGCAACTCGCTCGCACTCGTACCGTTAGACCAAAAACAGCTGCAAGTTGTCTCTGTATTTGTTTTTGTATCTATGTGTTACTTAAGTAGCATAATTTATGCCAGTGTTACATTTGCCCGCTGCGACCTTGACTACTCGCAGTTTTGGCCCGCAAATTGCTGTTGGTTTTACAGCATCGTATTTATTGTTTTCTTCGGCTCCTCTGTTTTCGTTTCTTGGTCAGCGGAAATTCACACTTGGCAATTTAATTGTTTCAGATTTTTTTGTCATGGAAATTAGTTGCCTACGTTTATGTCTATGTAATCTTAGAGTCTGAGAATGCGTCAAATAAAAACCAACTTGTTTTTCGGAGTGTGTGTGAATCGAGATCTAGACATTGCTGGCGTCTTACTCATACAGTTGAGATCCAAACTATAGCTTTGAAAATTCTTAATAAATTTTTAAAATTTATTCAAAATATGTAGGGTTATAAAAATATTTTATAATTTTAAAAGTAAAATTTTTAAGTCCATATTCTTTGATTTCACATGTAATCGTGTGCTTGAATTAAAAAGTGGAAT